ATTATGTAGCATGATTCCCTAAATATGAGACGAAAAAGAATATTTTATACTAAGACTGCACGGATGGCGTAGTGGTTTAAGCGGTCGCCACATCGCTTACTACACTAAGTGCTGTGGGTCCACATGGGACTACACTTTGTGTGATCCACAAATTGTTGTTCTGAGTCTGGGTGTTCTTTGTGTCCGTTTCATGTATGTTTGTAAAGTCCCCCGCGACACAGGATATACTTGTTCCTAATGCGGGAGTTGTCTTTAAAAAAAAGAGTTCACAAGTTGTCTATCTGTCTAAGAAAGTTTTAATATACAATGATTTTTAAGCCCTAAATAAGCTTGAACGATTTGTTTTTGATTAGAACACACACAGTTTAACTGTAGGGGCCTCGTGTTCACACGTATCTATCTACGTCATAAGAATCAAGACTACGCAGCTCTGTGGTCGGTCCTTCTTACATAACTTGCATATCGTTATCATAACCGACCTTGTGTATATCGCTTTATATATACTTATATATTTTATAACGTAGTTTTCTGGATTCTGGATCAGCTTTTAAATATATGAACTAAATGTAGGGAAAGTAAATATGGATATATAACGCTTTCTTTATGCATATTTTTTGCTGGGAAAGTAAATGTCATAAATATTTAATTAAAACAGATGATGTACTAAGGGCGGCTTCCAGTGGTGGTGCTGATAAATACAATATAATAAAACTCGCGCTGCAGATTATTTACTTATTATTTGTTTTTTTTTTAAAGACGACTCCCGTACTATTTAAACATCCTGTGTAGTGGGGGACTTCACATACGTTCATGAAACATACACATTGCATTATGACGTTTTTATTGGCTATTTTTTAACTCACTTGTACAAGTTTGACCTACTTTTGACTGCTGTATCCTCATATCGCATTAAAACTGCAGTAAGTTTATTAAGTACTTTAAAGGACAATACCATAATACACTTGTTGCAGACATGACTTCTTTTTCTTCTCCTCTTATAAAAGACAACTCTCGTATTAGAAATATATCGTGTGTCGCGGGGGACTTTACAATATACATGAAACAGACATAAAGTACACCCAGACAAAGTGTTGTCCCATGTGGGGATCGAACCCATAACACTTAGCGTAGTAAGCGGCGCGCGTCGCGACTGCTTAAACCACTACGCCGCCCGTGCAATCGATTAGTTACAAATATGTAGACGTAACAATCGGCTGCGGTCTTATCTCGTCTCTTACAGAGACTCTTAACACGGATATTGTCGGATATTACCATAGTTTGGATCTTAGAGCTGATCAGATGATAGAACCAGTAGGTTGATAATGGAACTCTTCTATGAGTCCTTGTAAACTCCTCTTTCGTTTTCGCGAGTCAATCAGATTGGGTTTGGTAACAATGGTATGTTGATCAGCCATTAAAACGCTTTTTAGTCTTACTGAACTATAGTTATATTAAATCAAAATTGTACTTCATGACACACAAGCATAGGTTCTGATGGATGTTAAGTTTTGTTTGTCAGTCCGCACTTACTGTTCAAGACCATATTATTACAATAGATAAATTGGTTCTTTTAGAGTAGGATCCTTGTAGTGTACTTTTAAATTCTGTATTTGCCGTGACAAAATGTGATACCTACCTAATATTAAGTTATTTACCAAACTGTAATACAAAGTATGAAAATGCAGTGCTAACACAAACATTTTGATGATTTTTTATGAGTGAACACTGGCAAGAAGCTACTGCAGTCCATTAAAAACTTTGATTAGCTTATAATGGTGCTAATTCTGTTATTCGAAAACTCTCTAAACTAAACTAAAAATCACTAAAAATTTGTTTAGTTCTGTCAAACAGTGTTTCCTATTCTGAAAACGTAATATTTGTCAGGACAAAAATTGTTTTTAGTGATTTTTAGTTTTCAAAAAACAGAATTAGCACCAATACCTAAAATACTAAATGATCTAACATACTAAAGGAAATTAGGTCGTAATATTCTCGTAATTACAATTTACACATTCAAACTTCTACTTGTATATCACTACTTGTAAAATTAAAGTCTGTGCACTAACAATATATTTAAACAAAACTCAATGCGTTTCATTGCCCTTTTATTATCAATCGGTAAGAATAAGCAAACATCAACTTAACATCCATTTTGATACAAAACATTGTTAAACAAAAATAAACCTTAATTTGTTCACATTAAAGAGTTTTGTTTTGTTCGAACATGAGCATCCGTTTGGCCACACATGGCTATCTTTTTTCTTGACTCTATTTTTGTACGCAGCTGGGTTTTATATGAGGGTAGTCGTATATTTTTGAGGTTGGATATCTTCTGTATTGTTTAATTTACCCAGAGACGATGTAAGTTGTATTTTTGTTGTAAATCAGTGTCTGCATTTCAATATAATATGTATTATTTTAAAGTGATTTTAATACTGGCCAGCCTCAGTGATATAATTTTCTTGGTTTCATGGTGCATTAGAAATATATATATAAATCGCTAATTCATGGTATGTGGTTAGTTTATTAATTTTCTATTGTTTTGTTGTAACTAACTAAAAACAATGGTGTACTGTTGCCTTCGAATAATATGATTCGACCAAATACATTAACGTAAATTTATAAGATGTTATTACCTAAGTATTGTTCTAGTATTTTCATTCGCTTAAAATGCCATACAAAATAAGACTTAATGAGGTCTCGTATTTAAGTTGTGTTTGAGTATTTGTATATCAATATTAAGGGTGATCAGTATGAAGCTTAGATATCAATTTTATCGTGCCTTGATGTCGCCACATCCATCCAAATTCAATACGAATTGATAACAATTTAGTACATATATTCGTAACGTACGCTCTTGTACTTAGTTAATGAGTTATAATTAACAACTCCTCACATATGTACATAATTAGTATACTCCTTAATTTTATTCAGGGTGTTCATTGAACGGTACAATGAATGAACCGGTTTTTATTGCCAATTACACACGGTATACAGATTATTACTACCTTTAGACTTCCCATTGAAAAACCTTTTCTTCCGCTTTAGATTATTTTCCAACAATCGCATAAGTTTCAAGAATTTATTGTCTAAATTAACCATGTAGTGACTTGCATTAACAAAGCAGTGTATAAAATGTGTGAACCATCGTGTTGTGTTACAAACGAATTATATTATTTGAACAGTGTGGTGAATTGGAGATAGTGTTAGAACGATGTGACATTACAATGATGTTACTGAGAAAGTTCATGGTATGTTTTAGATGTAGAACCTCTGTTATGTATATATCGTTAATCAAGCTTTTTTTTTGGGGACGTGGTGGAAAATCCCTTCTGATCCCCGGCTCCTGGGGGATATAGGAGCCAGGAGTATGTAGTGTTGCCACTAAAAACCACCCCAACGGCCAGTCTTAGGCGCCCGGCTCTAGGGAGAACAAGGGTCATGTGATTTCAGGTCCCCCCAGATCAACACCGCACCTAATTATTCCCTTATTTTCGAAACTCCCTCGGGCCGTCACCCCACCCAGGTTTGCGGCAGGGATGTGTCGGAATCGGACCGACTAAAACCACACGGTGTGCCACTCTGCGCCTGTAATAGGAGGGATCCGGGAACTTCTGTTATTAAGACATCCGGATCCCTCCTAACGCCCACAACGGACCTAATTAGGCCCTATCCCAGGGAAAGCCAGTGGCTTCTACCTACCTAAATAAGCTGTTATTTAGATGTTGCAGCCTGATCACATTTTTAGTGCGATCAGGCCGCCAAACTATCTTCTACCGCAAGCAATTAATCTGCCACCAGAGGTCCCCACTCTCTGGCGGTCCATCGTTTATCAACCTAGACGATCTAACTTTGTGGCCGTATGTTAGAGTATTGTCAACTACTTATCCAGGCTTGCTTTTCTTCGATAATAACGAATAACGAATCATTCGAATAATATTATATTCGATAAATAAATATGTAATAATATCGATAAGGTTACGATTGAATATTTATTTCATCATCATCAACAGCTTTTAATAGTCCACTGCTTGACATAGGCCTCCCCCTATTGGTATAGGGTTTGTTTCAAGTTTTCCTTCTCTCTGCAGTGTTGTTGCCCTGCGTAGTTTTCTCCCTTAGTCGCCTCTTACGACACCCACGGGATGAATAGGGGTGGTGACAATCCGTCACCACACGGTTTACTAAATATTATCTAAACGCGTACAGTTAACACATTGGAGTGTTTGTGATCGCCAGTTTAGGTTTTAGGTTACTTCAATTATCTTATGTTATAAATACATAAATGAGTTTTTATTACGTTATAAACTAGCCTGTACCCGCGACTTTGTTCGCGTGGAATTTTAAAAGCGCTGCCTTACTGGTGTAGTACTGTACGCGACTGCAGTTCATGAGGCCTCGGGTTCGATTCCCGTTCGATGAGTTACTTCTTATATAGACAGCTATCTGGTAGTAGAATATTATCAAAATCGGTCCAGCCGTTTTGATGATTACCCGGAACAAAGAGACAGATAGACAAAAATTATTTAAACTGGTTTTTGGGCATTTTCGTAGTCCAAATATCCGTGTGAGCATGGAAAAAAACCTATTTGACATTACAAGCAGATACTTCTTTATTTGTATAGATATTAAAAAATCAATAGATTACTGCATGAAATTCGCCAACGTTACGGAAAAGGATGTAAGTTATTTCATCAATAAAATGGAATTGTAACCGAGGTATAAAAAATGATTACGAGGATTTAAGTAATTTAAGATTCTGATAATCTATAGGTAATTGGGGTTTCCTGTACACCCTACAAAGTGGTGGAAACACCCTACAAAGGCTAGGGTTAAAAATAGTTCTCTCGATGCCAATAATTATTTTGATACTGATTGAGGTGTCAGAGCCCCCTTGATACATTACACGTTGTCAGTGTGTATCTGTGTGTATATCTGTTTTCAAACAAAGTGATTGTTGTTGTATAGGCCTCCTTACTTACTTTTGTGTTTGTCAGCAGTGTTCGAGTCTTCGCGACGAGTTATCCGTCGGCGAGGACAAGTGGAAACAGCGTAGGAACGTCAGCTTTGACCAGAACAGACAGCTGGAGGAAGTTACCAAGGAAAGGTGAGATTGTACACGTAGTTAATACCTTCAATAAGTTTCACTGTTGACTGCACGGATGGCGTAGTGGTTTAAGCGGTCGTCACGCCGCTTCCTACTACGCCGAGTGTTGTGGGTTCAAACCCTACATGGGACGACACTTTGTGTGTTGTTCTGAGTCTGGATGTTCTTTATGTCCGATTCATGTATGTTTGTAAAGTCCCCCGCGACACTGGATATATTTCTAATGCGGGAGTTGTCTTTTAAAAATATGAATAAAAATTATTTTTATATTATTCTTCTCCCTATTACAAACTCAATAACAATAAACTGGCCTATTGATCTAGTGGTTAGTGACCCTGACTGCTACGACAGAAGCCGTGGGGTTCGATTCCCACACAGAACAAATAATTGTGTGATGAGCACGGTCATTTTTTATGTGTCTGGGTGTATTTTATCTATAACATGTATGTATTTAGAAATATATAAGTATGTTTCTCAGCAGTCTGGTTAAAATAGTATAGGCTCTGCCTAGTTTGAAATCAGACGGCCTATGTGAGATGTGTGAAAAAAAAATAAGACTACCACAAAACGAGTTACATTATTTTGCTGGTTAATGTACCTGACCTGGTCCTAGTGGCCTTTCTTTATTGTTTTACGTCATTTCTTGTCTTGTTTAATAATCATTGATTTCCAAGGTGCGTTTCCATCAGGCAGCCGAGGAATTAGCTAAGACTCTTTGCAAAGTTTTACGTTACGCCCAATTTTTTTATAGGTATAACGTTGTTTTAAAATCTAGACGTATGTACATAGATAGATCAGACAGAATTAAATCTTATTCCACTGCTAATAAAACTAGGAAATCGGTCTGGCCGTTCTAATAATATCTTTGCTGCAGTAAACAGCGTCTATACCCGTCCAACTCTAATTTGCCCGTACAAATTAGTCTTTCTAAATTAACACTATGTTTTCGTTATCAAGTCCCGATTTATGTCGAAAAATATTATAGTCCTTCGCTTGGGGACGGGGGTTTCCCCCACATGTGCTGTGCGCTAGTTGAAAATGTAAAATATCACCAAAAGTCATATGCACTGAGGGGGAATTTAAACTTAACTCCAATCCCGTGTAAAGCGATGAAGGTCGCACCATATCTAAATAAATCGGGTGAGTTTTGGTGCGAACTTCCTAGGGCCCTACTCCAGGAGTCCCTTCTGTGTTGAGGGAAAAGATAAAGAAACTCATATGCACTCTTCTGGTCTAATGAAGCATTAACATTTTCAGAGATGACCTTAAACGTGTGGCTGTGAGTCTGCACCGTGTGGTGGGCCAACTGGTGGCGTACTGCGCGAGTGCAGAAGACGAGCTCAACCGAACCGTGCTAGCGCAACTGCTTTCCAGATTACTACCCGAAGGCGACGAGTAAGTACTCCACTTAACATTTCTTATTTTTATCTAGAATTTATATAGGACACCAGTAGTTACCGTAACACTTACAAAAAAATATATGATAATATTAATATCTTATATATAAAATTCTCGTGTCACTACTCCGAAACGGCTCGACCGATTTTCGTGAAATTTTGTGTGCATATCGGGTAGGTCTGAGAATCGGCCAACATCTATTTTTCATAAACCTAATTTTTTTTTTTTTTTTTTGACTTTTTTTTTTTAAATTATGTATATGGCATAACAACGTTTGCCAGGTCAGCTAGTTATATATATATACTAGCGGACCCTACAGACGTTGTCCTGTCAAATTTGACACTGCGATGGTAGCGCCGTCTGTCTGATCCAATGTAAAACATTCCAAAATCAACAACTACTAATAAATTAAAAATTAATGAAAAAAACATTGTCCAGCGGACAAAATTGTGAATCTAAACCATTCCCAGATCCCCTTGAACACACACAAAAAATTTCATCAAAATCGGTCCAGTCGTTTGAGAGAAGTTCAGTGACATACACACTCACAGAAGAATTATATATATAAAGATAAAGATATATATATTTAACGAATTATATTAATACCAAACAGTATCAGTAATTGAACAGTATCTTCTTGTATATAAAAATCAACGTTTGTTCGTATTTTATGCGTTGCCCTACCATTCACATGATCAATGTAATATTTGTCATACACGGTGTCTAAGATGTCTTTTTTCAGACTCCTTTTGTCTAGAAAATTAAATCAGAGAGGTGGAATAATTTTTTTCACGCAAAGACGAACGTACTTAGGGCTGTGCTTTTATATGTTTTTGTTAATTTAAATACAAAACCAAGCCTAGAATTCAGTAATACTGATTTTACTATTCGAAACTGTGTTATGAAAATACTGTTCATATTCTAGCTTCTATAAATACACGTGAAGATCTCCCTCCGAACATTTGGAACTCTTGTCTAAGGATTAAATGCTTATCCTTTTGATGCACGTGAGGTAAAATAGGTCAGTTGTACAATTCCCAGAATATCATTATCAATAGACTCACGTAGAGATCTTAGGCCGAGACACAGCGAGTGTTGCCGGACGACAACGCTGCATCAGCAGGTTTTAATATGAATATAGAATATCGCTATACAGAGAGATAGAACTTTGTGTAGTACGTTTAATAGTAAACACCTTAGCACCTCGTCCATCGTCTGTCCCAACCATAATGTTGTGTTCTGTGTAGTACATTTAATAGTAGACACCGCAGCACCTCGTCCATCGTCTGTCCCAACCATAATGTTGTGTTCTGTTGAACAAAGGAAACATATTTATGTCAATACCTCTTCGTGTGATGCACTAATTCTATTAAGGAAACGCATATAAATAAATTCATTATTTAATACACCTCATTTATTTTATACGCCTGTGATAGACCGACAGAAATATTAGTAATAATAAAAGGTTACATCACACATATTTACATAAATGTGCAGACATTTCTATATGTTAAAGTTATGTAGGAAGAAGGTCGAGAATTGCGTCAGTCACGAAAATTGCATTGATCGTTTCCTATACTATCTTTAAATTTAGCTTACAGATATTCTTAGATAAAATCCAAACTAATGCGAGTGTGTCTCTTTATCTATCTGACTGTCTGTTACCTCTTAACTCTTAAACCGCTGCATCGATATAGATGAAATTGCGTATAGAGATAGTTTGAGTCCCGGGAAAGGACATGGGATAGTTTTTATCCAAGAAATCATCCTTAAAAGGGGCAAAAGGGGGGTGCAAGTTTGTATGGAAAAACAATAACCGCTGAACCGACTTAGATTAAATTTGGTATGAAGATAGTTTGATTCTTATAATAATCTACTCTAATAATTACGGACCAAGTCAAGGCAGTAGAAGTCTGGCAGAGAGTCATACTCCGGATAATATAAGCAAGCTCGACCGGAGTTATACTAGGGCCTCACAGAAACCGGTGTTAAGTATTTCTTCCGTTGGTTTACACTGACTGAGTGAGGTAATCAAAGTCTTAACAAGCCCCCTTTTCTCCTCTCCTTATTATGGAGTCGGAGTTTGACACTCAAAGCAACAACTCACTTGTGCTAATAACTTTAACTCTAGCGGCTAACGTATTACTGGGGCGTGCTACCATTACTTCTTGACTCGGATCATTTGCTTTCTCGAATAAATGAGTATTTCTGAGGCTGAAGGAACACCTCAAGTAAAGAGTCCAACGCATTTGTTTAACTTACAGCGCTAGTCAGAAGCTACTGGGTGGTCCAGTATTTAGCACATCATATGAATCCTTATTACTTGGACGTAAAGACCAATATTCGCTAATCAGTATTAACATTGAATACAAAGAAAGATACGGTATTTAAGTCGCATTAGTTCGGGGTGTGACTTGAACGGACGAGCAGATTTAATGGTGTCGAGACGTGCTAAAGTTAGGCGCTTGTGGAGGTGTCCCACTCAACATTAGGGTTGCCACGAACGTATTTGGAGCCTCCGCTCATCACTGGTTATTTTTTAATCAGACTACAATTTAGTCGATGTTTGTAATTTTTTTTTTTATAAGCTTTACTAGTATCTGAAATGACTAGTATTGCCGTTAACCCCTCCAGCTAAGCTAAATTGCTTGTGTTAGGAGTAGGTTCGGTAGTGTACTGGTCAGGATTCGAACCCACGACCTCTTGATCGCAAGTCCAATTTAAATTATCTGGTTTTAATGGCATAGGGTAAACGAATAAACTGATCATAAGATCTATATTGACAGCCGTTCTTGGTCATATGTAATTCAATAGACAAGCGTGTTGCTGCCCGGTAGCGGGGTTTGATTCCATTAACTGAATAGGTGAATGGCAACGAAATAATTGCTTAACAACGGTTTTCTGAATATATAAATACTATAAATATATTACATAGGTATGTAGTCGAGTTATGCTCATGGAATAAATCAGACCAGGAAATGTGTAAATAAATAGAAAGGAAGAAAAAAGAGAAGTTACCAAATGAATTAGGGTTCTCCACATGAGGATTTGTATGTTCCTGTTCATGTACCTCTTGGCAATCCTTTTTTTTTTGGAAAACGGAGTGGAAAATCCTTTCGGATCTCTTACTCCTCGGGTACTCAGAGGCCAGGAGTATGAAGTGATTCCACTAAAAACCACCTCGACGGCCGGCCTCAGGGAGGCCCTACTCTGGGAGGACCCGGACCATGTTATTTCAGGTCTTCCTCGAATTGACACCATGCCTGATCGGGCCCTATCCCAGGGGAAAACACTTCCCACGTATTGGCAACCCTACAACTGAAAAAAACAGAATGACGATTACTTACTATTAATATGTAACCCCTCCCTCTCTCTTCTTGTACCCTATACCCCTCTAACACCTGTTGCGCTTGCTATCTGAATCAGTACCTATCTAGTGTACATTGGCACGAGGCCAACTGTCTTATATGTAATTAATGCGGTTTTACTACACACGGATTTATATCACTGTCATAAAAGAAATACAGTAGCTATTTAAATGTAGAATCATTGTGCTTAAGTCCTTCTTCCTTTATTGTCATCTTATCTTGATTTATATTGTTATACAGGGGAGTGTCATTAGTCATAATAACTGTAGGCTTTGCACTGGTAGTTACGCCCTTTTTATGTTACTGATACGTAGATGTGATGAGCGATATACGACAGAACATGGATTGTTTATATGGATTTATGCGCCATAATAGTTTTATTTTCATTTTATTGGTTTATTACTGGATGATTTCTAAGAAGAGGCCTATGTGCAGCATTGGACTATTGATGGCTGTTGTTGATGATATGACTACCTCATAGATCTGGGCCTCAATTCTTTTATTTTTTATTAACGTGCATTGATACGCTAATGAGATGCCTTTGAGATACCATTGACTTTATCTCAACAGTGGTTATTTAGGAGGAAATTTACTTTGTGTCCTTTTCTGTACATTTATCAAAGTTTCATGATGATCGGTGTAGTAGTTTAGGCGTGAAAGCGTTAAAACAAACAAACACGCTTTTACGTTTATAATATTAGTTAGGATTAAGATGAAAGTCATCATCAACAGCCTTTAATAGTCCACTGCTGGACATAAGCCTCTCCTTAGAAAGGAGGTTTTCTAAGGAGAGAAAGACGAAACTAAAAATTGTAAATAAATTATTTTGCAAGAATCGCTATAGGGTTTACTTATTTGAACAGCCAAGTCATATATATTGAATGTCTCCCGAGCCTGACCTGTAATTTAAAATAACTGTAATTGGTTTTATTGGTAAATAACTGATTTTTTAACACTTATTACGAGAGTACCTTGATACATTTTTTTACCTTGATACATTTTTTTAAATTTTAAAGCTTTACAAAGACATGGCATAATTCACATTTGTTTCCTTTATTAATTGTAAAATTATTAATATTATTATATATTTTTAACCAAATATAAAAAACGATAAGGTTGTCAATCCATTTTTTTTTAATATTTATTAAAATTACTCATAACTCAGTCGTTTTTTAACCGATTTGGATATTTTATTTTATTTGAGAAGGCATACTTCACGTTTGGTTGGAAAATTATAATTCATTTTGATGTATGGGCACTTTGAAGTCAGTGACACTTTTTTGAAATATACATTTTTATATTGCAGAACGGTCGTAGAGGAGGAATCTCGTCCCACGACGCCGAACCTGTCCGGCGATCTGAACAACAGTATTGTGTCGCGTAGTGGCAAGCACGTGCACTTTGCACCAGACCTGAATGTACTTCTCGCTGATTTGGACGAGGTGAGCAACCATCATTTTTTTATTAAAATAACTACGCACATCACACACACGGCTATCTGATCCCAAACTAAGAATTGCCTGTGCTACAGTAATCTGCTAATAAACATACTTATATATTTCTAAATACATACATATAGATAAATGAATTACATCAGACACAAAATAAATGATCGTGCTCATCACACAATTATTTGTCCTGGGTGGGAATCGAACCACCAGGCTCTGGCTCAGCAGTCAGGTTCCATAACCACTGGACCAACAGGCCCGTCGTCTTTATAATAGAAACTGATAATACTAAGAAACTGGGCTAAGACAATCTTTCTTTGAAAATAGATCTGTATGTAGGTATACGCCCGTGCTTAAAAATATTGTTTATTTACTGTAAATTATGTGACAATATAAGTAATATATACTATAAATAAGTAAAATAATAAAAATAACTTAAGACACCTTTCGCAGTCTGATTCGAAACTAGGCAGAGCTTGCAATCGGAAAAAGGATTGATGTGATCGGTTTTATCATCTTTACATTTTTTTGATACCATATTATATAGTTTGACACAGATTCTTCTATATATCATCAATCATCAACAGCCTTTAATAGTCCACAGCTGGACATAGGCCTCTCCTTAAAAAGGAGGTTTTGACGTGCTATACCGCGATGGCGACGGGTCGGTATAGGGTTTGTTTCAAGTTTTCCTTCTCTCTGCAGTGCTGTTGTCCTTGCTCCCTTAGTCTTACGAAACCCACCACCCATATTCATCCAATAGGCGTTGGTGACATTCCGTATTCTTAATCCGTCACCACTCGGATAAACAATGTCGTAATTTATGTTCCAGGAGGGCATCGTGACGTTCTTGCAGCAGCAGCGCGACCTGAGCGCCGACATCAAGAAGGAGCTCGAAAGTTCCCTGCGGCGGCTCCGACATGAGGCTCACTCGCTACTCGACCTCTCTGCTAAACTCACTAACAGTTTGTATTCAACAGTAACGCTTTAAAACCCCCCTCTAATTCTGGTGGAGGGCACTCAAACACTTGTGACCCTTGAGCTGCAGATGTCAATGAGTCGCTTACCATCGGGTGACTCGTCTACTTGTTTGCCCCCCTATGCTATAATAAATATTTATTTCTTTCTCTCTTTCTCACTGACTCTTTCTTTCACACTATCATCGTTTATAATATTGTTATCTTGTAACGTGCCCGTGCAGTAATATATTTTTTTTTTTTTCATTTTTTTTTTTAAAAGACAACTCCCGCACTAGGAATAAATCCTGTGTCGCGGGGGACTTTACAAACATACATGAAACGGATACAAAGTACACCCAGACTCAGAACAACAATTTATGGATCACACAAAGTGTTATCCCGTGTGGGGTTTGAACCCACAACACTCGGCGCAATAGAAAGCGGCGTGGCGACCGCTTAAACCACTACGCCATCCGTGCAGTCAAAATAATTGACTGCACGGATGACGTAGTGATTTGTGTGATCAACAAATTGTTGTTCTGAGTCTGGGTGTTCTTTGTGTCCGTTTGAATGATGTTTGTAAAACCCCCCGCTACACAGGATATGTTCCTAGCGCTGGAGTTGTCTTTAAAGAAAATGAAATAAATGAATTTAAATTATTTTAACAATAACTAAGAAGTTTTGTTGTTGTAGAAAGTCGTCCGGAGTGCAAGATGCTGGAGTCGAGTCAGGTGCAGATCACGGAGCTCGTCGAGGACCTAGATTCGAGACAGAAAAATTGTGAGAACTGCGAGTTGCATAGAAAGGTACTTGAATATTTAATTATTTTAAATTTTCTTTTCTATTAAACTTTTATGAAACGTGATGGGACATAATGATTTATGACAATGTATTACATAAAGTATACACATAAATATATATAAAGTACACATAATGTATATGTATTTTATGTGTATTTATATCTATATATGTATATGTGTGTAATTGTATATGTTACTTATAATTGCTACAGCAACTGTAACCTCGAGTGCATCTACCTCACCAGATTGCTACACCCCCCAAAGTTTGGCTGGTAGAGAATGCCTTGGGCATTAAGCCCGTCGTTGTACATAAGTGCATAAAGTTGTAAATAAATAATGTTTATTGCGAGAATTTTTATTGCGCGATGTAGCATTGCTTGTTACTTCGTACTTCGGTGTGTTTTCGTTAGATTGTATACAAGTTAAATGATTTCGTTGCGTGTGGAAGTCGCCACAAATGTATCGTAATCAACCGTTAATGATATCTTGAATGTTTTAGAACATGGAAGAAGCGATGGCGGAGTGTCTGCAGAGAGAGAATTTGCTTCGCGCGGACTTAGAAGCTGCGATGATCAAGATCGCTCAGCTCATGACTAGCGCCGATGTTATCGCCGAAGGGTACGTAACATGGAATGAGCGTTCGGTGGACTGTGTACGAGTCTCGTTATCGCTTAATTGATTTGCTTTAATGATTCTGGTGCAGTGGTAGCTTATGCGACTGCTGTGCTGTGAACTCCGAAACAAAAATTTGCAGATCATACAAACATTTGGTTCGATCCGGACATCGAATCCGAGACTGAGACTGAAAAAAATAATGTATCGGATAAGAAATATTTAATTATTAAATGTTTTGTGTAGGTACGGCACGGGTCCGTGCCCGGAGGAGCCTCGCGCGCGTGCGCGGGGCGGGGCCGGGGGTGGGGGCGGGGGCGCGCTGTCGCTGGACGCGCTGGGCTCGCCGCGCCTGCAGCGCCTGGCGCACGACCTGGACGCGCTGCAGCGGGAGCGGGATGACTTCCAGCAGCAGGTGAGCCGCTAGTGTTTAAACAACTATTTGTCGATTCTAACGTCGATACCGAAAATCAGATTTTTTAATATTTTGTTTGTTCCAATTGATTTTCATCGGATTGATTTTGGTCGCACTCGAATTAGCTTTTACAAAAGTTGTGTTTATAAGAAAAAAAGAAGTGAAGGTGTGACGTGTACAGCTGGAGGCGGCGAACCGTCAGCTGCGCTCGACGCGCCAGTTCGTGGAGGAGCAGGCGGCCGAGCGCGAGGCCGAGCGCGACGAGTTCGCGCGCCGCCTCGCCGACCTGCGCCACGACAACACGCGCCTCGCCGCGCGCCTGCACTCCAGCGCCAGGATACTCACAGAGGTACGCGCCTGCATACACTCGCTTGTGTCAGCTACGGTGTGGGGCGACCCTCATCGATGTCCTTGTTTTGTCTATTAATTGTTTCCAGACTTTTCACACCACAACTAACATTAATTGCACCGCTATACTCTATATTAATTTTTAGTAATCTATACTATTTCTTTGTTTCTATTTACGCACTCTTAGCTACTAATTTGTATTTATTGACCACCAAACGACACTAACGATATTGATATATGAACGTTCCATATATTCAATTTATTATCTATACTTATACAGTTATATATACGGAATTATCGTATTTATATAAACAATATGAAGTGTCGTATCGGTGTGGCTACTAACCCCAGCACTTTGCACGACTCTGTCTACAGATGCAAAGTCTCCGTCTGCCGTTTTGCAACTGTCGTGAGCACGACCTGCACGTAAGTTTGTCCTCTATGTCTTGCGTCACACGCACTACAATTGTATAACATACATTTTTTTTATGTAAAACTTCTTGACTGGTGAATGCGTAACGAGAGCGTTACGAAAAGTGTGATCGGGCGAGGCGAACGGAAGTTGAGAGGGAGATATAAGTTAGTGAAGATAAAAAGAGAGTTACGTTCACGTTTCGTATATTACTGTAGGGGCAAGAGAGGGAGGTGCGAGCACACATTTTCTTTCTCTCTTTCTCTCATAGCCAAGAAGTTTTACTTCAGTCGTGTGGTCTAAAGCACACTCGTTCTTTTTTTAATTTTGTTATACAACTGCCCTGCGATGAACTTGTAAGAGTACATTTTCTTTTGGTTAAAAGGTTGCACTATTAACTGCATGTTTGTTTGTACATTAGATCATCATTTTTTTCAGACCTTTTTTCCAATTGCATTAGGGGTGAGGACAATCTGTGATTTTGTAAAGAGTTTTGGCTGGTTATTTTATAGCCGATCTGGCCTGACGCCAATCCTTCTTGACAATATCATAGAATAAATAGTAGAAATGTTAACTTGTTTTAGTGGTTCGTGTGGTTAAATGTTGTTTGTTATTTGTAGTTTGGTTCACTGGTTAAAGTATTTTGGAAAATGATGTAACGTCTAATTTAGAGCGATTACTGATAGGATATACTTAAACGCGTAGTTTTCCTACAATAGTCCTATTTTCAAAATGCAAACTTACTCTTTACTGGTAACAATATTAGGAGTAATAGGTTCTAACTCTAATAGTATGGCGAAATCCAATCCATGGGAGATATGTGAAAATGTGATTTTTTTTTCATATGAAAAATGCATTAAATATTTGTTATGTAGGTACTTAAAACTATAGGTTAGCTAGCTAAGTAACGCCGCTGTCTACGACGTTCTACAGATTTCTTCACAGAGTTTAAAAATAATTTTCCTTTATATTATTTTATTTCCCTTTAACTACCAAATAGGATTCCAAAACCGCACAGCCATATTATTAACCGCATACATATTTTCCAAAGCTTAATTACCTCATTATGTCATCTAGCATCTTAACCTTTCTTTTACATCTCTCTTCTCATTTCAAATCAGGTCGAACAGCTAGAAGCCCAAACCCGTGAAATGAATCAAATCATCTCTGAATTGGAAGCCCGCAAAATTTCCACCGACGAAGAACTAAAAGCATCAGAAGAGAAGATATCATTACTAAGAGATATTATCGCCAATCTCGAATCTCAACTCGAACAGAAAACGACCCACGAACATGAGATTCTAGAACAACTCGAACAGATGAAGAAAACAATAGATGAAAGGGATAGCAAAATGAGGAATTTGTTGGTAGAACTAGAGTCTATGAAGAGTGAGAAACTAGATCAGAGTGATGTGATGTGCGTTAAGTGTGGACAAGAGGAGGAGAAGACCGCTGAACTTTTGCAAAGAGTTAAAGAGCAGGTAGGTTTCTACTTGTTCTCAGTGAATGTACATATTGTAATGTATGTAAATATATGTATATATGTACTTAGTTGTATATTCTTACCGCATCAAGCTGGTTAATGAATCTTTTGTACTAGAAATTAAGCTCTTGTCACTAAATACTCTTTCTCTATATTTATTAAATTTGTATATATGAATATATGTATGTGAGTAGTTTTCCACCTTATCTGGTTTTTTTTTAAGTCTTACTAGAAACCGAAATTACTAGTATTCCCGTTAACACCTCCAGCTAAGCTAAATTGCTTGTGTTAGGAGTGGGTTCACGTCGGTAGTTTACTGGTCAGGATTCGAACCCACGACCTCTTGATCGCAAGTCCAATGCCTTAACCAATAGGGTACTGCCGCTTAAAATATAAATAAACATGTTTCAATTGTTTTATTAAACTGATTTGAAATACAGCAGAGACCCCTGATCACAAGTATATCAGTATTCAGTCGTAGTAGTGGATCCATTACAGTACATTAACAGCTTATAATAGTCCACTGCTGGACATAGGCCTCTCCTTAGAAAGGAGGTTTTTAAGCCTCTACCACGATGGCCAGACGGGTTGGTATAGGGTCTGTGTCAAGTTTTCCTTCTTTTTTCAGTGCTAGTGTCCTGCGTTATTTTGTGCCCTTAGTCGGCTATTACGACACTCACGGGATGAATAGGGGTGGTGACATTCCATATTCTTAATCCGTCACCACACGGATCCTTTAAGGTTGTTATACCCTGAAGTGTACCCTGAAACTTGGCTTGAAAAATGTATTTTATTTGAAAATATCAGGTAGTTACCGTGATGGGTATTGTTACAGTGTCGATATCTGGAAGAACAAATCCACCGGCGCACGCGCAAGTTGGAAAGGCTACACGAAGTTTGTTCAACCAGTTGCAGTGAGCCGAGTGAAGATGTATCGCTCAGGGATCAGAGAGACACACATTTGGAGGTAACCATAGATACTGATCATTTCAGTTTCAACCCCCCTTTACTTTATCTGTGAACTACGTCATACTCACAGTAAATTGACTCACAGTATGTAGTTTAATAGAGTTCAAAGTTCTGAACTGAAATTTTCTTTTTTTTTTTCATAATTTTCAATAAGAGCTAACATTAGATGGTTCAAAGAAGTAATATCAATATTTATTGGTATTTTATATTAATAATACATTTTTTATAGTTAACATTAATTCTGTAGAATTAAACAAATAGTCAGAGTTTACGGTTAAGAATTGAGAACCTACCCAAAATTGATGACTATTGATTTTATCAGATAATAAGTCTAGTGAATATAAAGTCTAAAAATTATGTGTATCTTTATGTGAGTATTAATTGAATATTTGATTAGGCGAAGTCCCCCGACACCGAGCCATCCCCACGTTTCTCGGAACACTTGTCAGAGTTGGCTGGCATTTGGGAGTGTCTGCAAGCTCACTCACGCGCTGTGGATGCTGCGCTTAAGAGAGTCGCCGATCTCGAGATGCAAAGGTCACAGTTAAAAGATATTGCTCAGGTAAGTCATAGTTTTAAATATCACCAATCACTTCATTTTTCCTTGTAGTGTCAGTGAGAAACCACCTTTATCAATTTCCCTCGTTTTCTGATCCAGGTAATAAGTGAAGTATATCATCATCATCATCATCAATAGCCTATAACAGTCCGCTGCTGGACATAAGCCTCTCCTTAGAAAGGAGGGTTTGGCCTACTATACTACGTTGGCCAGACGGGTTGATATAGGGTTTGTTTCTAGTTTTCCTTCTCTTTGCAGTGCTGTTGTCCTGCGTAGTTGACTCCCTTAGTCGACTCTTACGACACCCACGGAATCACACTCCGTATTCTTAATCCATCACTACACATCATTCATAACAAAGGAACAAATTGTATACTATCAAGTGTGTAGAGAATAAAACAGTTCGGCTGTTCGCACAACGCGTCAGACCTTGAAACTTCATTGAAGCTTGGCATTTGTCCAGCTATTTATTTAGCGCGCTAACTCTTTCACAATGACAACGATAGTCAAATGTCACTCGAGCGGTGCAAAGTTCCACACGTTCTACAGTTTCTAGATAACTCGTAAAGAATCTGAAGCTTTTATGACAAGTTAGAGTGGCGCCTACATGTTGGCACGTTATTAGCCTATTTAAAAAAAAGTAGTTTTAAACTTTAGAATATGATGGAAGCGATAGTATTAGCATTGTTGGACTTCGGATTTATAAATGACTGCACGGATGGCGTAGTGGTTTAAGCGGTCACCTCGCCGCTTACTACCACGCTGAGTGTTGTGGTTCCGATCCCCACATTGGACGACACTTTGTGTGATCCACTAATTGTTGTTCTGAGTCTGAGTGTTACTAATGCAGGGGTTGTCTATTAAATAAAAAACTCTACGCTAATTAAAACTCTCTACGCTCTCTACTCTAATTAAAACCTTCTCCGAACATAAGCAAATAGTAATCCAATATCGGGCTTAAAGAGAATAAAGAATAAAAGATGTTAAAGTCTATTCAAACGAAGGTGCATCACTTGTGAGATTACTATCAGAAAACGTCTTTTAAACAACGCGACTAGTACTATTACTATTAGGTTTTTGCAGGTGACATTAGTAGACAGACCTTGGAAACATAGGCGCTGTTGTCAACACGTAAATAAAATCGTTATAAATTTATCATCAAAATGTTCGCTGCAACATTATTTTTATATGACAATCGGAGTGGTTAGAGTTACCCGTTTTTATACATATAAATGTATGGATAAATATATAAGGCTTGTTTTATTTGCGATCTTTTGTATCATCCTGGTACTTTGCCAAAAATGGCAAATTCAAAACATTCTCAATGTATAAATTTTCATTCTGAAGTATAAAAATAAATTTTCATCAGCTTGGACATCACAAAAAGCAGCTTACACACCAGATTTTGATAGTGAGAGTAATTTGTATTCGTTGTTAGGATGCAAACTGTGGAAAACTTGGTTCAGAATTCAATTCATTAAAACTATTTATTAGCTTCGCTTCTAATTATAACAATAAATCTAAGAAATAAATTCACCCTTCTACAAACTGTCGTATGCAAACTAAACTTTGTATGTACATTAGCGATCCGCCCCGACTTTGCACGGGTGCAATTTAGATACTACTATTACTACTAATGTGGTGTCAGTGAGAAGTAATTAATTATACCATTATTATGATTAGACAGGACTACAGGACATCTTTATATACAATATTTATAGGTACGCTCCGCTCCTGCCGGCCGACGGCCGCTTTGCGCCCATATTTTAAATCTCTCATATCTTCTAAGATATTCATTTTTAATGATAAGCAGTAAAAGTCTATTTTATGTAGGTCATGTAGATCATGAAATGCACAACGTATCTAACGTATTTAATTCCCTCCCAGCCAAAAAAAAAATATATATATATTTGCCAATAGAACATAACAGAGAAACCCATTACATAACATCATTAGAAAGTATAATACAAGATTACCAACCATCACTATTTCTGTTAGATGTTAGCTCACCGAGACACAAATAAACATTAAATAAGCGTTGTATTAATGGCGATACTTGCGAGGCTCAACAGTCCAGGCTCCGGAAATAGACTTCAAGTTCAATGATAAGTTTTTTCGATCATGTACGATGATTTGTAATTTATCTTTGCTTTGAGCTGACATCAGCGAGAATATGTTTCTTGCCATTATCGTTTGACACTACTCTCTGCAGTCGATACAATATTTTTTTAGAATCTCAATTTGCAGGCAAAGGTGAAGGCAGTTTTCGTTCAGTTATTTTCTACATTTTAACTGGTCCAAAGGCAGTGATTAGGACGCATTCGAAAAAAAAAGAGTCTAAATGCATCAAAATATAGCTTAGAACACTAACACAACACTTTATAAGACTAACTATTTCATGATCACGGGTCGGTTATACGGTTATAGTACATATCAGATTTTAGCGGCTTTTTTGAGAATTTATTTTTGAATCGAAAAATTCCGTTTCAATGATACATACAGGTCAAGTAAATGTGGAGCTTTTAAGGAACATCTGGAATGAATTACGAACACATCCCTGGGTTCAGTGAATTATCTGCCTGTAAGTGTCTGTTAATTTGATGGATCACATAATGGATAAAATTTAAAATTAGACGCTACGAAAGCTTTTCTTTTCTCGTCCAACATATCATGCTCATGATATGCCTCGTCTATGTTTACACTCTGGCGCCGACGTGTTTTGATTCTATAGATTTGTGCCCAATATATAGCAAAGCTTCAAACGGCCCGTGGTTAAATTGCATGCTATAACTGCCCTGATTCCTGATAGTTTTGCAACATTGGCTTATGGATATGCAGAATCTGTCAGCTTTGGTTTATAGTTCTTGGAGTTCATCGATATGTAGATGGATGGCAAACACTTCAATCGGTTTATTATTATTCTTGGAGATTTCAGTAGATATTGGAAGAAATTGTTGTTTAATCATCGTGGCTTAGGATGCCTTCCTTCGCTTTGCAGTGCTGTCGTTCTGCGTAGTTTACTCCCAAGGCTCTTACGTCACTCGCGGGATAAATAGGGGTGGTGACACTCCGTATTCTTAATCCGTCACCACACTGACCATAGATAAATTTATTTAGGTACATATCGTTCGCTTTATTTTTTATTGTAATTTGCGAACAGATGCCCTACATACGTACGTAACTGACCCAAATACAACTATGAATGAGATTTACTTTAATAAATAAATCGAATTTCTCTAAACAGACTGGAATTAAGCAATTTTCTCAATCAACTTCATTAGTCATCGCCTAACACATCTAGTGGGGCACGGGCGTGTTATTTCATGTAATTTGCTAAAGTCCACGACCCTAATATGCGCAATGAACTCTCTCCGTTCTTCAATTTGTATTATAAGGTTTTATTAACTAGAAGGGCAGGGTTGACAATAATTTATTTATTTTTTTGTTACTTTCTGTCAATTAGTTTTGATTTCTTGCGATCATTACTACTTGTACTTGAAGCTGGTTTCGCAACGTATAAAAAAAATATACATATCATTACACTTATTCGTATTTCTCTTGCCCTATATGCTATACGGTTCAACTAAATTTATGTGTATGTAGTTTGATCCGCAGCACACAGACACAACTTAGTGTATGGATTGTATATACCAACTGTATAATTACACATTCTTCTATGTAATTATAGCAAATGGAACCCATAGCTTGATTACAAAGCTATAGGTTCCATTCCAAAGCCAAGCAAAATTAGTCTTTAATGACAGTAATACAATAAATCGGGTTGGTATAGTGCATATCTGCCATTACATACCTCTTTCCTTATAATAATAATACAAATTATTATTGTTTAAGAACAATGTATATTGATATCACTGTAATTACAAATACATTATAATAACACAATAGAAGTATAGTAACTGAATATTGCACTGAATGCAGTAAATCCCACCCACCCTTTGCCACCCAGTGTTCAAACAACAAAAAATCGTAACATAACCCATTTACTAGCTGATTGCAGTTAACCTCTGTTACACAAGCAGGAAGATAAACAGAACAGAAATAGACAGCCCTACGTGTCGCGAGATGCACACACTGATAAATATTGGTGTGTGCGTATAAATATAGACAGAGATGCGGAGTTACTAATATTATGCAGTATAGATGTGGTACTTTTTATTGTTCGGTGATTTCTTTTGGTCGTTTAAATCTTAATGCAGTGTATCGTAAAGTACTGTTTTACTTTAAAAGCAGGGTCACTGTTTGAAATAGTAGAAGGGTGACAAGCGTAGCTTCAAATTCATAAAAATCGGTTTGAAATACAAATTATCAAAACTTAACATTGGTGTTTTTTATATCAAAATGGCACTACACAGAGACGGCATTTTGTTACTTTTTTAACACTTTATCCAGCTGTAAATCCACGTGCAATGCCCGCTTTCGAGACAGAATTTTATGCAGTCAGAAAGAAATGCTTCTTGTAACAATCAAAATGTGTATATTATTATGTCAAATTGCAAGACATATATTTATTTTATAAATTTTATTAATTTAGTTATCACAAACGTATCTATGCATTGAGTATCGTCGCACATCTACAACTCCCTTAGCCCGCGCGCGCTGTCTGCCTTCAGTCTCTCCCGATGCTTCAGAGCGTGTTCTGCTGCCGTAAGGTCTCTACCCTATCTACGTTCGCCCCATTCATTGCCATTTATCATCAACATGTGATATATATGATCCATACTCATCCCGCAATGTACAAGTGAAAAAAATGTCGTGTCGTGTTCTGATGAAGTGAAGTGTGTGATGTTTGTCTGGAGCTACGTTAAAAAGTACGTTGGTATGGGGTTACCGGATCTCACGGTGAGTGGTTCTTTATTGTGGGCTATTTTCGGTTAAAGTTTGGACTAAGTGTTGAGAGTAAGTGATGATAGACTTTATAAGTGTCCGTTTGGAATTAAAAAAAACTTTCAGGTTAACATTCAGCTCCATAAAGTATGTAATTAGTTTCTTTGGTATCGTGTTTGTTTTGTTTCATACAAACACTGTGGGTATTAAACCCGAGCTTTACAGAAGTATTAATAGTAATATTTTAAGCCGTGGGAGAGCCAGCCAGCCAGCTCGACCGTCATCATACCATGGTCTTACAGAAAACCGGTGTTAGGTGTGAAATCATCGAAGAACAACACCCCCTCCCCTCTCCTCCCCTGATTCCGGGGGATACTCTTGAGTTGTAGCTGACACGTTTGCTAGTTTTTTTTCTCTCTGTCGCGGGGGACTTTACGAACATACATGAAACGGACACAAAGAACACCCAGACTCAGAACAACAATTTCTGGATCACACAAAGTGATGTCCCATGTTGGGATCGAACCCTCAACACTTAGCGCAGTAGGAAGCGGCGAGGTGACCTCTTAAACCACTACGCTATCCGTGCAGTCAATAATTTGCCCCTTATACCATAAAAAACTATACTATACTAGTCGGGTAGCTTCAAATAACTTTTTTAATACCACGTAGTAGGCAAACATCCCGGTTATTAATGTCTGTAAACGTTCCATCATCGCCGATGTGTCAGTTGTAATGTTGTTGGTTCCCACTTCACAATAAACGAATGGCATCCGTGATTATCACTAGTAGGGACTCTTGCACAACCGTTGAAGCCGGCAAACATTTTGATCAGAAATATTATGCTGTGCTAGGAGATATCTCTAGTTATATGTATTTCATTTTGAACACATTTTTTTAAAGACAATAAAAATTATATATATAAATGATTGTATATCATTTAAAATGTGTTCTTATGTAAGTGAATACGTAATTCTTTATGTGAATAAAGTTTCTTAAACCCGAAACTCGAATAACTTCGAGTAACACATCTCACACAGCTGTCTGATCCCAAACTAGGCAGAGCCTGTACTATGGTAACCAGACTGCTGATAAACATACATAGGTGTATATATCTGGTGGTTAAATTCATTAAATTATGATAGCACTGAAGACATAGTCACGAATAAATATACGTAACAAGCAAGGCATTCACATACACACAAAAATTCAAATGCACGCACATACACACATGCACGCTCACACACGCACCCGCTCGCACACACGCACCCCCAGACACATACACACACACACACACAAACACACACACACACATACACACACAAACTGCATGCGCGCACAAAACACGGTAATTAGAGTTAATATGATGATTGTTATGTTTAAGTTTTTATTTTTTTGAATTTCTTTTTGTTTTGTTAGTGTCTTTTTTTTATTTATTGTATTGCTTATTTAACTATGACATAGAGTTCTTTATATTACGTGCGGAAAACACTGTCTCCTGCAACAGAGTTTAAACTAGCGCAGGAGCCAGGGGATTCTCAATCATATGTGTACCAACTTAAATGTCAATAAATTGTTATTATTATTATTATTATCTACAAACACATTAATATGTGTTTGTAGATAACAATAATAATAATAACAATTTCACACCCTGACTGACAATTTAGCAACCCTGACTGCTAGGTCGTGGATCCGATTCCAATCCAGGGCAAATTATTTCGTGATGAGCACGTCATTTGTTCTGTGTCTAAATGTAATTTGTTAATAATATTAACAAATTACATTTAGACACAGAACAAATGACGTGCTCATCACGATGTTCTGTGTCTAAATGTAATTTGTTAATATTATTAACAAACGATCTAGCAGTCAGGGTTGCTAACCACTAGAACAACGGCCCGTCAGACAGTGTTTATTATTTTTATATTTCTAACAGTCAGACTAAGCAAGCGTTCATGGGTGGAGGCAGTCGCTTTCCATCAGGTGACCCGTTTGCCTAATCTGGCTCGTTTACCTAATCCATAAAAAAACCTAGTGTAATCAAATAAGATCTTAAGAATATTTCCTATTTAATCAAACATTCTACACAATTTTTTATACTAAACTCATTACTTAGAACAACCTACATATTATAAATATAAGCAATTTACTTCAAAAGAACTGGCGCCTAAATGATTTCTCTGAGCTTTTTATGCCTATATCACTACTAGATTAAAAAGAGAGATTACAGGGCAGTACAACCCCTTTAACTATTTATATAATTAACCAGCTTTTGCCCGCTGCTCTGCCCGCGTGTATCGCGGTAAAAGTAGCCAATGTTACTCGCTGATGGTCTAGCTTTAAAGTCGGTTTAGTGGTTTAGGCGTGATAGCGTAACAAACAACGTAAAATATTAGTATGGACGTATGAGAAACGACCTGGGTGGGCACAAGGTCTATTTTTGTTATGTTATGTTATTTATGCAATGCATAACATTCAAACTAAAAACAAACATACTTTGTTTTCATCCAATAAACAAAACAATGAGAAGGGAATACAATATAAATAAATTAATTGTTTCATATTGTGGGTCGTGCGTCAAACGCTGCCAACTGCGCATCAGACGTTTCTCATTTATACGCTAAGATGTCATAAACATCACTAAACGATGTCGTGGGAATATGTTTTAGTACAGGAATGAATTCCTTCCTGAATCTTTTTTTTTTAATCATATCTATATATATATATATAAAAGATTTCCACGTATATAGTCACTCATCACGATATCTCTGGAACCATTAGAGCTAAAGAATTTGGTAGGAATATTCTTTTCACCGAGTAGAGGTCAGCTAAGAACGGATTTTAAGAAATTAAAAATTTTTTTTTTTTTTAAATAATGTAAATAGCAAAACAACGTTTGCAGGGTCAGCTAGTGTTATATAATTGACTTCTTATTTCCTGACAATATACTTTTATATTACAAAAATGGTTTAGCTTACTGCCAATGCAAAGCAAAGAAACATACCTACTCTCACAAGTATTTTTTTCCAAATATAGGTAAGTTGTATTAAAAAACGACTTGTTCACGTGCGGCAGACACTTGGTATGCCATCAGAGGGCTGAGTGCAAGTTTATGTCACATCGATTGCGAGCGCGTTAAGCGTTTCGATTGATGGAGATTTCAGTGCGGTTGGCACGCTCTTTAGCTTAAACGGCTTTGTGGAGATGTCTGTAAATTTGTTTCAATTGTGACAGGTATAACAAAAATTTAAAACGCCGGTTTGTAAATTTTAAGTATACATCTCACGCTGTCGGGTTTATTTTTTTTCAATAATCCAATCGTAGCGCCGAACGCGCCTCACCGTGATCTGTTAGAAGTGAAATAAAACACACAATTGGCCCTCAGTTGTGTTAACGAACTACTCAAACTTTACACTAACTATGAGAACCACATTATGTGATATTTATAAGGAAGCGTAAATATGTCGGCAGACGTGTAGGCGACGAAGGCGTGCATCGAGACGCTATTGGTGCCGCCGTCTCATCGGCTGCGGCCTGCATGTACCCACCTACATGATGTAATAATTGGAAATGACGCGGGCTGTTGCTTTATTAATTAAGAAGACTCGAAAATTGCTACATGATATAATCTCGGTGTAGATTATTTATCTACTTAGGGAATCTACTTTGCAGTTTTAGTTTGAAAGTAAAGCGATATTTAAGTCATAAAATGAATAATATAATTAATCTTTTTCTCAAAATTTGATTGGGACCAAACGGAAAATATACATGCCTAAATAAAAAAAGAATACCAATACCATACCAATGTTATAAATGCGAAAATGTGTTTGTCTATCCGTCTGTTACCTCTTCACGCTTAAACTGCTAAACCGATTTAAATCCAATTTAATAAAGTGACAATTCGACCCCTCGATAGGACATAGGATAGTTTTATGTCAGAACTCGTCCTTTAAGGGGGTGGAAGTTTGCACGGGGAACCAATAACCGCTGAAGAACCAATTTAGATGAAATATGGTATGGAGATAGTTTGTTTTTTTAAGGAGGGACACTTTACCGCGATGCCGGGCCGACCGGGCGGAGCCGCGGGCATAAACTGGGTTCTTAAATGACGGAGTCCTATGGTAGTAACAACAACATTGAGAACTTCCTCCATTTTTTTTAAACTGATTAATGATATAATATTTAAATGAATTACTACCATCAGTGTCCAGAATAAAGGGCGATAGTGAATATATTACCGGCATACCATTAAATAACTTAACAATACATAATCTTCTAAGAACTGTTGATTACGATTGATGACGATGAACTACATTATTATGGTCTATCTAGTAAGGTTTAGCTAGAGTTTGCAATGTAAGCGCACAAAAACATGTTTTACACGACAAAACTTAGAAATTCTTGGATTTTCTGTACTATAATATGCATGTATTATACATGTAAAACTTCCTCTTGAATATCTCTCTCCATTGGTGGAAACCGCATTGAAATCAAATTTCAATTTATTGCATTCCATAATGTACATTCAGGTGGTACGCTTAAGAGTAGGTAACAATTATGGACCCTGTCGGGCACAGCACTATCAGGAGAGAGGAGGAGCTGCCTAATTATGCTAGTTTTAAAAGCTTCAGTTCAATACCAACATTTTCTGCTTTAAACGAGATAAACTAATTAAACCAAATAGTAATTATAAATCCTTTGCTTAGTTTAAAAGATCTAAGCGTACAACACAAAAAAGCTACTTTATTTTATACTACGTACAGAAGTATAGATATATTTATCAGATTCTCTGCAAATCATGTTTGTTGTACATCTGCAGTTTATATTGCTACACTGTGTGCCAAATTTGAAACTGTATTGCAGGTTAATGTAGCATAACAGTTTGGCAGCGTGCGCCTTGAAATTTTAAACAATTGTCAATACCGGCTGTGCTTTTGGTCTCTCTCTCTCAACAATAGATGTTTACGTTACTTGGTTGTTTAAATACATCTCCACAGAACTGACCTACTCCATTTCTTCCATTCATATGTTTAAAAAAGTCATTTTGAGGTACGGAGAACATTTCTGATGTGGGCGATATTATTTTGGTACGTCTGGTATCTGGCAAACTTATGAATAATAATATAAAAAACGCGAAAGTGTGTCTGTCTGTTACCTCTTCACGCTTAAACCGCTGAATCGATTTAGATGATTATTATAATTTGGTATAGAGATAGATTGAGTCCCGGAAAAGGACATAGGATAGTGCTTATTGTTAGGCTTATTACAGCTTGCGTTATTAAGCTTCTGAATTCACAACTTATCATTGTACATATCACAAGTCTTTTAACAAAGGTTAAAGCCGGCAGGAACAGTGTTATGTAAATCTTTTGTCTTAATTATTACAGTAGATTATAGGAAACAGTCATTTTTCTTTTCCTTAATTTCATCTTCATTAGACTCATTTCTGCTGAATAGTCATGTGTACCATAACAGCATGTTTGTTTGTTTGTATGTTAGGAGGTGCGTGCGGAGCGCGATGTACTACAGGCGCGCATGTCGGAGCAGGCGCTCAAGATATCTTCTCTGTCGGCGCGCCTGCAGCAACAAAGGAACGACGCCGAAGCGCTGTCGCACCAAGCCACCAGCCAACTTTCTGTACAACTGCACGATGCACTTGCTGAGGTACGTGGTACATTAGTACGGTTAGTAGTGTGTACTAAATTTTAGTAGTACAATTATAAAATATATGATGGGCTATGGAAAGGGGTCGATAATTTATATTTTACTGTGTTACTGTCGTTTCTTTGTGTTGAAATCCTTCGTGTCAGATAGATGAAAAATTATGAACATGTAATCAATTTTCATGTCAATTATAACTATTTTAAAAATCTTTCACTATGCTCGATTGTTTTATTACCTTACAATATTAACACACAGTACAAAACACCTGTACAAAATAAGAACTAAATATAAATAAACGATGTTATGTTGCTCCTGCAGGTGCAACGACTGAAAGAGGAATTAGAATCCAAGGACAAGCAGTTAATACGAGTTAAGCAAAACTTAGAGGAGAGGGAGAAACTTAACGACCAACATCACTCTTTGTACGGGAATTCATGTAAGTGATCCTAATTTTATTTTACTTATCACTACTTACAAATTCTAAGTAACTTCAGATAACACTTTGAAAAATGTGCACTTAAAAATGATTTATATTATCATTCTATTTTTATTCATTACATTCACACGTAAAAATACCAATGTCCAAAATAAGAGTTGCATTTCTTATTACTTTCACTTTATCTTAGATAGATACGAAAACATTAAAAAAACGAAATACTAAACAAATCTTTATATTCAATCAAACTTACTGCACCTCTAACATAGGATGATACAAATAGTATCCAATAATACGACGGGTCTATCGGTGGTCAGTGACCCTGACTGCTAAGCCGGAGGTTGTGGGTTCGATTCCCACCCAGGACTTAAAATTGTGTGATGAGCACTATCAATTTTTCTGTGTCTGGGTGTAATTTATCTATAATATAAATTTATTTAGAAATATCAAAGTATATCAGCAGTCTGGTTACAATAGCGAAGGCGCTGCCTGGTTTGGGATCAGACTGCATTACTATTATGAAAAAATAGTTTTGATAGCCTATACATAATCCTTACTATTTTATAGGTACACTTTAATTGTAGCACTTACTAACGAAGAGCATTTTTTACTGTTACAATATTCGTGATCACTTATTTGATTGGAAAACATAACGATTCGATGTAGATACTATTCACGTCGAATCGACTATCGAATATGACTTCCGGTTTAAGTCCCTATTCTTAATCATATATGACAGCATTGATCTGCTCACTGATGCATAGCAAACTTGACCGAATTCATGTTGTATCCTAATGTAAGAACACCGTAAAGACATCATAAATTAAGAAAGAAAAACACTTTCTTAATATCCTTGCATTTTAGTTGATAGAGTCCCTTTTCATGGTAACATGAAAATGGACGTTTCAAAATTCAGTCAGTGCACTGTCTTCCTATTGTAAAATAGGAAGACAGTGCACTGACTGAATTTTCTAATAGATATTTTAGATATTTACCTGTGTAAATGGCGTTAAACATTTGAAATCAAACTCCGTAAAATATTGTTGTTATTATTTTGTTTACCAGGTAATCCAAAAGATAAAGTAATAATATTAGAACGTGAATTGTCTAACGCACAAACGCGTATCGCTAAACTGGAATGTCTAACGAAGAGTCTTGAAAAAGATAAAGAGGAACTACAAACTAGCATCAGAGACCTTCAGAGAGGCCTGGCCGAGAAAGAGGATCAGCTCCAAGAGCTGTTGGGTAAGTACTTGCTAAATTGTATTTATGATATTAACGATATTACCATTTCAGTATTCGTATATTTATATTTCTACAGTAAATCTAACACTAATGAGAATATATGTTGAAAATCGCCAGAAACGTTCAGCCATAATTCGTTTTATTACGTTGGGAAATAACTGTAAAACGTAAACCATAGACCTAAATAGCTGTGACGTATGAAAATTGGGGTTAATGTTCGTTGAGTAACATTTGAACCAATCTTTGTACAGCTGCCGTTTTACTCGAGTTATCTCTGAAAATTATATGTAAACAATCTGTCCGTTTCTTATTGAAACGTGCCAATTTTTGTAAAATCATTCAATAACCCGTTCTGTAAATAAGATTAGTTTCTAAGAAACCGTCTAATGATTCAGTTTAGTTTTAGAATAACACGTCTAGGCACAATATCAAACTTGGATACCCTCCAAGTTCCTTGACAGCGAAATATTCTCCTAACTAACACACGCAGTTAAATATGATTCATTGCTTTACAGCGCTAAAGTTGGAAGAGGATCATCAAAAAGAAGATAGAAACGATGTTTTGGAAGGAAAAACTTCAGCGCGAACACTTAGCGATATAGTATCAATATCAGATTTCGATGAACAAGACCTGCAAATGCGCAGGGCGGAGATGAGAGCACACAATGTCAGTCTAACTGGTGCTCCTTATATAGATATAAAAGAAAGAACTTTAAACAGAACATTACCAACGGAATTTGGGAAGGCTAATATGAGCTCTCTTAACATTGAATTGGTTGACCATTTCGATATACCGGGTTATACGCCCCGAGCTGACTCATTACCGGCTCATTTGACTTCTACACAAAATAGGGATTTCCTCAAAGACTACAAGAGGAACGTCAATGAAACGACAATGTTTGGTATTGACGTGAAACATGCTCAAACTATTCCGGACAATTGCTCAATGTACCCTAACAGAGAAGCGACTGACAGTAAAGACATTAGCGTCGAGCCGAAAAGGATAAACTTTTCCCTAGAAGCTACGGATAACAAAACGCATGATGAATTAAATTCTTTGAGAGAACTCGGGATAACATTTGACTTAAAGCAACCAAACTTTCCGGATGTGATGTCTCAATTGAAATCTGAGATAAAGAAATCAAGAACTGAGCTGGAAAATGCCAAATCAGAGCTTAAGAACGCTGAAGAACAACTTTGTGAGTTTCCAGCTTTGAAAGAAGAAGTTGAGGAGCTGAAAAGTTTGTTAGAAAACACAATGGCTACTATGGCAAATGATAAGAAATTTTACGAAAACCAACTAGAAAATTTTACTTCGAACAAAAAACTTTTGGAACAAAGACTAACAGAACTTACTCAAGAAGTAAATGATAAATCAAAAGATTTACATTTACTCAAGGAAGATATTCTAAGGCGAGAAAACATGATACTTGAACTAGCTAAAGAAAAACGAAATCTCACAAACAAAATGACTGAATTAGAAGTTAAAATAGATGAGTTACAGAGTAAAAATAGTGCACTAGAGAAACATGAGAGTGAAAACCATCAAATGAGAGAAAAAATAAATGAGCTACAGAAACTACATCAGTTAGTTTCTGAAAAGAACCAACAGATTGACAGTTTGAACCAACATTTGGATAGGTTGGACGATTTGCAAAGAAATCTTAATGATAGAACTGAGGAACTAGACAATATTAAAGAGGCTCACGAAGAGAAATCTAATGAAGTGTTCCATTTACAAGACACAATTGAAGCGTTAAACCGTGACTTAGCGAAAGTCAACGAAGAGAATGATAAATTGAATGCTCACGCTAAGGATTTAATATTGAAACTGACCAAACTTGAAAAGGAACAAGAAAACGCTTCGCTCAAACTTCAAAGCAACGAATGTGAACTAGAACGCATGAATTCCTTAAATCGTGAATTGACAGCGAAAATTGACGAACTAAAATTACTGACAGACAAATTGAAAGATAAAGAAACAGAAATAGAAATTCTTCACGAAGACATAAACGCATTTCATGAAGAAATAGCATCTTTAAAGGAACAGCTAAAGATGGTATCCCGTAGTCCTTCTCCTAGAAGTAAAAATGGAGAAGATAAGAAATGTGTAGATAGACAAGCAAGTAACGACAAAAAACATTTGGTTAAAATACGAAAGCATGTATCATTATTACAACATGAGCTGGATTTCAATAAGAAAGAACTGAATGATAAGGTAAGTTTTTTTTTCTGATATATCTCTACAATTTATACAAATAAATAAAATTAAATTGTCTCTATGTAATGTTAAATTAATAGATTTTTTTTCATGCTTACACGGCTATTTGCACGATACCTTTACCAAAAAACCAGTTTAAATATTTTTTGTCTGCCTGCCTGCCTGACTGTTTGTTCCGTATAATCTTCAAAACGGCTAGACCGATTTTGATAATATTTTACTACTAAGTAGGTGTCTATATGAGGAGTAAGTTAGGGTATTTTTTCTCTCAGAAAAACCCTATAAAATTTTGTCTGGTCCGGGAATTGAACTCACTAAGACAGCGCTTTTCGAAGTCGCGGGCACCAGCTAGTAGTTTATATAAATAAGCCATTAAACTGTAATTAAAGATCACGCGTGACTAGACTCGTATAGTTGATGCCAATGGAAGTGATGCACTTTGCCAACGAACCTAAAAACACGTTTCCGACTAAATCTATTCTTAACAGACAGTAATTTCGTTTGTTTTTAATTGTTTTACTGTGATATTTTAGGAGTAAATAAACTGAAATTGTAATACTTGTTTTTGCTCGCGTTATCCTGCTAGAAGATTACATTACCATATTAAAATGGTTAAAAAAGGTGTAGTGTATCTTCTGTATATATTCTTACGATTGATAAATGTTGGGTAACGTGTGAGAACGATAAAAACAACAAATAACAAATTCACATTTGTGTTTATTACATTGCAATCAGATTTGTCTAAGAAAACATCTTGTGTTCGTTTAAAAGTTAGAAATCGTGTGCTAAACAATTCCAGTAGACAATGCAACTATATAAATAAATTTTGATTTTACTTTTTAGGCGTTTGAACTTGCAAAAGCGAAATTAGACGTGACAGAACTGAAGAGCAACCTGAGTCAAGCCAACAAAGAGCTCGCAGACAGAGACATTGACAATGCCGAACTCAGACAACAAACTGAACAGCTGCACCAAGAGATACGGCAGTTGATGGACCAGAAAGATCTGTTACAACAGCAGTTTGAAGCTGTGGTTTCTAGGTGAGTAGTAGAACTTAAATTCACGTTTAGCTTTTTGATACCGAAATTAGTTGTTAAATTTATTTACAAAACATTATTAAAATTACATTCGTTTGTGTATGCACTTACGGCCGTACTTAATGCCCACATTTTGGCGTCACAAATATTTTGGTCCGACTATTACGTGTACGTATTACGTATAAGGGTCATAGCATCAACTCGGAAAGGGATCGTTACCGTATTGTCTTTCGTCTACCTAACGTAAGCACGTAACCAAAGCGGATCAGTAGCTCCGGTGCGTCGACTCGACTACGGTTAGGCGATGACGTTGCTTTTACGGTTTGCGAGTTGATATGTGTGCTATGACCCTTATACGCAATACGTACACGTAATAGTCGGTGTAGCACGTAATGTGTGCACCTTAAAGGCGAGCTTATTTTATTATTTTTTCTCTGTATGGGATATTCACAGCTAGCATTTTTAAACATGCTGATGGCCGTTTACAGATACCCGCTATTAGAAATACATGTGTCGCATCAAATTGGAAGTCAGTAAACAAAGAGAAAAATCAGCACTTGTATTCATTGAAGAAAATTCTTAGCTAAAATATTTTTAAGTTTAGAAACGGTATTATATAAGTTTTAATAATAGTTTTGTACCACATTCACATAACGCCATCTAGTCTCAAACTAAGCAAAGCTTGTACTATGGGTACTAGACAACTGATATAAATTTTTTTTTTGTAAATACGGGAATCGAACCCGCGACCTTTGGAATAGCAGTCCGTTACACAAACCACTACGCCATTCGGTCGTCAAAGTCTTGGTTATATTGAGATCAATATTTAGTATAGTCTATTCGCGTGTATTAAAAATGAATTTTGTCCATGTCCACACTTTACGCAAGGAACATATAGAAGACTAGGTTTACTATTACCATTAGACGCTGATAATTTGAAATTTAATTATAATATAGTATAATTTGAAGTAGTGGTAGGATTTTTTTTATTAATTATATGAATGTATAGGGGGATATACCTAAGTAATATATGTATTTTATTTTCACACATCTCACACACAGCCGTCTGATCCCAAATTAGACAGAGCCTGTGCTATGGTAACCAGACTGCTGATAAACATACTTATATATTTCTAAATACATACATATTATAGATAAATTATACCCAGACACAGAACAAATCATCGTGCTCATCACACAATTATTTGACTCGATTTGGGAATCGAACCCACCTCCGGCTTAGCAGTCAGGGTCACTAACCATTAGAACAACAGGCCCGTATACCAATAGTTTGAGCAAATCAGTTTTTGAAGTACGGTTTTTAAGTTTCAATCAAATTCAAGGAATATTACAATGATATGTTTGCTCCAGAATGCGCGAGGAATCGAATGTCGGGGAACTGAAGAATAAATTGCGAGAAAAGGCTGAAAGGTGTCAGGAATTAGAAGTTGAACTGGAAAATCTCAGGGAACTTATGGACAGGTAATATTATTATTATTTTTTTAGTCATTTTGTGAAAAAGTTAATAAGAATATGAATTCGTTTTAGAGTTATTGGTGTCTGAATATTATTTGACATTCTTTCTCATTCTCTTTTTTCAATGCAAGGAATTTTCAATATATATATTTTAAAATGTGAGATAATCGTTTGTTTGGAAATCCAATATATCGCAGTTTATTTTCTCAAGCAGGATGGTTGTTTGCAAAAGAAATTGAAACCATACGTATATAAATAGAATGTAAACATCCTGGCTTGTTGTTTTTCCACTTGTTTAGGAATATTCGGTTTGCCAGGGTCCGCTCCCCTCCCCAGCAGGCCCCCTCCCCCGTGGCTCGCGCGCTGGCGGTGCGCTCTCCCACGGCCGAGCTGGAGCGTGCGCTGCGCGACCAGCTCGACTACTCGCACACCCTCGACGAGGACATCATGGAACAGGTCAGTGCTGTCCTACTGAACGCGAGTATTCGTTACTTCTTGTAGTAGAGAGAAACGCCTAAAAATGTCATATCCTGTAATTCAGATGCTTTCCCTGCGATCAAATGTTCAATCTGTTGTATGTATGCATTTCGTAACAGCAAATAATATAATATTCATGTAATTTCAAGGATTTAATTTATTTGTATTTTTAATGTAAACATTTTTACAACTTGAATATAAAAACTGTTTAAATATCCGGAATACCCCAAAAATCGCTATCACTATTCTCGAGATCGACTCAAAGATCTCAAAACTTGACCATAACCTCATCATCATCAACAGCCTTTAATAGTCCACTGCTGGACATAGGCCTCTCCTTAGAAAGGAGGTTTTGACCTACTATACCACGCTCGCTGGCCAGACGGGTTGGTATAGGGTTTGTTTCAAGTTTTCCTTCTCTTTGCAGTGCTGTTGTCCTGCTTAGTTTGCTCCCTTAGTCGGCTATTACGACATCCACGGGATGAATTGGGGTGGTGACAATTTGTATTCTTAATCCGTCACCACACGGCCATAACCTGCATTACATTAATTTCTGTAACAGTCTTTATAAAGTATAGATGATTTTCTTTGTTTTATAGCTGTTATCGTGACTGTGTAAAAATAAACAGTTTATATTGTCTTTACATTTCAAGGGAATTAGTGGTATTAATATAATTAAGATATTGTAAGAAAAAAATAAATAAATAAATAAATAAATAAATAAATAAAAATAAAATTAACCGACTTCAAAAAGGAGGAGGTTCTCAATTCGATTGGTATTTTTTTTTATGTATGTACACCGATTACTCTGAGATTTATGATCCGATTTACGTGATTCTTCTTTAGTTTGATGCGGAATAGTTGCCATTTTGTCCCATAAAATTTTTACATAGTTAGGCCCAGTGGTTTTCATTTTATGAACATTTTTAATTAATATTATTGTTTACTTGGATGATATAATTTTAGTTTGTGTACGGCCTTTTTAGGAGTTTCATTTAAGTTGATTATATATTATTTTATGATCATTTTTTTAGGAGTTTTCATTTAAGTTGATTATATATTATTTTATGAACATTTTTTTAGGAGTTTTAATTTAAGTTGATTATATATTATTTAATGAACATTTTTTTAATAAATTATGTTCAAGGTTTCGATTTGATGGCACCCATTTTCAGTATTAATGGCGACATGATTGTATTTTCAATGAGACGTTTCATTTCGTTTACAGATATTGTCTGCGAGCAGTGACGAAAGAGAAGACATTCCGCGCCTAGCTTTGAACACGTCCAAGTGAGTAGTAGATAAATATTTTTAAAGTGAAACTTCTTTGGAATAGTTGTGATTTGAAACTCGATGAAACGAAAATGCGTCACGATAAAGAAACAAACACATAAATGTATAGGATTAAGTCGGCGAGAGAATGAGATAGAATACATTATTTTTAATATAATATTTTGACTGTGTGCATATTTTTATCTTTTTATTTAATACTTGCTGTTGTGTAATAATTTAATGTTACCCGTGACTTTGTTAGCGTGGAATTTGAAAACGCTGCCTTTGGTGGGTTTTTAGTAGTTATTTAGTGGGTTCGATTCCCGGGCCGGGCGAAATTTTATATATTTATTATGTATTGTGTAAATAACCGTGTGAGCGTGAAAAAACGTGTTATTTTGACATTACAAACATATACTTCAATTTCATTTATTTGTATAGAAAATATTTTATTCTATAGTTTAATTTTTGCCGTGTGTGAATTGCACACACACTTTTTTTTATTACTATTTTACTTTTATTTTTTTCCCTCTTTTACATTGAGTACATTCTCCTCCCAAAACGTTGATATCTTACTATAAGGTATTCATTAACAACAATAATTAAATTATAAAATCAGTCAGAAATGTCGAATTGAACCTGAAACAGGAATTGATATGGTTCCGTTTGATCTTTAGCATTTAAATTGAATTGTTATCTCCTGTTTTATATCAAGTGTAAAGCGAAGGATTAAGCTACGAAATGAATTATAGAGAAAAAACCTGTGTAACGTCTTGATTCTACATTTATTCTACTCCTACTCAGCTAAGATGGTCAACTTTCTCCGTAACTTCTGATTCTGAATTGAGAGTTCACGTTTATGAGTAAACACGCAGCAGCCTACAATCAAAGGAGTTTATTCCTTCACTGGAGTAAAGAAACCAACAAAACTTCTTAACGTTTTTAATGATTTTACCTCACAGTCAGAGCTAAAACTTGAGGAATTGCAATACCTGATAGTACGCCCCTGAAGTTTTCCATATCTAAGTTTTAGAATATAACTATTTGACTGTGGTTTATACAGGTCTTCAAGCTCAATCCATTCGTCATCATCAGACCGCATGAACAGACTCAAATCTGACAACGAGAAACTACAGATGCATGTCAACAACCTCGAATCGAGACTCAAGGACAAAGATGCTCTGATAACTGAACTGAACAGGTGAGGAACGTAATATATATATTACTAATGGTACTCTATGTGTAGCTGCTTCCAATATATTTGTCGCTTCTGAAATGAGTCGACCGCTGTTAAACATAAAATTGAGAAAAGTAAGCAGGAAGATGACGTTTATTATGTTTTAGAAGGCTATTGTTTGATGCAGTAGTCATATATTATTAAAGTATATAAATATAATAACACCATATATGTAACAAATACTAATAGTGTGTCCGCTCAGGAGGTCCCCGCTCTCCTTAACACCGCGGTCCAGCGTTGCTCCTCTAAGTAGCTGAGTTGACTCACTATTAGTATATATTACACATATACCACGTGCAGGGTTCGCGACAAGCTGGTGTCGGACTGGCAGACGTGCAAGTTGCGGTACGAGGCGGAGCGCGACAACTCGGGCCGCCTGCAGCTGCTGCTCGACACGCACAAGGAGACCGCGGAGAGCTTGCAGGTCGGTACTGCTGCACATCACTTGTATGGTAAACAATGTTACGAGTCTATTTAACTATCGTTACGAGCAAGTGTGTTTTCGTTGACAGAATCAAGACTCCAACATGATCCAAATCCTGAAGAAGCGTCTGGAGAGCGCCATGGCCTCGGAGCTGGACCTGCAGCAGCGCGAACAGCAGGCGCGAGCCAGACTCGCGCAGTTAGAGAGGCAGCTGCTGGACCAGTCGCTCGATAACAACCGGCAGGACCCGCTCAAAGCACAACTTAACCTGCAGGTTTGTGTTTACTGCAAACACTAGTCTATCAACATATCACCGATATTTAGATATGTTTTTTTTTAGTTCAATGTACAGTAAATATTATTAACGCCATCTAACGAAGATAACCTAAACTACACAGTGACTGGTATTTCTGGATCTCGCAATGAAAATGCACGCGACGATTGTTATACATATACAACATCTTACTATCCATCGTAGATGCCCGTGGCCCACATGGTTTAGTCATTCGAACTCAACGGAAGATTTTCTTCTAAATGTCGGTGATATCAATATTTCAAAAGGTCAAAATCATTAAAAAAATAAACATTTAAACAAATAATTTTATCAACAGATTGAAACAAATGACCGTCTAAAAGGGGAACTGTCTGTATTGAAATCTAAATTGGATGTAGAACGTAGCAGATACCAGGATCTTCAGGCCATGCTGGACCACACCCGACTACATTCACAGAAAGAGATAGAAGCTAAGAACGAACTGTGCACTTCGCTGAAAAATGAACTTGCTGAAATTAAAAGGTGAGTGGTGTATCAACTAATTGGTATTTTTCTATCAATTTAGGAGCTAATCCTTTATTAGTGGAGCCGTCGCCGTGTCTATCTCCTATCTGCTTGACCTCTTGATAGGCCACGACTCCCACTTTCTCCTTCACTTGCTGTAAGAACGTTGAAATAGGCCTTCATTGGACTTCAAATCGAGGGCAAGGTACGATAAGAAATACGGTGATCAAATAGTGAGATGTTACACATTTTTTTTTATGCGGAAATCTCTTCGAATACCACCGCTGGCGTGGTTATGTGACTCGAACCGACCTATTACTGCACGCCGATCGTCTTGGGTCATGTAGATGACCCCCGTCTGCGTGACCCCCATGTCCCCCTTGTACTCCCAAAAGGGTCTCATCCTGGTCAGGCTAGGCCCAGGCCTGCTTCTGCTAAGGTTACAGATGGTATCAACTGCCACCTCCAGGCCTGCGCTTATGGAGGACGGTCGGTCGTTCTGCGACCTGTACCTGGCCCATTCCTGAGCCTGGCGGGCCGGGAGAGTTCTGAACCTCTCCCGGTCCTGACACAGGTGAATTCTGAAGCATCCTTTCCCGGTGATCATTTGCGTCAGCCGGTATGAGAGGGTTTCCTAATGCCTCTTGAGCCAATCCGCCATAACGGGTCTTACCGCCGCGATAACGGCATGCTCGGCGCTCGGTTGCCCAAATCGTTCCATCCACTCCTTCACGATTACCTGGTGGAGTAGTTTCTGGTTCTCGATTTATCGGGTTTCAGGATTCCGACCCAAATGTCACGCCTCCTTGCGCAATTGATACAGAGCCGCAAGGGCTCTCGCCTCCAGGTCCCACAGTGAGTTCTGACCGGGAGTCTCGCTTGCAAGTCAAGCTAAGTCCTACGGTGAGTTCTGACCAGGAGTTTCGCCGCCTCAAAGGAGATCGTGCGGTACCCTCTTATGACCCTGACGGTCAGCACTCGCTGCGGTCGCCGCAGTAGTGCGACGTTGTTGGCCTTTAGGGCACACATCTGTTATATTACTATAAGGTTTCCTTATTTTTTATCCAGTGTTGTGTAAAGTGTGTATGCGTTGCGCAGAGTGAAGCACGAGTCCGGCAAGCAGCTGGCCCGCGCCAAGCAGCTCATCAGCACGCAGGCCGCCGCGCTCGCCGACCTCGAGCTGCGCCTCGGCGACTCGGCCCGCCGGCCCGTCGCCGCAGCGCTGGTCAGTACCCATCTTCGTCTAACAATAACGTATTTAACTAGTCTTAGAACAATGTTGGGCCGTTCGTTATAGCATTATAATCTTGATATTTTAATTCACCATCAAAGTATCAATTAATAAAAACGACAAACCTTAATGATTAAGTAATAGATTAACAAACACATTATCTGTCCAACTCTTATACACCTTACTAATGTAATACACATTACATTATATTTACATTTTTATTATTACAAAATGTCTAAAAAGAGGGTATAGCATTAATTTGACATCTAAAACATCAGGTCAAATAATTACTGCCATTCCATAAAACATCAACATTTATAAAAAGTTAAAGCTTGGCTGTTAATACTTTGCATGCTATAAAGGATCCGTGTGGTGACGTATTAAGAATACAGAGTGTCACCACCTCTATTCATCCCGTGGGTGTCGTAAGAGCCGACTAAGGGAGAAAACTACGCAGAACAACAGCACTGCAGAGAGAAGGAAAACTTGACACAAACCCTATACCAACCCGTCTGGCCAGCGTGGTATAGTAGGCCAAAACCTCCGTTCTAAGGAGAGGCTTATGTCCAGCAGTGGACTATTAAAGGCTGTTGATGATGCTATAAAGGGAAACAATCCATTGAACTACACATGTCTTGTCATAAACGATTAGGATTATACACCTATATATATGTATACAAGGTGTAAGGGATGTCGTAACGAATACTGAAATAGTGTATTCAGACCATCATTCTGAGTAATCATTGGAATTTTCTGCAGGAAAATTAAACTTTTTATGCAAATAAGCTGTCAAAGGTTAAGGTCATTCCCCGTAGGTATCGCACTAAAGTAATAACTACATGTGTATTCCGTGCAAACAATCTACGCACACTAACACAAAATGGTGGCCGGAGTGGAGGCCCCGCTCACTTCGGCTGTTTGATTAATTATATTGCAAGTTTTTGGTATTTATAAAATTGTTTTCGGTAAAATGTTCTGTCTACTCATTGTGATATCATTTTTAACCAAAAAAATGAAAAAAAGTGGAAATAAATTGATGAATTTTCCGGCAGAAAATTCCAATGATTTTCGACTCAGAACCATGGTATGAATACACTATTTCAGTATTCGGTATGATGTCCCTTACACCTTGTATATATATAAAATATACTTTGAATGTATATAATATAAATATACACTCAACAGTAACTTCATCACTCATATTATCTTTGTATTTCTGACTAAAAACTTGTATATAATTTTTCTTTCATTTTTAAAATGCTTAGACTGAAATTGAAAACACGAAAACCGAATTGAATCGAGAATTGGCATCCTTGAAGAAATGCCTTCTCGACTCCAACAACCCTGAACTGACAAGCCTGAGGCAGGAGAAGCAACAACTCACCGCCAAGGTGGATAAGCTGGAGAAGGAGGCACAGGCTAAGAGCCAACCTCAACCCGACGAGAAAGACCAAGCTGTGAGTGTATTAAATGGTTTAAATGTCTGGTGTTGTGTTTGTTTACAAGTTGTTAACATTTTAGGTTATTAGACGATTTTTTGTCATGTTAAAACGCCCGCATTGCTGTAAATAGGATGAGATTGCTGCAAAAATTACTAATCTATATACATATAAATGATAAGTTGGTTTGTGTACGCTTTTAAAACTTAAAAGGTTCTGCACCGATAGAGCTCAAATTTTGACACAATTTACAAACCGCTTGAAAGATTGTTGTTTTTTGTTTATTTTTCAATAAAGCTTTAGCCTTCTGCAGTTCTCTACTGGAGATAGGTCTCGGTCCTTCGCCTTCTGCAGTCTATCTCCAGCTGAACTGTGTCATACGCAAATAATATTATTAAGTACAAATAATTTTTGATAAGTATAAATTGTTTAAAAAATGTAGGTATTTTGTTGTAGCGACAAAAAAATATGCTAAAAATCGAAAAAAATTATACTCAATATTCATCATCATCATCATCATCAGCCTATCGCAGTCCACTGCTGGACGTAGGCCTCTCCCATTGCACTATACTTAGATCGATTTTGGGCGTCTCGCATCCAGCTCAGTATTATGACGAGTTTTTTATTATTTAGAGTATTAGATGCTGTTATGAAGGCAGCATTGATAAAAAAATAAATAGATCATCATCATCAGCCTATTGCTGTCCACTGCTGCACGAAGGCCTCTCCCAAGGAGCGCAAACATTCCCTGTCTGGGGGCAATCCGCATCCATCCGCCGCCAGTCGTCGGTCCATCGCAGGGCGCACTACACTACATTTGCTTAATCGCGGTCTCCACTCTAGCACTTGTCGGCTCCAGCGACCATCAGTCCGTCTGGAGACATGACCATGGCTCACTTCCACATCAGCGAACTGATTCTCTGTGTGATGTCGGTTAAATAAATAGATGAATTTACTAATTTGAGCGGAACAAAACTACGTGTCGTAGGTAACATGGGCGATGCAGGACGTCTCACTGAATGTAGAGGGGCTATCACGGTACTTGTATACAAAACCTAAATACAAAGTTACTTACAGTCACTCAGGCCTAGCGTACGTAAATGGCAGAAGTTAACGGGCCTGGTTAATGATATATCTAACATTTGCCTCAGTCTTGCTCATCGAAATTTCTTCTGTATTATAATTATTATTTATTTAAAAAAAAAGTAAGTAGAGTTTAAGAGTTCTCAATCGTAACCTATAAGATCTTTGAAGTATTTTTTCTAATAAAAAATACCTACTATCAAAATAAAGATTCCTTTTCTAACTTTGTTTTAATATCAAATATTTTTAGGACATAGCAATAGACCTTTGCTAGGTGAAAAAACTATATAAAATTATTATAAAAGTCAAATAAGCAAATTGAAATTAAACGAACGTAGGGTTTTTCAATATTTATTACATACTTACACAATTTCTCATTTCAAAACATTTCAAATTTACGCGTACCGTTTAAAAGCTATGGTTTGATGTTGGAATTTGTTTTGCTATTTGAGTCTTCGATGTAGTCAACGACCTTTGCCTCCAAGTCAATGCTGCTACGGTTCTCGTCCACGTCGGAACAGAGCGGCTCGACGGACCACACCACTACACCGTAGATGATGTAGAGTGCGAAATAAACACAGTACAGCATCGCCGTAATCGCCGCCAGACCGACCGGGACCAACTTCTGGTTAAGATCTGTCTGCCCATTCCATGTTTCCTCTGACCATGTTCTGAAATACTGGGTGCATTTCCTGTAATATATGTTTACAATATTAGATGCTCATACAGCAATTGCAACCTCGGTACTAGAATCGGTTCTGGCAAACACAATTTCCATGTTGAGGGAAGCTTCAGATTAAAGTTTTCTTTTAAACTATACATTGCCCACTGACGGGGATAGGCAGAGTTACAGATATTACGTACGTACATGCTATTGAAAAGTTGAGAGTCGAAAAGTAAGAGCACTTACTTTAATACCGGTAGTGCTCGCCCGAGCACGCTGACGAGGCAGTGCAGCACGTGCGTGAGCACCAGCACTAGCACCCACACGGCCAGTATATACGGCGGCCACCTGAAGCTACCCAGCGCGCCGAACGGGAACACTGCCGAAATATACAATTTTACTTAAAGCTAAGAAATCGTACAGTCAAGAGACTGTCTGACTGACTGACTGATGTCGCTCAGAGTAAAACCGTTTAGAAGACTAAACGGTTTTACTCTGAGCGACATCCGTATTAGCTTTTCTGTACCAATATATAAATAACAGTTTAGCAGAGTCCAATCGGACTCGGATCTCGGTCGATCTTCATTGTCCACGAGTGGGCTATGAAGATACCGTATGTGGTGGGCAATGAAGGCTATGTTACCTTGCGCGGCGGGGCGGTCGGGGCGGGCGGGGGCGAGCGGCGCCAGGTCGGGCCGGTCGCGCTCCAGCTCGCGCACGCGGCGGCGCAGCGCGTGCTCCGACGTGAGGCGCGCGCGGCTCTCTGTGGGACCCTCCGTGTGGGATGTCTGTGACATTAAAAAACAAATCTTTTCTTTAAAAAGCCAGAGATCTCGATACGATCCACCTTGTGATACCTGGAATTTTGCATAGTATAACTATCAAGCTAACCGTGCTTTATGATCTGCGACTCCCCGACTCACGGCTGTATTGCGAATTTACACTAAAAACGTTTATATTAAGACAACTCGTAAATGAACACACTTAGTATCATTCACAGACACGTTAATTTTAATTCCAAACCTGTCCTGGGTTGAAATTTGCTCGAACGCTATGTTGTTCTAGACTGCCCGAAGTCCAGATATGGCTTTTTAAACTAATTTGCATAAACAATATTGAAACCGTTACGCGATAAGTATTATTGTTATAAATATAAACAATTTGTATCATACCGTTGGTGATATTTTTGCATAAGACAGCACGTTCTTGTCTTTCAGCTTCTCTTTCTCCTTGCCATCCATGTTCACGTTCAGTTCGCTTTTAATGAACGAAGGGTGATCGCCGCACATGCTGGGACAATGAATATTTTTTGTATTATTGTCTTTCGATGCACGGTCAGTAACTAAAGAATCAAATTACGAATTCGAATTGTAAAATTATTTACGGTACTAAACAAAAAATCGTTTTTCTTTCCTAACCCGATTGTACTTTTGCAAAAAAACTTCACAAGCCCCAATGAGTTTATTTGTTGTGACAGCGGTATCTACCTACTAAAATTGACACTTAATACATTGGTAGTTATAAGAAAAAAAATACAAGCTATTTACAAAACCGTATGTTATTTTACTGGTGAAAGCCCTCCCTATTGTTCATCAACTTCGATAAACTACCACAAATAATAAGTACTTACACCATGTCGGGAAGCTTCGGCGGGTCACTTTTTAGTGCCTCCATGATTGCAGTTATATAAACAGGCGGAGGTTATCATCAATTCATTTCAAAATCTGTATTTTATTCATTTCATTATATCCGCGAAATAATTGACGTCTCACCGTACACTGACAATTTTGTTCTGTCACTTGATGTTCCGTTTTTAATTTTGAGTGGGCCATGGTGTAGTTTTTTCGTATCTTTAAAAAAGATCCAAGGAGTTTACGTAACAAAATTAATTTATCAATAAGTTTTAAAAGGCACCTACATACATTAAATATACTTTTGATACCTTTTTAACTTTGCATGGTCTCACAAATGTTGCATCGAGTTTTATTTACATAACATATTGTATAGGTTTTGCTACTGATTACTAAGCTTGGATCACTTAACGGAGCTGTGCAAATATACATTGGCGCTAATTCTGTTGTTCCAAAACTTTCTAAACCAAACTAAAAATCACTAAAAATTGGTTTAGCCCTGTCAAATACTATGTTTTTAGAATACGAAACGTTATTTGACAGGACTAAACAAATTTTTTTGTGATTTTTAGTTTAGAGAGTTTCTGAACAACAGAATTTGCACCATTGTTTCAACTTAGCCCGTGAGCATGTCGAATAGTAGAGTAGAAAACGATTAAAATTTACCAAACCCCGTGAGAGAAGTGTTTGGATAAGTTGTTATTAAAATAGTTAATGGGAACTTACAAATGGATTTAGTTATTTTCAGAAATTAAGCTTTTTGTTTTATTTCAGATACGCTATCTTCATGGCCGGTGTCTTCGTTTAGAGAGTTGTCGCAAGGCCTTGGTTTGGCAGAAGCGGTACTTACAACGGGTACTCGCTGGATACACGGAGTTGGAGAAGAATTTGCGCCTGCCTTCGTCTGGGGTACCAGAAGTTAGCAGGGGCAAGAAACGGTTCAAGTTAGTATCATTGTTATTTATATTAGGTCTTTACCTATTAAATTGCCGTTTTGTATGCAATAAGTGAAAGTAGGTACTTATTTTTTCAAACTTTTTTATTTCTGTTATTCGAAGTAATCACCCATGCAATCGACGCATCTTTGCCAACACATTGGCAGTTTATTGATGCCCTTCTTATAAAAATCAGCTGGATGGGAGGCAACAAACTCTTCAAAGGCATTTTGTACTGCCTCTCGGGAATTGAATTTTTTACCCACTAAAAAGTTGTCTAAATTTTGGAAAAAGTAATAGTCGGTAGGTGCAAGGACATAGGCCTCTCCTTAGAAAGGAGGCTTTGGCCGGTTTATCAACGTAAGCTATCATCAGATGAGCTAAAATAAACCCTGGTACTTCGCAAATTATTGCCCACGTACACAAATAGTAATAAATACCTACATGTACTATGTTATAACTTTGCACTTTTTTTAGTTTTCTGGAATTATACCATTGAATTCATTTTAGATTGTGGTATTAAATAAACCTCTTCTTTTAGAGAATCTTAAAAATCCTAGGAAATATACAAAAGTGAATGTTTGCAGGTGCATAGCAACAGTGGTAGTGATAGTTCTCCGGATGGGCTTCTTGGTGCGACGTCGCCAGCACGTGCGCGCGCTCTCCGCCAACTGCCTGCTGCGGCCCGCCAGGGACCTCACCCTCACCAGGAACACGCCGTGAGATATATCTCTACTTTCTATATGGAGTTGGACTAGCAAATAAATGATTTTGTATTATAGAGAAAATAAGGTAGTATGGGTAACAAAACTTGGAGACTATACTACCTAATACTAGGACTATGGGGGATACTAGTTTATGTGAATCTGCCGCGTAGGTGGCGTCCCAAAAAATAGTTTTCAGTTGAATTACTGATTTAGATAGGTACGGCTATTTTTTTTCAATTAGAAGGTCCTTTTTTTTCGTGTAATGAAAGTAAAAAAAAAAAAATTTCAAAATAAAATCTCGGTAGGACCTCCAATTTTAATGAATAAGGTTATAAATTGTTGTATTAGAAGGATTAACATTATCTGTATCTTTGCTGCAAGCTAGAAGTGCATGTATCCGTGTTAGAGCGTGGTGGTATTACAGCGTGTTGTATGTTCCAGCAGCCAGCACAGCCCCCCCGTGGCCACCCCACCCCCGCCCCCCCGCGTCGGCCCCGCCCCCCCCGCGGCGAGCCTCGCGCGGCGCGCCCTGCAGCAGGACATGCCCTTCAACCTGTCCGCATCGCCCAGCGGTCAGTGGCCATTTAATGCTGATATATCACTGTCGGACCAAACCTGTGTGTCTAGGGATTAATGATTCTTCGAGCAAATTAAAACTCCCGGCCCGCCGGTCGGTTCGAGTCCGACATAACCATCCCATGTCGGTAGTATCCGAGAGGATTTCAGTACAAAAAAAGGGATTAAGCTTGTTGAGTCATAACTCTCTTTATTGTGTCCTGAAATATGTACGTATTAATTACTATACCTACGTAAGAATATTGTCAGCATTCCAATTAATTTCAAATCAAACGGGAGTGTGTCAGATATCTAAAGTTATATTGTTATTACTATACTACATCATCATCATCATCATCATCAACAGCCTTTAATAGTCCACTGCTGAACATAGGCCTCCCCTTAGAAAGGATGTTTTGGCCTACTATACCACGCTGGCCAGACGGGTTGGTATAGGGTTTGTTTAGGGTTAGTTTGGCCAGCCGCGAGGGGGCGGCGTCCGCGTGTGCCGGACGCCGCCTAAAGAGAGGAAAAAATATTGAGACGGAGCCCGCAACAGGAGCGGGTCGGCGCTAGGAGGGGTCCGGATGTCTTAACAACAGCTGTTCCCGGATCCCTCCTGTTACAGGCGCAGAGTGGCACACCGTGTGGTTTTAGTCGGTCCGAGTCCGACACACCACCCCGCCGCAAACCCCGGTGGGGTGACGGTCTGAGGGGATTTCCACACGTTAAAAAAGAAAAAAAAAAGGGTTTGTTTCAAGTTTTCCTTCTCTCTGCAGTGCTGTTGTCCTGCGTAGTTTTTCCCTTAGTCGCCTCTTACGACACCTACGGGATGAATAGGGGTGGTGACACTCCGTATTCTTAATCCGTCATCGTGTGGTGACGGATTACTATACTATTATTAATTAATTATAAAAAAGGTAATGAAAAATAATTTATTTCAGTTGGTGATTTCATCAGACGATCTCCGTACACCGCTAACTCACCACACGAAGATCCCTTTGTATTAAAGTAAGTTGACAAAATTTATTATTTCAATAAATTATATATGCAAAAATATATAACTTTTAAAACGATAGCTTCCATTTAATACTTCTGTAATTTATATTGGTCAGTTTAAAAAAAGTCTTAGTTAAGTATTAAACATATATACTTGTATATTACCTATATAGAGTATGTATGTGGGTTCGATCCCCACATGGTGTGATTTACAAATTGCTGTTCTGATTGTTCTTTGTGTCCGTTTCATATATGTTGTAAAGTCCCCCGCGACATAGGATATACTCCTAATGCGGGAGTTGTCTTTTAAAATGCAACTAAATAGATTATTGTAATTTTTTTTAGTAATATTGTAGTCTAGCAAGCTCGATGTATTTATGAGTAGGTTAAATGAATGCTTTAGCCAAATATACAGGGTCACTGGTTCAGTCGACCTCGATACTTTATGGGGTTTTAGTATTAGTGCACTATGAAATACTAATTCTCAAACCGTACCATTTTCAAGATATTTTACATTAGTTTTTTTTAATTGTATTTGGTAAAATTTCGGCGCTTTTTTATGAAACATGTTGAAAGTTGAATATGTTAAATGGTTGAGGTAGTAGTGAGTGTCTAACCACGTACCCGTGCCCCGCAGCTCTGCGGGCGCGTGCGTGCCCCGGCTGGAGCTGGTCCGGCGCTGCCTGGCGCGCGCGCTCGAGGCGCGACACGTGCCCTGACCCACCCCACACGCGCTCCTCTCGCTGAGCTTTGATACCTTCCGCGTCACCGGTTCGACTCTACTCAATGTCTGTTTCTTGCCTCTCTATATTTGAAACTGTGTGAAGATACCTCAAGACAAGTGTACGATCATGTGAATTATGAACGTGTGTTCGCTCTGGACTCTCGCCTAGTATTTAAACGGACACTTGAAATTTTAATATTGTTTAAGCGTTTCAGAGTTTCGCGATGCATTTCACGCCAGGTTAGACTTAAGTATTAGATTAGTGCCAAATTCGTTAGTTTATTTGTGTTACTTAATTTATTTTAATTTAATTTCTTTTTGACCGAGTTCATTGTGATGTACTTAACCGAGTAATCTACTGTACATAATATGGAATTGTCAAATGGAATTAACATATACTACGACTCCTCAGAATTACATCACAATGGACAAAGTTTGAATATATTTAAACGTGTATAAAATAAGAAAGATCTGATTTGAAATGTTTAATTATTTCACTCCGCCTATGTCTGTATGTTGAACGACTGTTGGTAGACTTATGCCACTGTGTGTCTACTGAAAGTTGGGTCCCACTAAACCACAACCCCTACAATATTAGTTAAATATGTGTCTTCATCGAGAACTGGCTTTAAGGTTCTCATCAACTGAGGTGCTCTTAAATGAATGCCTTAAAATTCCGAGTGAAATTTGTACGCAGATATAAGACCCAATAATTAACCATATTTGCCTTAAAAATAAACTTAACTCTCAAATTGTAAATAGATAAATTTAGATGTATGTATTTTTGACACGATTAAATTATTAGGTAAAAAAATGACATATTGTTAACAGTTATTTTTGTATAAGAGAATATTATGTGACCTTCGAAGTGTTATGAGCTCGTTAAAAAACTACCTTCATAAAACAAATAAGTATTAGACAAACAGACTGTATTTTTAAGAATGTATTGTTGATGATTTATTTAAGTTTTTGAAGCTAAAGTCTTCTTTGTTAGACGCCATTTTACGTAAATAACACACAGTATTATACAGTGGTGTGTTATCATATCGACTCTAGCTTCAATATTGTTTTTCCCAAAGCTACCTCGACGTTAACTCTTTGTCCAATTCAAATTTATACACTGTTAAAACTTCACAATTCTCTCGAACCGAAGCATTTCACAACACGAGGCGGCTTTGCGAAAGGCAACGCTTTATATTGAATAAATCGCACGATTTAATGCCATGTTTATTATAATGATTAGATTAATGTTTGACATAATAATGAATTCTTAGTTTGTAATACGAACGCACAGTACAAGCTAGTTTTAGTTAGGTTAGAACGACACGAAGTGACGACCGATACGTTCGAACGTTCCGTCTAATTGTTTCAGCGAACACTTGCACGAGAATTCGTCACCCGAGTGGGTCACGACCCTTATAGTGCAATGCTTCAAGACGTGTTGATATAAAACATTCCTCATGTTTTTTATTTTAATGTTGTTTTTACGTCTATCATGTGCAGGTAGTGACTTAACTCAGATGAAACTTTCTGATTGTAAAACAAATGTGAATGTTGACGTGCAAAAAGCCGGAATATACATATTTTTGAATAAAAATTTTAAAGAGTATTTTCATATTTATTAAAAATATATTTACTCATATATGTACATCGGGAATGACCGACTGGTTTTGAGCTCCACATGAACCCCCTACTGTCAAAGTGTAAAGACACTTATTGGTATTTAGGGTTTTATTGACTTTAAAAGTAGTCAGCCATCCCTGAATAACATATAAGAGAAGTCTATATTTAATATAATTAGTCTTTGCAAATTAAATATTAAAGATCGACTACACCGATGTCGTAGTGGTTTAAGCGGTCGCCGCGCCGCTTCCTATTACGCCGAGTGTTGTGGGTTGAAACCCCACATGGGACAACACTTTGTGTAATCCACAAATTGTTGTTCTGAGTCTAGGTGGACTTTGCTTCCGTTTCATGTATGTTTGTAAAGTCCCCTGCGCCACAGGATTTATTCCTAGTGCGGGAGTTGTCTTTTTAGAAAAAAAGTTATTGGAAATATAAGATTACTCACAACGGACTATTCGTATAAAATTATGTTCACGGGAATCAACGAGCACACAATAAATATTAAGTAGAAACCTTTGAATTGTCTGACTTAATAGTATGTCCATAAAGTTCAAAACTTTGTAAAATTGTATTTATTAGTTCACTATAGATACCGTATTAGAACAATACGACTAAAACTTACATTTCGTTAAACAAACTTTAGTTCGAACAAGTATTAGACGGTATTGCACGTTAAACAATAACATTTGTTGTAACTTTAGACTATATTGTTTAAACCAAAGCAAACGAGAGTATTCTGCCGTGCCAATCCAATACACTGTAACTTTTGAAAACAACTTTGAAAGCTTTGTTACAATTTTAAACCCTAATTTCAATACAATACAGTATTTTTTAGATTATTGCCTCTTTAAATACACTTTAGAATAACAAGTCTTGATCAGGGTATTAAACCGACGTAGAGAAACTGATTGAGCATTGTTAATTCAAAACACTAAGTCGAGTCTTTTGGATTAGCACGGCAGTATTACGAAGCTGTGTTTTAGTAAAGATTCCACTATTTCGTACGTTGAGGGAGCTGATGAAGTAATGTTAACAGTTCCAGTAGTTTTCTCTCCATTGTTCGGTCACTGTTACACTTGACTTAAATAAAATTGTATAGCCATCGGACTTAACTTGACTTAGCCGTTTGAATATTACTTCCCATATGAACCCAGGAAGTTTCAGTCAAACATTTAACTGAGTTGTGGGTTTGAAAGCAATATTAACAGTTTAGTGGGGTAACTCGGTAGTGTTAAAAACATGATTCGGCCACAAATGAGCAGGATCAACACCGTCGAGCCTCTAGCCATCCCGGGGTTCAATTTCATATTGATTTCTATTTAATTTGTTAAAAATCAAAATAAAAGCAATGAAATTACGAAAATAATTTAATTGGTGCGTTATAATTTATATTTACGTATCAAGTGTAACAGTTACACGTTGACATTGAATTTAGTACATCTTAATCCAACCCCACCACACAACCAAATAATTTTACAATCCTGTCAAATTGGAGTCAAGAATCTTTAATATATTCAGGTATTTTTGACTGGATTATGAAGTAGTATCCAATGTATTTCATATTTTACGTCTGTAGTTTAACGACCAAAGATTTAAAATTAAGTTTAGGTTTAGTTTCAAAATTGTTATATTTAAGTAAAAACACTGTTACGACCGAGATAAGCTTTATTACGTTTTCACACAAATTTGACACCACCACGTTTCTAGTCACACTTGAATAACAAACATCACACGTGCCATACAAGCTCTCTACAACCTCGGACACATTTACCACTAATATCAAAACTTAACACTTATAAACACTGATGTCATGAACAGGTATCATTTGTAACATGTTCAATTTTAAATGTTTTAATTCATTTAACCGTTCTGTTGTTTGACGTCACAACTGTCCGACCTGATTTTCTTTGCGATTAAAAATCCATGAGTTGGTAATGTGTAAGAGGTTGCAATCACATTCTTAAATTTAGAATATAATAATTAAAATAAAATAAAAAAGTAAATATTTTCTAAAAAAGTATTTTCATTTACACCTACGAGTCCTTAGGTTTTAGTTCGCAGTGACAATCTGGGTTCTTGCACGGAACCATTGCAATCGGGGGTAGTGATAAATCGTTCTGTAAAAGTAGGTAAGTGTGTCAGTTTTACTTAAGAAGAGAAAGTGTAACATGGGCGTCTGGTTTACTATTCTTAATGTCTAAGCTTAAGTGTACCCACTTCTTGAGACGCGACTTGCAGGATTATCAAAGATATTGTACAAAAATGATGATTTACAAGTTTCCTTCCAAACAGCCGGGCCTTACCAAAGTTTCCTGTCAAACGGCCGGGTCTTACCAAAGTTTCCTGTCAAACGGCCGGGCCTTACCAAAATTTCCTGTCAAACGGCCGAGCCTTCGCAGTTTCCTGTCAAACGGCCGGGCCTTACCAAAGTTTCATGTCAAATGGCCTGGGCCTTATTAAGGCAATAATTTCTGACAACGCTCAATACGTATTCGAAACGTCTAAAAACTACAGAACTTACGAGGGATACTCTTCATCACCTACGATGTTGCTATTACTTCAAATTGTTACTGACTTTTTACAGTGGAGAAGGCCTTTAAATATAATAACCGTCCCCAGGACTTCCAGATCAAAATATCAAAATGGCAAAAGTGCGTTGACAATAAAATACAAATCTTAGACCGATGAAATACAGATTTTTGTGATTAAAATGAAAGTTTTTGAAAATAAACTTGCTAGTGCATTTTGCTGAGTATATAAAAACCCGGTCCTATCCGGTAAATCACCTTTGAATTACGCCGTTGTAAGCCGTTAGCTGGACCAGCCTTTTTGTAGCCATCTGAATCCTCCTGCGGTTTGTTAGTCGTTTGCTTTGAGGGTCCAGCCTGGGAAAATATAAAAAATTACTTGTTTGTGTTTTTTTGTTTTATAAAACAGACAGACAGACGGCGAGGTGACCGCTTATACCACTAAGCCATCCAATGACTAACAATATCGTCATAAATAATAATTAAAGTTACGCTGTAAGTTATAACGTACGTTCTCAGTACCCTGCAGCCCATCTCTCTTATCACCCAGCTGAAGAGACTCGTCCCCGTCGTCTGCCGTTGATTGTGGCGGTGGGGGGTAGACGTAGTTGGGGTCGGGGCGTGATTCGTCCTTGGGCTCGTAGTGGCGCATGTGCTCCGCTATTGGCTCGTACAGCGGGGGCATCGGATACAGGCGGTACATCTTGCAGTATTTCTGTCCAATCACAAAGGTAAGTTATTAATTGATAGTGGAATATAATTAAACATTACACAAATTGTTTTTTTTACGACATTCTTACAAAATAATGGTCCAACAACTATGCCCTGTGAAACCCCCCACTAAAAACAAGAGCTGGAAGGAATCCTTGTGGATTGTTCTTACCCTGTGTTTATTATTAAAAGGTCTAAACTCATTTGCTAAAAAACTATATTTTTGGAATGTTAGAATTGGAATTATTATTATTTATTTATTTTATTTTATTCTTTTTGCACAAGTTGTACATAGGCGGACTTAATGCCATAGGCATTTTCTCGCAGTCTACCTTAAGGTTGAATTATTCTATTATTATTAAGATAGTGATCTAAATAGTCTAAAGCTTTGCTTAGATCATAGAAAATTTAGTTAGATTTGGTTATAAAATGGAACAAGTTACTAGTAGTAAGTCATTAGCATTGATAAATAAGTTATAGTTGGTTACATCAATAGCTCTACGGATGGCGAAATCAGGTCGTCCGTGTTCCTTGGCTTCTGCCAAAAGATGCGAAGCATGAGTTAGTAGTTTGTTATCAGCGTCCCGTATCTTCTTCTCCGCTAACTCCCCGTAGAAGTAGCGCTTAGCTGCCAGCTCGCGGGCCTCGCGCTCTTCACGTTCTTTCTGCAAGAGAATGTTTTTATGCAACTTTCAATATAGAATTCCGAAGAATACGTTGAAGACATATCTTACTGTTACTGTTATATAGAGTACCTACTTAGAGGCTGCCAATTTTTACGTTAATTTATCTATAATAATCAGGCAATATTTTCTCGAAAAAAAAATTTGTAAGGCTGTGATTCTACCGTCTAAACTTAAATAGGTAGCTGTTTAATGTACACGGGGCAAATGAAACGAGCGATGGCTGTCCATACACTAACTTTACTTTCTTAGAAATACCGCGGACACATCGGCGACACTTCGTTAGCTAACCTATGTTTGCCTACATAATACACAATACCTTAATGTACAAAGAAAAGCTACTGACTTAAGAAAGATATCTTTATGCTAAAGATTTTTGCGTAAGTCGTTAAAACGATGTAAATTTAGAATCTTAAACTTAGAGTAAGTGTTCGCGGATAAAGTATTTCACGTTTTGTACTTCAGTGATTCAACAGATGTATATCATATCCCACAAAGAACTTACCCAAAGCTTTAATATATCTGCCCTGTAGTCTTTGACCTTGCGATTTTTCACTCGACGCATGTTTTCTTTGAACTCTTTAAATAGTTCAGCATTCTTGAATCTGAAAATAAGAGTAATATTAAGTAGTGGTCACTATACAAGCACAAAAATTTCATTGGAATAATCATTTGAGAAGGCATAGTCTGCCAAGTGTGTTTGAATAGGGCTGTGTCTTTCTTCTTTATGCACCACATAAGTTGGCTGAAAGACAATAATTATGAAATAACGGAACTACACTCTGATGATTGCGTAAAAATGATACAAACTTGTGTCAAAACCCGCGTGCATCACACTTGAAATTGACGGTTACCATTTCGGAATACATATGAATTAAAACATTTTGAACTCATTTGAAGTGCTCACTGAAAAAAATGTCAATTTTTTAAACTAACTTTACGTGACATTTTATTTTTTAAAGAAATTTAGAATTAATTCAACTTTCGAACGATGAGTTCTGCAGCTACTGGAATCCATATAACACTATCCTACTTAATAATAAGCGACACTGGTCGTCTAATCCCAAACCAGAGGCGATACAATATGGTAACAAGGCCATTGATAAACTCACATAATATATCTTACAACAAAGGCAGAATAAAAGGTTGTATTTCATCATCAACAGCCTTTACTAGTCCACTGCTGGACATAGGCCTCTCCTTAGAAAGGACTTTTTGGCATACTACACCACGCTGGCCAGACGGGTTGGTATAGGGTTTGTGTCAAGTTTTCCTTCTCTCTGCAGTGCTGTTGTCCTGAGTAGTTTGCTCCCTTAGTCGCCTCTTACGACACCCACGGGATGAATAGGGGTGGTGATACTCTGTGTTCTTAATCCGTCACCACACGGTCAAAATATACGTACCTATTCATGATCTCAAATTGTCGTCTTGTGTTGAACTCATGAATACGTTGCTCCTCATCTCGTAGGAACTTCTCTCTAAGAGCTATGCGCTCTTGTTTATTTTTCAGATTCTTCTGCGTCTGTGCTTCATTGCGAGCGTCCTCTCTGCAATAAAGTTAAACAGAAGAATTAAAATAACTATCAGACAAGAATCGTGAGGATTCGTTTCTAAATAATATCATCTTGAAGTGACTATTTCACACGGAAAAAAAACTTACGCATAAAGAGGAAAACAAGTTACCTATGAACTCGTACAGATCGCGTAAAAGCTAATTAAGGTAGAAGTATAATCGAATAAAGGTGGTGCATACAAATCTCTCTTCTCTTTGATGGCTTTTTGCAGTATAGCCTCCTCTTTCGCCTCCCGTTCAGCGTCACCGGATTGCAATTTGTTGCTGATCGCTTCCAGAACACGCAGCTTTTCATTTTTCACCTAAATCATAAAAGCACAGGATGAAACTGTCGCTCATACCTAAACGTACAACAGATATTCACACATTACTTGATATGACACACGTGTATTTTTTTTTCTCACGGTGTAAGTGATCATCTAGGTAGAGAAGACTACCATATTTTTCTCAACAATAGGTCAGGCCTACCTTCAAAAGGCTGACGACCTATTGGTGGGGAAAATGGAACAGGTAGAACTGTATCTCTTCTTTTTGCTGCCAACTTTGTAGCAAAAAGAAGAGATACAGTGCAAACTGTTAATACTCACATCTAGTTCAGTCTGTTTTCTTCTGCGTTCGATCCTGGCGCGGGATTTATTGAGTACTTCTATGAGCCTGTCGTCCATCTTGTCACGAGCTGCTTGCTCCTTCTTGCGTGTAATCGTCTCTGCCTTCGCTTGTTCCATGTCTTTGAAGATGCGAATCTTCTCTCGTTCTTTCTGAGTAACACATGATTTGGGTATTTTAATGTCGTTATGACAACCGCTATTTTCAGATAATTGTGGTTTTACATTAAATTAAAGCTATCGTACATAATGTTATTACGAAGTTTTGAAACAAGTAACTCAGCAGCGCCTCTAGATGAACTACGATTGCCATGTGGGCCCACTCGAGATCTACAGAATTACAGTTTTTAACCCTCATCCATATGTCACAACCAACTAGAATTTGAGCAGATTTCATGAAAGAGTCTACTGATTCCTGTCTCCAGTATTTTTATTTTATTAGACATCCATTATCATTTGAAGGGACAACGAGGCCTACCTACATTCGAATTGGAACTAAGGATATACGAGGAAATTACATTTTGTATAATGCTTGTGCTATGCATAAACAACTGATCGATACTTCTCGTGATCAAAACAGACACAGATAATTAGTATTGCCATTCAACGTGGCAATGCTGCTAGTCTTCTGGAAACGCTGCCAGTCTTCTGGGAACGCTGCCAGCAGGCGATGACGCGGAGGAACTTTTTGATGTTTCAGACTCAAACTCTTTATTTCATTTTTCTTTTTAATTGTTTGAAATTGTCTTTTATGTAGACTCTAAAATCATACATAGATCAACACACACAATAGCAACAATCTCTGTTTTGTCAAATAGTACGAAAAATTAGTTTAATAAAAATTTAACTTATACAAAATCTATGATATATGATATGCCTTATATCATAGATTTTGTATAAGTTTAATTGTTATTAAATTTATTTTTACGTGTGGAAACCGGAGAGATCCGGAAACTGCTATTATGCAACTCATGCCAAAGACTTCAGTCGCAGTAGTCTAATAGCTGAGGAAAACGCCGAAATAATACTATTAGAATACGAACACGAAATACGTATTTGGCGGTACGGTAATATTCGTATAATACCAGAAAGCGGCGACAAGCCGCCGGATGATCCTAAATCTTACCAACCAATCACATTGTCGCAGCACCAAGCGACTCACATTGTCACTCCTAGCGACGGAGTGCAGATACTTCCCGAAGCAGCCGTGACTGGAAAGGCCTACGTTAGTCAGAAGGAAAGGGTCCTATGCTGCCGCCCTAACCACTTGACGATAACTGGCTGGAGCGCCTCCACGGCGGCGAAGCCAGCATCCCGAGCCTCCAGTCGAGACGACCAACGTACCATAGCGGCTTCACGCCACTCGTGTATCTTGCCCTGGTCTATGATATGCCAGTGCCGATCTACAACCGCCCGTTTTCAAAGGATTGAGCCTTATGAAAAGTAAGGGCAAAGAAACTCATAGTCACTCTTTTGCAATTTACAGATAGATACAATGGCATAATTAAATATACCACAAATATTTATTTATTTATTAAAAACAATTACAGTGTCTTTACAGGATTTATCCCAAAACGATACTAAAAAACTAAACGATACTAATATACTTAAATGTGTGTCAGTATGTCCGCTATTAAGGACTAAAAGGTACAGAAACAATGAAGAGAAACAAGATTAAGAAAAAAATTACGAATAAAAAAGAAAATTAAGTAAAAAAAATATGTTTAGTCAAAGCAGTAGTTTTTTTTATGTCAGAGGGGCAGACGAGCAGACGGGTCACCTGATGGAAAGTGACTATCACCACCCATGAACGTCTGCAACTTAGGAGTCACAAACGCGTTGCCGGCCTATTAGGAAGGAGTACGCTTTTGGGGGTGACGGATTAAGAATACAGTGTCACCACCCCTATTCATCCCGTGGTTGTCGTAAGAGCCGACTAAGGGAAAAAACTACGCAGGACAGAGAGAAGGAAAACTTGACACGAACCCTATACCAACCCGTCTGGCCAGCGTGGTATAGTAGGCCAAAACCTCCTTTCTAAGGAGTGGCTTATGTCCAGCAGTGGACTATTAAAGGCTGTTGATGATGATGTGATGACGCTCTTTTCTTGAAGGTTTGAAGGTCGCATCTGTCCGGAAATACGGCAGACGATAACCCGTTCCACAGATTGGTTGTGCGGGGCAAAAAGTGTCTCGAAAAGCGCACAGTAGTATTTACAAATTACTTACAAAGTCTTTATCAAATTCTTTCATGGCGTCTATTTCTGCACTCGCATTGATGTTGTCAATCTTCTGCAAATTGAGCTCCGTCTCGTAGGCTTTGCGGTTACGTTCTGCCACTTCGTGTGCTCTGTACGCGAGAAAGTAATAGATATAGGGTTTTGTCTATGGTATAAAGGGGTAATCGAGCAGACGGGTCACCCTATGGTAAGCAACTACCGCCGCCCATAAACACCTGCAACTCAAAAGTCACAAGTGCCGTTGCCGCCCTTGGAGTCGGGTTTGGGCTCCGGTAACCTCACTCACCCAGTGAAAGGCAACGAAAGAATTGCTTAATACCGGTTTTCTTTGAGGCCGTGGTATCACTCCTGTCGAGCTGGCCCTATCGTGCCGAAGCATGGCTCTCCCACGGCTAATACAGCTTAAGTTTTAATATCAACACAAGTCTCTGTTTTGTTCTCTTCGTATAGGTAGGCTGCAAAGAAATTATCTCCCCCCATTGTCGTGTCCGCGCACAACGTCTGGCTGGATTACACTGCAGAAACTCAGACCACTACCAAGTTACCTACCTACCTACCAAGTTAGCCCTACCTGTTGTACACCAAACATTGCTGTAGATAGTCTCCTAGTGAAAATCTTTTATTTTTATTCTATTCTTCAAATCAAATTTCTTGTAAATAAACCGTGAAAGTTTCTGTTAAATACCTAACTAAGATATATGATATATTAATTGGCGATTTTGTAAGTTTATTAGTTTTGGCCTGCCACATTCCTCTTTCATAAATCTTCAGTTAGACATTTAAATCTATGCGTACGCCTCAACACGACCATTTTTGAACCGCATTTCACATTTCAATAAGTAACTCCTGGTACCTATACAATCTAGATCAAGCCAATAATACCATAGGTACCTAATATCAGTTTATAAAAGATTAATTAGTAGTAATAAAACTGACTTACTGCTCCAGAATTTCCTTTTGATGCTGTTTATTCACCTCGAATCTTCTCTTCCTTCTCAGTTCGTTGAGCTCGTTCCATTCCTTGGCTTGTTGTATGATGTGGTCGTCGTTTTTCCGTTTGTTCTCGGCTTCTTGGCGACGGAGTTCATTCAAGAAATTTATTTGTTCTATGCGTTCTTTCTGGACCGCAGTTTCTATTACAGCACTGCGAGATTGACATGAGCAAAATTAAGAACAACAGATTATCCTGAACGCCCTAAACATAAACAAGATTTCATTAGAAACATTATAAATAGTGTGGTGATGATGATATATCATGGATAGATTTCCTTTCACATAGTAATAGTGTTTGGACATTAATTGATCAGACGTAAAATGAGTCTCAGTTTTAAAGGGTAACAAATTAATCGCAAATATATATTGTTATGCAGATGCGATGGTCTCTAGCCCAGAATCTCATATCATACAGAGAATTGGACGACTTCAATGAAACCAACGATCCTCGGTTACTGTTTAAAAACAAAACGTAATATTAGGCGGGCAATCTTTAGAAGTCGATACTATTCTATTTAAATGAGATGACAATTTTTTTTCTAAACCTACACTACCTACGTTACATTTTAAGAAACTGAATCAATTCAAGAATTCTAATATCAAGTGATATGTGAAACATAATAAAATACATAAAACTATATGACCGTGTTGTGACGGATTAAGAATACAGAGTTTCACCACCCCTATTCATACCGTGGGTGTCGTAAGAGCCGACTAAGGGAGCAAACTACGCAGGACAACAGCACTGCATGGAGAAGGAAAACTTGACACAAACCCTATACCAACCCGTCTGGTCAGCGTGGTATAGTAGGCCAAAACCTCCTTTCTAATGAGAGGCCTATGTCCAGCAGTGGACTGGTAAAGGGTGTTGATGATGATGATATGACTCAGAGCTTAAACGAAATCAGTTTTTCATTGTTTTTATCAGATGCAAACATGGCTTACGTTAGTAGTAGTTTTGGTGCATCGCTACTCTTAAACATGATGTCTCTGGCTGAATACATGAGCTGCTCCTGCTTTTCCTTCTTTTTTCTCAAATAACGCTTGTAGAATATAGTATTGGCCTGCTCTGCCGCTTCTATCCGAGCCAGTCGTAGCTCTTCGTTGCGCCTGTTCACATTCTAAAAATATACTGATTTTATACCTTGGTTGCACTCGAAACTAAATAAAAAGAAATTAGAAATGATTCCTTCAGACCGATTATTTGTATCTATCTAATTTCAATAAACATGTTAACAAATATTTCAGAATTTAAAAGATCTTGGCAAATGTGGTAGATAATAATAATAATATTTCAGACATCTGACACACAATGCCATCTAGTTTCAAACTAAGCAGAAATTGTACTATGAAAACTAGATAGAATGAAAACACGACAAAATTACAGCTTCTATAATGGATACAATCCTTGCAATACAACGTTAATGGTTCCTAAATTTGAATTAAGTGTACCTATATATTATCTTATTGTTAAGACCTCTCTGTCGCTACTACATAGGAAGAGATTAAAGTAAAAAAATTGGTAAATAAATATGTAATTTGGTAAATGTGTATGCAGTTAAACTAAGCCGGGCCGGCTCGACCACATAGGTGCCTAGCATGATGGCCTCACAGAACACCTCTTGATTTGATTTGATTTGAGTTACCGAGGTCTACAGTCTCCCTCCCAATTTTTTTTTTTTTTTGTGACCCGGACACCTCCCACCTGACAACCAATGGGGAGGTTATGTCGAACTCGAACCGACTTAAAACCGCACGCTGTCCCGGGTACTAGTAGCCTTAGAACCAGGTGTACCCTAGAAAAGAAATCCCTTATACCCCAACGGACCCCGGACCATCTACGGCTTGTAATGACCCCTGGTGTGTGGGAACCACGATGTTAGGTTAGAACAACTCTCTAAAGGGCGCGGGCGCTCCACAGTGGCCTGCTTCTGCTAGACTGACGAATGGCCTTACCTGTCACCCTCTGGCCTGCGCCTAGCGTCCTCCGTCCCCCTTTTTTTTTTTTTTTTTTTTTTTTTTTTTTTTTTTTTTCCATACCACCTGTGGGTGACATGTCGGACTCGAACCGACTAAAACCGCACGCCTTCGCCGGGTACTAATAGCCGGGGAACCAGGTATACCCTAGAAAAGATGCCGGAGGAGAGACACAAAACGCGGCAATGCACTTTTAACTACGTAATATGATTACCTACTCTGTTTTAGTTAGTGATTGCTTCTAAAATATAAATACAAGTACAAAATATAAGTTAAGTTAATCATCTATGCTTCAAGGTAGTAAAAGGGAATTTCAAGCTTTTCAACGACATTTAACAGAAATTGCAACCTACTTCATAATACTATTTTTTTGGTATTTAATAAAATATATCTAAATGTCAAGTTTTGAAGTTCTCCTTCAATCAAAGTACGGTAGAATTCCTTGATAATTACACTCAAGTTTCATATCATTTTCTTAATTTTTTCAGTCCTTGACATACTTTCATACGAGGACACGAGTTTTGTTTCATACGAAATAAAAATATGGTAGTCAATACCTCAACAGAATTAGGCCAAGTCTTGGTCATCTCTTGACTTGCCGTGTTTAAGAAGTTTACGTATTCTCTTCGTCGCACCGCCTCTGGATCTTCTTTATCTGGAGACGTCCGTTTCTTAATCCGCTCCCACTCCTTCTGGCTCAAGGCAATCGGCATTGTTGCTGGTTTCAATGCAATTTTTTTATGTGGAAATAGTTAAATTCAGCAGTAAGGAGAAGGAATAGTCAATCCAAGTATATATGATATGTGTGCTAGCCAGCTGTATTTATTATAAAAACATGTTACAATAAACAGTCATTTCCTGACAACTACTTTTTTCTTAAAATTATTTAGCAATAGATCCGTGTCTTCTTTCACTGTCGAATCTCGTTTAGTCTGTACAAGAAGTATCTACATCCAGATTATTTATTTTTGCGTATTAACCAAAAGAGATCACAGTAACCGCATAATACACAAAATGATAAAAAGTTTCTTGTTACGTGAAACATAACAAATAATTTAGAATAAAAAATAGTTTTAACAAAATAATTTATCCTGAATCCGACATTAGTGTGGTTGCTATAGAAACACGATGGACGGCGTGGCGTTTGGCGTTAAAGTCGCGCATTCCTTTCCAATACTGTGTAGGTTACAGTTCAATGAAAAAAGGACCTTTTAGTATTTGTTTTAGGAACCGCTTTTACTTTATTTTCTACATTTTGTTTCTTAAAATAAGCGTTAACGACAAATTGATCAATACCCAAACAATGGAGTTGCCTTATATCATCATCATCATCATCAACAGCCTTTAATATTTCACTGCTGGACATAAGGCTCTCCTTAGAAAGGAGGTTTGCCTTATATGTAGAGTAGAAACTTATGCCTGGTCATCTCTTTAAACATTTACTTAAAGTGATCCTGTCTATTCTTGAAAAGCAAGGATGACGAGCAATTTTGTCGTTATTTTAAAATATTTTTTGGACGTTATTATTTTTGCTGCAGCATTATAGAAGCTTAATCATAAACAATATTGCACGTCTTTTTAAGGTCAGTAAACCATGGTGATCCTGCACAAACGTGTAAGATATTGTCTCACTATATATACTAAATGTTTTTACTATATTTAGGCAGGGGCTCACACTATCACGGGCACGCCGTCATCGCGGCGGTAAGACCCGTTATGGAGGATTGGCTCGAGAGGCGTCACGGGACCCTCTCATACCGACTGACGCAGGTGATCACTGGGAAAGGTTGTTTCGGGGATCACCTGTGTCTGATCCGCAAGGAGCCAACGCCTGAGTGCCACCACTGCGATGGCCAGACCGTGGACACAGCTCTCCACACGCTGGCAGAGTGCCCGGCGTGGGTTGAGCAGAGGCAAGACCTCGTGGCGACCATCGGAGTGGGAGTTCTCTCGCTCGATAGCCTGATTGCGGCTATCGTTGCGAAGCGCGCTCGCTTCCAGGTAGCACAGGGAACATGGGGTTCCCACACGGGAGGGGTCGTCTACTCGTCTGTAGATGACCCGAGGTATGTCGGGGTACCAGGGACTTCCTTTCTAGGGTATACTTGGTTCCCCGGCTATTAGTACCCGAGACGGCGTGCGGTTTTAGTCGGTTCGAGTCCGACATGCCACCGACAGGTGGTATTCGAGGGGATTTCCGCACGGAAAAAAAAAAGCGCTCACAATATCAAGGTTGTATCTAATGATAGAATAGAATGTTTATAATATTAAACTATATTTCAGCCAGACACCTGATTAACGCTTGCACATGTCAAACAATGTGTCCCTACAAAAAAAAACAGTCGAATTGAGAACCTCCTCCTTTTTTTGAAGTCGCTTAAAAAGTATAGAAGAGCGGATCTTTGCGAAGTGCTTGCGAAGCACTTGAGATTCGCAAAACGTCATAGCCATAGTCATAGTCGTCGTGACCTGTATTCCTTATCATCCTGTTGACCTTATCATCATCATCATCATCATCAACAGCCTTTAATAGTCCACTGCTGGACATAGGCCTCCCCTTAGGAAGGAGGTTTTGGCCTACTATACCACGCTGGCCAGACGGGTTGTTAAAGGGTTTGTTTCAAGTTTTCCTTCTCTCTGCTCGTTATGCTGCTGCATAAAAAAAAAACATCGTATTTGCAGCGGGCCCCCAGGTCGGTTGTGATTAGGCTCGCCCATTACCTACCCCCACAAAGTCCTTACGTAATTATTAGACGCTCAATTAAGGAATATGAATCCGTCCAGTATTGAGCAATATTGTATGGCATGGACAAAACAACCCGTTTTGACGTTGTGTGTTCGTTATAATCTTAATTATATTAAAAGCTGACGATTTTGAATAATTAGTAACCAATTTTTCACTTTTCTTCTTTTGGAACCAAGCAAGGCGTTTCTTTCCTATCCCTGGGCGATAGCACTACGGTTCAAGAGCTGATCTTCAACGTAGCCGGTCGTTATTACCTAGTACCTATCCCTATCAGCCAGCTGGCCGAGTCATTAGGGAAAGTAGTACACTCAAACATTAAGGATAGTAAATCGCCGGAAGTCTTAAACCTGGCGATCGAAGATCTTAAAGGTTATCTCAGACTTAAAGTCGTGGTTTTATTTACACGTTCAAATCGGAAACCGAACCTACATCCATTATAATTTATTAATTTTGTTTTATGAATAATCTTGTGACCTACATTTAATTAAAACACTGATAATAAAAAAAAAACTAATACGCGATTTAAAAACTTTGCCGTAATTATGTCACACACGTTAGTTTATAGTTTATTTATTCAAAAACAATCGTATAATTGTGTTTGAATTCATAACAATTCGTAGTAATACAGCTTTAAAAATAAAATTAAAAATTACATAATAATCAAAAACATATTACAATTTGCAAACATATTGCATGCAGAAAACAAAAAAAAATGTATAAATAAATTAAGGGCATGTCATAGTTTAAATATTATACACTATTTCTATTAAATATTACATTATTTAAAAAAAAAATTATTGCATAGTTTTGAATTGACAAATTCATTGACAGAATAATACGAGTAGTTATTTTCCAATAGGAGAGCTTTGTTTTCGTCTAAATAAAAAGTCCTGTAAAATACGCTCTAGGTTTTCCGGTAAACAATTAGGTATAAACTTTAATAATCTAGGGCTTATCGTGTGGTAAAGATGTTTCTTCCGCGTAGTCTCTCTAACCTATTTTCGTGGGTTTCTACTTCGTGTGTATATTTGGATAAGTAACACTATGTTGTTAATATATACAAACTACTCGAAATGCGGCGGAACGCTCACCGATAGGCACTGGTGCAGTGGCGCGCGCGGCTGGAACAACCGCGGAATGCGCGCCAACGCGCTGTCGGTGCCATTCTGCCTAGCCTCGAAACTTGGGTAGGTAGGGCGGGAGTCCGCGTCACTTACCGATTGACGCAGATACTCACTGGGCATGGTTGCTTCGGTGAGTACCTGAACCGTATCGGACGCGAGGAGACGGCACAATGTCAGCACTGCGCAGCCGACTGGGACTCCGCCCAGCACACGCTGGAAGACTGCCCCGCGTGGGCGTCTGAACGCGAAGTCCTGGTCAGCCAAATTGGACGAGACCTGTCCCCGCCAGCAATTATTGCTGCCATGCTAGCGGGTGAGGAGGGATGGGGCGCAGTGGTCTCTTTCTGTGAAGCTGTAATGCTCCAGAAAGAGACCGCTTAACGGGATCGGGAGAGGGCCGATCCAGAACGTAGAGGCCGTAGGCGCCGATAACAGCTTTCTTCATCTTTATTGCAAGATTTTCTTTTTATATTTTTGTAATTTGTCTGTTATTGAGTCAACATCACAGTATGTAATTACAGTAACAGTTTGATATTTACCACGATACCTCTTAAATTATCTCCATACTGTTATCTATTATACAAGTGCGAGTAGGTACTTGTATAATAGTGATCAGTGGAATATTATGAAACGGAATTGAACACAATATAAAAGTAAGCCAGCTAACTAAGAAACTTATTTAATTATATTCATTACACAGGATCAGCTACGTATGTAAATTCTCAGAACTACCTAAGATATGCCAACACGATTCAAGATATTCATTTTAATGGCTTAGATAAATTTTATGTCAAGTCATATTATATTATTAATTAAATATAAGGTAAAAAATAAAATATAAGGTTTTTTATTTTATTTTCTCACGTATTAATAAATAAATAAGTGAATACAATTTATAAGTGAATTAAGATAGATCTCATAATACGTCTTATAGTGGTAGTGGTAAGTGGGTATAAACTATAAATAACTCCACTCCTCCACTAACACACTCTGTATCAGTGGCGCAAGGAGGCGCGGGAATTGGGTCGGTGCCCCGAGATTCGAGAAATCGATGACCAGGTCATCATAGGGGAGTGGACGGAGCGACTCGGGCAACCGAGCGCCGGGCACGCCGTCATCGCGGCGGTAAGACCCGTTATGGAGGATTGACTCGAGAGGCGTCACGGGACCCTCTCATACCGACTGACGCAGGTGATCACTGGGAAAGGATGTTTCGGGGATCACCTGTGTCTGATCCGCAAGGAGCCAACGCCTGAGTGTCACCACTGCGATGGCCAGACCGTGGACACGGCTCTCCACACGCTGGCAGAGTGCCCAGTGGTAACTATAAGTCGCATTAAAATAAATTCGGTATGTATTATATAGCAATGTTTATGTAAAATATTAAGTTTATATTATATTTATTAAATATTATATTTCTAATTAGAATTAAGAAATGAGCGACAGCATTAATCGGTTACAGCGGATTATAAAATTGATTAAAACAAGTTGATAAGGAAATGTGTTAGTAAACACATTCTATAAATTATAGTTTAATAATAACAATATTAAAACACAGGTACATATGTCTAAAGGCTTCGTTCCATTTCCACTTTGTGCTTAAGGCTTTAATTCGCAGTGGCAGGTTAGATTCTTGCACGGAACCACCGTGATTGGGGGCAGTGATAAAGCAGTCTGTGAAGTAAAAGCGATATTTGATTCTTAATCACAATAAAATTTACCTTTTAAATGAAAATGCCCGTTTTAACGACTTCATCATACTCCGAGTCCTTTCCCAAACTGGGTTGACTGGTGACTTTACAAACATACATGAAACGGATACAAAGAACACCCAGACTCAGAACAACAATTTGTGGATCACACAGAGTCACACAAAAAAGCGATGGAAAACTTACTTTGAAAAACTTATGAATGAAGAGAATAAATGGAGCGGAGTGCTAAAGCATGTGGATGTGAATGTCGGACTGGTAAACGAGATTAGTATAGATGAAGTTAGATTGGCAGTACGAAGTATGAAAAATGGAAAAGCAGTTGGCCCCGACGGTATACCAGTGGAAGTTTGGAAGCTACTGAAAGAAGACGGATATGAGTGGCTGACTCTATTCTTCAATTTGTTGTTGCTTGAAGAGGTAATCCCAAAGGAATGGTGTCAAACCCAACTCGTACCCATTTTCAAAAATAAAGGTGATGTTTAGGAATGCAACAACTATCGAGGAATAAAGCTCATGTCACATACTATTAAAGTCTGGGAGAAAGTGATTGAGAGAAGAATAAGAGATGAGAGTCAGATAACCCAAAGTCAATTTGGGTTTATGCCAGGACGCGGGACAACAGCTGCTATATTTGCAATGCGCCAACTATGTGAGAAATACAGGAGTGCGCACAAAAACTTGCATATAGTGTTTGTGGATCTCGAAAAGGCATATGATAGGGTACCCCGAGAGGTTTTGTGGTGGGCTTTGAAAGAAGAAAGAGTGCCTGTAAAGTATGTAGAATTGATTCGTGCTATGTACAGAGAGTCTAGCACTCATGTAAGGTCGGTCACGGGAAACACTGATCAATTCAGTGTCTCTGTAAGCTTGCACCAGGGATCAGCTCTGAGCCAGTACCTCTTCCTGTTGATAATGGATGCTCTGACATCGGACATACAGGAGGAGGCACCTTGGTGCATGCTATTTGCAGATGACATTGTGCTGGTCGGTGAAGATGGGGTTGAGGTCCAGAGCAGACTGGAAAAATGGCAGCAAAGGCTGGAGAATGTTGGCTTGAAAATCAGCAGAACCAAAACTGAGTACATGTTCTGCGATTTCGGCGGTGTCTCCAGTCCTGAAACCATTTCGCTGGATGGGATAGCGATAACAGTCTGCTCCAATTTCAAGTACCTCGGCACCCTCTTACAATGTGATGGTGAGATTGATAGAACTGTACAGCATCAAATCAATACGGGATGGATGAAGTGGCGGCAGGTAACGGGAACAACTTGTGACCCCAGTTTCTCCTTAACACTGAAGGGACCAAATTATAAAACTATTATCAGACCTGCCGTCCTGTATGGCTCTGAAAGTTGGCCCATTAAGAAAACGGATGAGAGACGCCTAAACGTAGCAGATATACGAATGCTGAGATGGATTTGTGGTGTGACTCAGATGGACAAGGTTAGGAATGAGTATATACGAGGGAGTCTGAAAGTAGCGCCACTGGATGAAAAGTTAAGAAGTAATAGGTTATCTTGGTATGGACATGTCATGCGGAGGGATGAGGAAAATGTGGCGAAGAAAGTTTTAGGCATGAGAGTTGAAGGGTACAAGAGAAGAGGCAGACCGAAGAAGAGGTGGATGGACTGCGTCAGGGAGGATATGGCTAGGAAGGGAGTAAACAGTGAGATGACGAATGACAGAGTAGATTGGAAAAATCATACATACTGCGCCGACCCCAAATAAAATTGGGAAAAGGGTAGGCAGATGATGACAGAGTGTTGTTCCATGCGGGGATCGAACCCACAATACTCAGCGCAGTAGAAAGCGGCGAGGTGACCTCTTAAACCATTACGCCATCCGTGTAGTCAAATCAATCAAAATACAAGTGTATTTCTTCATATTTAATGAATAAAAATTACACGACGATGATTGGCATGCATGTTGCCTGGGTTACAGGGGTTACAGCAAAAGATATGGCTACCTTTTCATCCAGAAAAAGAATATTGCCCAGTGATCGTAAAATAACTCGTGCGAGCGAAGTCGCCGCCATTTGATGGTGACGAGTGATTAAATTCACTTTGGGTTCGATCCCCACATGGGACAACACTTTGTGATCCACAAATTGGTGTTCTGACTCCGTGTTCTGTGTGTTCGTTTTATGAATGTTTGTAAAGTCCCCCGCGACACAAGATTTATTACTAGTGCGCGAGTTGTATATAAAAAAAAGAAATGTCTGAAAGAATTAATACTTTAATGTACCCATTACACTACATAACCTTACGAGTATAAAGAAAATAAGATACTTAAGTATTTGGGCAAGTGAGCGCTTTTGAAGCGTAATTGTGGTTTTCTTTAGTATATATCATGATATGGTTAGCTGTCCAAAGTAAGACGGAACAGGCTCCAGTAAACCCTAAAAATTAGTAACCAAATGTGACTCAAAATTACCTCTGATTTACGTCTCTGCAGTCCATTCGCTGGGCCAGCTCTTTTATAATCCTTCTCCAGTTTCTTCTGGGTTGATGTTTTGGATTCCACCTGTAAATACATTGAAAATAATTGCACAGGACCGGTTTTAGTGGAGAGCCTTGGGGAGGCTTAAGTCCAGTAGTTGAGTTGCAGTCTTTCGGCGTCTATTGGCTGAGACGATGATGATGAATTGCGTCAGTCTTTTAATACTTCAGTGGTGTTATCTACTTCTCTCAGAGATATCAATGTATCTTGACAGATTCCTTTTGGTTCTGTTCCACGCCGTCGTGTTTGACCTCGTCTTCGTCGTCTACCGTACGTTGTGGCCGTGGGGGGTACACGTATTTGGCGTCGGGGCGAGAGTAGTCCCTGGGCTCGTAGTGGCGCATGTGCTCCGCTATTGGCTCGTACAGCGGGGGCATCGGATACAGGCGGTACATCTTGCAGTATTTCTGCATACAGAAAATTTTCATTTAGTAAGTATCGCGTTTCAGTGTCAAACGGGCATTCATCTCACCAAAATTTCCATTTAAAGGTCTTTGTATTGTTTTCGCCGAGAGGCCATGCCCTGTTCAAATTGTGTTGCCACTGCCCAAAAGAGTGATGCTAAACAGTGTCAAACTAGGACAGGCCATCAAAATCACTTAGGCTAGGCTAGCTTGTAGTAGAAAAAAACATTACATCGATAGTTCTATGAAGAGCAAAATCGGGTCTTCCATGTTGCTTGGCTTCAGCTATAAGGTGCGTCGCATGAGTTAGAAGCTTGTTGTCGGCCTCACGCAGTTTCTTCTCCGCTAATTCTCCATAGTAATAGCGTGTCTCAGCGCGTTCGCGGGCCTCGCGGTCCTTTCTCTCTTTCTGCAAAATAAATGATCTGAATATTAAATTGTATTAATTTTGCAGGATAACAATGAATTTCTTAGCACAAACAAACCGTTTTTTTTTAATTGGACATGATGACTACGAGTATAACTAATAACAATTCCAGGATCAGTTTCTTATGTAGATACTTTATGCCTATAATAACTCAATACACTTAATTCATATTTATTTAAAGCAACTGCTGCTCCAGAGAGTGGTTGTAGAACCATTTGGTTCTTATAAACATTATGTATACATATACATTACACCTCTGGATATCTCAAACTTAATTGAAAATATACTCATTTTACACTTTGGAGTCATAAACTAAGATTGCAGATATCTACTTACCCAGAGTCGAAGAATATCAGCCCTGTACTCTTTGGTTTTGCGTTCTTTCTCCCGACGCAGGTTCTCTTGGAACTCGTCATACAGTTCAGCATTCTTAAACCTAATAATAAATGTAAATCCAAGTCAAATTATAGTACATTGACTGTGAATTAACTTGACTTATCAAGTCGCTATAAGTAAAAGCTCATCAGTTGCTCATGGTTTTGATTGTTTTTTTTTTATGGTATAAGAGGGCAAACGAGCAGACGGGTCACCTGATGGTGAGCAACTACCGCCGCCCATGGACACCTGCAACTCAAAAGTCACAAGTGCGTTGCCGCCCTTGGAGTCCCTCTCGCTGGAGTCAGCGGGAGGATTTGGGCTCCGGTAACCTCACTCACTCAGTGAAAGGCAACGAAAGAATTGCTTAACACCATTTTTCTGTGAGGCCGTGGTATCACTTCGGTCGAGCCGGCCCATTCGTGCCGAAGCATGGCTCTCCCACGGTAAAACGTTTGAGTGTTTCAGGGGTGTAAGGAACGGTCTGAGAAAAAGTATTTGCTTTGAAAAGCTAGAAGTAATAAAACCCTGAAAAGAGAAAAGCAAAACTACTTCATAGCAGGCATTAAATTTAACGTAACGGTAATTTTACCTACTATAATATTATACCCTAGAAATGAAAAAAAAAAACATCTATTAAATACCTGTTCATGATTTCAAATTGTCGTCTTGTGTTGAATTCATGAATACGCTGCTCCTCGTCGCGCAGGAACTTCTGTCGAAGATCTAAACGCTCCTGTCTATTTTGTTGGTTTTTCCGCCAATCAGCTGCAATGCGAGCGTCGTCTCTGCAATGAATAAGTATAATAATAATAATAAATAAAGACAAAAAAAAAACAAATAAACCAAAATAATAATAACAAATTTATTTTATTTGGAATCATACAGATTCAAAATCGTGCCGGGAAGGTCATATTAACATAATTATTGACGCGGATGTTTAATCTAACCGCTTCCAAAAGGAACGATGCAAAGTCCAGTCCAGTGCAAAACCCAATAATGACTCGTCTGGACTCGAGAAAGAGACTTGCATACCTGTCGCTTGGGGTGATTACTGTGCAAATTGGAGTACGGGTACTTACAAGTCATTCTTCTGCTTAATAGCTTTCTGAAGTATAGCCTGTTCTTTGGCCTCACGTTCAGCGTCGCCCGATTCTAACTTGGCGCTAATAGCTTCAAGAACTCTTAACTTTTCTCTCTGCACCTAAACCCAAACACCCAGGTATTGAGTATCACATTTGAAAGTGTCGATGGACAGCAGGAGTCAACTATTGTAGAGAATATCATAAAGCTCCTCTTTTAACACAACAACGCACTGACGCCTCGAACGACTCTCGATCATAACCTCCAATGTCCATTGGAGTCCCAGGTTAATATCACGTGGGTTTTGGGCAATGTGTCTTTGCGAGGTGTGCCCTAGGGAATACATGCCTCGAGCCCATGCACTGCTTAAAACGCTTGTACAAAGTATGTGTATTTTTTTTTAAAGATCACCGTTAAAGTGTTAGGTTTTAATCAAAAAGGTACCTATACTTACTTCTAATTCAGTCTGCTTTCTCTTGCGTTCGATCCTGGCTCGGGATTTATTAAGTACTTCAATCAGCCTATCATCCATTTTGTCAAGCGCCGCTATCTCTTTCTTCCGCGTAATATTCTCTTCTCTAGCTTGTTTCATGTCATTAAAGATGCGAAGCCGCTCACGTTCAGCCTGGGATACGTATGATACATTGGAAATATAATTTTTGAAACATCAGTTTTCTATTTACAATCTTTATTCTTTACAAATAGAATTATAGACTAAATACAAATTTAGTCTATAATTCTTCAGCAATTAATATTACATATAGAAGTAAGTAACTTGATCATCATCATCATCATCATCAACAGCCTTTAATAGTCCACTGCTGGACATAAGCTTCTCCTAGTAGGTTTTGGCCTACTATACCACGCTGGCCAGACGGGTTGGTACAGGGTTTATGTCAAGTTTTCCTTCTCTTTGCAATGCTGTTGTCCTGCGTAGTTGGTTCCCTTAGTCGGCTCCTACGACACCCACCGGATGAACAGGGGTGGCGACATTCTGTATTCTTAATCCGTCACTACACGGATGCGCTAAATAAAAATTATCGTGCTAAAAATGTAGTGCTAAAAATGTAAGCGAACACAGTTTTAAGCAACAAGAGAGTATGCCGGCGCGATCGGGTATTTAAAGCGGCTGGCTTTAGAACGGGTCAACTGAACAAGAATTACTTTATAAGCATAGTTGGTGCACAATGCGATTTGTTAACTCGTAAGTATATTTCTTTACTTTTAAATAACCTTTAAGATGTTATAAAGGCAACGCATGGAACTACGTTAATTTTGGAGTTAAATTACTACTTCACTGATAATTATGGAAACGCATATGACAGGTGCATAGTGCCTAAATGCTAGTTTCTAGGTATATGACAAAGGATCGAAACCTTAACAAAGCATTTGCGGAGATAAAAGATAAAATCCTTAAAGTTATTTTTTGTGGAGAGGTTATTTTGGTAAATAAGTTAGCTTAGCATATTCTTTAATTCATATTTTGGTGTCTTGTCTTGTGTCATTTAACTTACAAATTGTTTGTCAAACTCTTCAATGGCGTCCATTTCTGCACGCGCGTTGATGTTGTCAATCTTCTGCGAATTGAGCTCCGTCTCGTATTCTTTGCGACTACGTTCTGCCACTTCGTGTGCTCTGTGAAAAAAATTAATTTAAAATCGTTTCGTAATTATTTAAATCTGTGCATCATCGCGCACCGCGTTTAAAGCTTATGGTTACTTGGTTGCCAGCCAAAACTGAATAATCTAGTAAATAAATCAAATAACAGAAATACATTTTATACGTTTCTTTATGGGAATATAAACATAAACCTTTTCTTATAAAAGACAACCTTTTCTTATAAAAGAGAACTCCCGCAATAGGAATAAATCCTGTGTCGCGTGGGACTTTACAAACATACATGAAACGGACACAAAGAACACCCAGACTCAGAACAACAATTTGTGGATCACACAAAGTGTCGTCCTATGTGGGGATCGGACCCACAACTTATAAGCCGTCGAAACACAACTTTCAAACCTTTAAGACAAGATCGTACTTCCAGGTCAAAGGAGAGCAACGCACATGTTTATATTTTTTACTTGAAGATTAAAGGAGTTGCATAGACAGCAGTAGTCACCATCACTTAGTGATCCGCTTGCTTTTTAACCGACTTCAAAAAAAGGAGGAGGTTCTCAATTCGACTGTATTTTTTTTTTTTTTTTTTTATGTTTGTTAGCTCAGAACTTTTGACTAGGTGAACCGATTTCGATGATTCTTTTTTTATTTGAAAGCTGGTGCTTCCCGTGTGGTCCCATTTCAATTTGGTTTAGTTCTGATAATGGCATCCATGAGAAAACCATATAAGTCTTAAATTTGCATTTAGTATGTTCGCGACAAATAGACGAATAACTCAATTTCACGCAAACTGATTTCGATAATTCTTTTTTTATTGGAATGGATGTACTTTAAGGGTACTTTGATGAGAGTTTGGTTAGATTCTGATGATGGGATCCACGACAAAGTAACGGAACTCTTCAATTCTTAGGAGCAAATTAATGATACTCGGCTGAATCTTTTATGGGCTATCTGGATATTTGAGTCACCTACAGTAACGTCGTTATGGTCAAGTAATTGTCGTCATCAACAGCCTTTAATAAGCTACTGCTGGACATAGGCCTCTACTTAGAAAAGAGGTTTTGGCCTACTATACCACGCTGGCCAGACGCGTTGGTATAGGGTTTATTTCAAGTTTTCCTTCTCTTTGCAGTGCTGTTGTCCTGCGTAGTTTGCTCCCTCACTAGACTCTTACGACACCCATGTGATTAAAAGGGGTAGTGACATTCTGTATTCTTAATCCGTCATCACAGGGTAGATTGCCTCTGTTGAAATAGGCGTTTCTTCCTGACTCCCTTTGTTTCATTCAAACGGCGCTGTATCATTTGAGCAGCACGTTTTTTAGGTCTACCCATATTCAGACAAATTAGTAAGTGTACTTCAGATTCACTAAAAAGCAAAAAATAAACAAAAATTTTTAACAAAAAATAACCGACTTCAAAAAACACTATTCCAAAACAAATTAATATGCACTAAAAAGGAAAAAAATAAATGCATATTCTTCTACAACTTAATAATCAACTTACTTTTTCTACTCATCTATATGTAGGTACGATCTATGTGTTAACCGCGCAAGAAGGTAGGTAGGTACCTACCCATTTCAAATCTAATTTAACATATACCTGTGAATAACAAACAACGATCAAAATATTTATTTGAGTTCTCCTAAGTAAAATGAAATGAATATAATGTAGTTACAATTATTGTTATTTTTGGAGTCGGTGTCAGCCAGGGAACCACTACGATATACCTAGCAATAATAATACGAGAATACTTTAAGACTCGTCAACTCGCGCGTGCGACACAAGCACTTCTCACTTATAAGGTGTAGGTGACACCGACTTGGCTGACACCGACTGCAAAAATAACAATAATTGTAACTACATTATATTCATTTCATTTTACTTAGGAGAACTCAAATAAATATTTTGATCGTTGTTTGTTATTCACAGGTATATGTTAAATTAGATTTGAAATGGGTAGGTACCTACCTACCTTCTTGCGCGGTTAACACATAGATCGTACCTACATATAGATGAGTAGAAAAAGTAAGTTGATTATTAAGTTGTAGAAGAATATGCATTTATTTTTTTCCTTTTTAGTGCATATTAATTTGTTTTGGAATAGTGTTTTTTGAAGTCGGTTTTTTTTTGTTAAAAATTTTTGTTTTCTACGCTTTATATCACAAAGAAATATACTTACTGATCAAGAATTTCCTTTTGATGTACCTTATTGGCTTCAAACCGTCTCTTCTTCCTCAGTGCCATTAGGTCGTGCCAATCCTTAGCCTGTTGGATAATGTGATCATCATTTTTCCGCTTATTCTCGGCTTCTTCGCGTCGACGCTCTTTCATGAAATTGATTTGTTCAATGCGTTCTTTTTGAATCGCTGTTTCTATTACAGCACTGTAGGAAGAATAACATACATTAAGGTAACGCGTTCGGAAGACCTATCTAAGCCAGAAAATATCTCTTTCAAAGTTACAAGTATTTTCTCTTGGTTTTCTGCTTGTGCCTATTTATTAGGAAGAGGGAAAAAAAGTTCTGTTTTTAGAAATATAATTTATGTGTGATAAATATAAATATTTTATAGGTTAAGACCTTATTTATTACTGGTACTTCTACTTCAACATTTAGAACTGGTGATAGGTATTTCCACCAATTCAAAATGAATCCAGTCTATCCAAAGTTTGGCTGGAAGAACTTGCTAGAAGCGATAAGGCTCTTTGTAAATTACTTTAGTTGTACGTTTAATTACTTTATAATGTCTGAAAAAACTCTGGTGTACAAATAAAGTATTATCTATCTATCTAATGTATGTACCCTGTCTGTTTAATCTTATACTTATATAAAATTCTCGTGTCACAATGTTAGTTACCATACTCCTCCGAAACGGCTGGACCGATTTTTATGAAATTTTGTGTGCACATCGGGTAGGTCCGAGAATCGGCCAACATCTATTTTTTATACCCCTAAATGACAAGGGTAAATTTTTTTTTCAGTATTTTCTAGAAATAATGTATATGGCAAAACAACGTTTGCCGGGTCAGCTAGTATACTCTAGAATTATTATATGCTCTGGCTTTACTAAACCAAAATTACCGGAGCAGATAATACTGCACCCATTAAATTCTTCTCTTTTACGATGGAACCTCTACTGGGAGACATATTTTACTGAATAAACTAAAATTCAATCAACGATTGTACCTTTGCTACATTATGTCTCTCGTAGAAGTTAATATTGTGTCAAACCAACTTATTTCATCTCACCTTAGTAACAATTTGGGAGCATCCTTACTCTTGAACATTGCGTCTCTGGCCGAATACATGAGTTGCTCCTGTTCTTCCTTTTTATTTTTCAGATAACGCTTGTAGAATATAGTATTAGCCTGCTCTGCCGCTTGGATTCGAGCTAATCGTATTTCTTCGTTGCGTTTGTTCACGTTCTATGTAAGACAAATACTATAAATTGATCAAGGTTGGGATTATAAATTGGGTTTGACAGAGGTGTGACAGTACCTTCTAGTCCCTTTGAATAAAATAACTACTAGGTACTAAGAAATAATAATTATTTATTTTGAATTTAACGACTTTATTCAAAATCGTGGTTCTCAGGTTCTACATGTGACTTAAATAGTCGCAAATGGCATTAGGCAACAGACTTTTATTTATTTGATTGTAATGTTTTGAAAACATTAATTACAGAAATGTTTAGTTACAGAAAACAAGATTTATCATTTTTATCAAAAATGTGGAAGAAAAAAGAAGCAGTAAAATAAGCCAACGGCATTCCTCTGTTTAGTCTAAAGTGACAACAAGCAGTGGTGTGAAAATATAAAACAAATATACCTCTACGGAATTAGGCCAATACTTGGTCATTTCTTGGCTCGCAGTCGTCAGAAAATTGACGTATTCTCGTCTTCGCACCACATCTGGGTCTTCTTTATCTGGATTTGTCCATTTCTTGATTCGCGCCCAATCTTTCTCGCCTAATACAATCGGCATTGTTGCAAATATACGGGTCCTGTCATTGACGTGGGCAAATTGTAAAATTGTGTTATATTTTGTTACGTTATAGAAAGTCGGTTCACCTGTAGATCCACCGTCCATGGAGAGCTGCATGTCAAGAGTCAGAAGTGAGTTGTCACCCACCAGAATTAGGGGTTTGGGCTCCGGTAACGTTACTCACTCGGTGAACAGCAACGAAGGAGTCTGTATCGAACTGACCGCTTTGGACCCAAGCCTAGCTGTCCCTACGTAAGAACCGACTAAAGGAAAAACTACGCAGGACAATAGTACTGCAAAGAGAAGTAGCTGAGCAGTTTTGACCTGTATATGTATAAGTATACATATATATATAATAGAGATAATAATACGGAGTGTCACCACCCCTATTCATCACGTGGGTGTCGTAAGAGACGGCTAAGGGAGCAAACTACGCAGGACAATAGCACTGCAAAGAGAAGGAAAACTTGAAACAAACCCTATACCAACCCGTCTGGCCAGCGTGGTATAGTAGACCAAAACCCCCTTTCTAAAGATAGGCCTATGTCCAGCAGTGGACAAATTAAGGACGTTAATGATAGCTCTCCCACGGTACATTTTAGAATTAACATAACAAACGTTCTACATGTATACATGTTAGATATATGTCATAAAATAGAAGATTTTTAAAGCTGCCTTAGTGTCTTAAGTTACTGGAATAGCTCCGAATCAGGAGTTGGTCTTGCAAGAAATAATCCTGGTTATGATAATAGAGATTGACACTTTGCGTGTACAAGTCCCTCTAGAGGAGGATGAATCTTTATTATTCTTTGTTACATCTCTAACACTTAGAAATATATATCAATACCTTTAAAGTGAATTCTTCCCTTATTTAATTAAAGTGAATTGATTTCATTTGATCCCAGCAATCAGTAACTCTTTTATTAAAATCTATATGTTTCTTTATCAAATCTAATATAATGTCTATCATCTTTGTTCTACTTTTTTTTTACCAACAGATGTCGTTACGGCCAGAATTATTTCTTGCTGCTTAACAAATGAAATAGGTCCCAATAGGTGAAAAATACAAACATTGCTAAATATTTGGGTACTATGTTCGTCATGACTAAAAATTTTGTAAATATTATAATATGTCAAATTAGAATTGTCAATTGCTGCTGAAATTTTTTGATTTCTTCTTAAAAAATTGTTGCTTTAATAAAAATGTTTACACGTTCTTATATAATAGAGGCCAGTGCGACAAAGCCACTTAGATCCCAAGCTAGATATATTATTTTCGATCGTGTTACTCAAACGCAATCCACGGTTTTAAAGCGTGTTGTAGTTGACTGAGGAGTTGGAGTAACCGATTTTGATGTTCTTTGCCTAAAAAGGCTAAAACATTAAAATTAGATTTATAATATATATATATATTCCCAGTAAAACACCCGTGAATGTGCAATAATGTACTTAAAAAATACGCCAGGTAAAAGCGTTTAATAGGAATTAACTTTATTTTTGACATGGTTAATTAAATTATAGTTTTCTCTTTCTAAATGATTACAGTCTTTATTTTTACGGACTTCCAAAACGAAAGAGTTACTAAAAATAAGGAGATGTTGCATGTTTTTTTTCTATGTATGTCCAATTTTTTCGTCATCTATGGACTGACGTTGTTTTTTTTACTGTAACGTATTTTATCAATTAGCAGATAAATACAAAGCCTACTTCTTATTGAAAAGTTATCATGAAAATTGTTTAGAGCGAGCAAGGTCTAGCAGTACCAAACTCCAATACCAGGTACTTATTGTGCTTCTGATTTGGCACCGACTTCTAAAACAGGCCCAAATGTGCCTATTGCTTTTATATAATCTTACTTATCATATTTATTAAGTGCCATATATATTGTCCGTGTGGTGACGGATTAAGAATACGGAGTGTCACCACCCCTAATCATCTCGTGGGTACGACTTAAATTTGTCGCCAAAAATCAGCACTCATAATTCAGTCAACTCCTCACATAATAGAGACAATAACATAGAATTTATTAGTATCTTCATATGTTCTGTCGATATGTTTAGTAGTTACGAAAGATGTATGATAAACTACCATTATAAATCATGAGGCCGTGTAAACCTACTTCTCAGCTCCACTAGATGGCAGTAGTGGCTCCTGTTTGTTGGCCGGCGCGGAGACGCGACGCGGCAGTAGGTATAATATATTGATGAAATATTTAAAACATCTATGGTTTATATGCAGCAGTGCTTTTGGAACATGCGCTTGGTCAACACGCGCCCATGTTCCATTAAGCGCTTCACTACCATTAACTTAATAAGAATTGATTTAAAGATTGCATCTTCTGTGTCGGCCCCAAAAATGGTACAATCGATTGTACCATAATAAGAGTTAAAATCTCACACACGGCAGTCTGATCCAATTCCAATGGCGGATTAAGAATACGGAGTATCACCACCCCTATACATCTCGTGGGTGTCCTAAGGGAGCAAACTACGCAGAACAATAGCAGTCCCTATACCATCCCGACTGGCCAGCGTGGTGTAATAGCCCAAAACCTTTCAAAGAAGAGGCCTAAGTCCAGCAGCACCAGCAGTGAAAAGGCTGATGATGATGAGTCTGATCCAAAACTAGGCAAAGCTTGTGCTATGGTAACTAAATAACTGATTCACGTACTTAGATATTTCTTTTTTAAGTATCTTATTATTAATAAATTACACCCAGATACAGAACAAAATATGAGCGTGCTCATCACACAATTGTTTGTCCTCTGTTGGTATCAAACCCACACCTTTCAGCTTAGCAGTCAGGGTAACTAACTACTAGACCAACAATAACGGTTCCTGTTTTGTAAACAACGAGTAAGATACGTGTCTGAGACGAGCTGATCTGAGCTTTTCTGAACCTTTTCTAACTAATTTAAAACTCATGCAAACAGTTCAGTATTTGTATAGGGTAGTTATAGTTAAAGAGTAAATAAATTTTCATTAATTAAAAACTTTTGCTTGCCTTTTAACCAACGAAAAAGAAGGAATACCTCCTTCTTTTTCGTTGTTTTTTTTTATATTTGTCTGTATGTACCTATTTTTATGTATGTTTACCGGTATTTTTGTAGGTATCCTCTAGATCGATTTAAAGAAATATTTTGTTAGGGATAGCCTGAGTTATAGTGGTAGTCTCTTTAATGTTTAAAATCACGAATTAACCGACTTCACAAACAGAAAGAAAGCACGACAATCCAAAGAAAAGTGTAAATGAATTGACATTTGTAAATAGATAGAATCTCAATCATTCCATTTCTCACAAGGCCTGCTCATCGCGAGGTTTTTCTAGCAATTTATTTGGCTGTAAGTAACAAAGTGCAATACCGTCTAATGTTACAGTTAGACTAAAGGTTACGTATATTTGACCTTTAGTAAAGATTTTACTAAAGGTCAAAGTTGTAACTGCATTACATCGCCAAAGATAATCGACGTTTAATAAATTATCACAAATATAAAATTTGTGATAAGAAAAAAAAGCTCATTGTGGAACCCTCATAATTTAATCTGGTGGTGTGACCAATAGATGACCTACCACAAGGTGACCAGGAGTTAAGAGAGTGGGACATTTGATAGATTATTGAGGAAGGCTATAGGATATACCTATAACAAACAGGAGCCGTGCATCAATTAAAAAAAGCCGTGTGGTGTCGTGGGACACCCGATAGGAACGAAGTTGTGACGATCGCGTAAAACTGATTTGACACGATTTTAATTACAACGCCATCTATAAAAGCGGCTATTACCTACATATTAAAAACAATTAAAACAATTTATACATTGGTAAAATCTCCTTGCGAAATGATTTCCTATCTATTCGATAGATGGTGCTGAATGTCTGACAAGATGACATGAAAATAAAGAGCAAAAAGCCAACATCACGTGGGATTCCCAGGCGGTCACCCATCCAAGTACTAACCACGCCCGATGTTGCTTAACTTCGGTGATCGGACGAGAACCGGTGTATTCAACATGGTATGGACGTTGGCGAACGTTAAAGCAAATTTAATGTATGGTATCCAAATTTTCGTACGATTTTTTTCCGTCTAGCCCCCTTTCACAACGCGCGATAAGGAACTTCAAACTCAAACTCAAACTCAAACTTTCTTTATTTCATAAAATTTTCAAAATTGTTTGAAATCGTCTTCCATGTAGACTCTAAAGTCATAGATCAACACACACAAAAGCAACAATCTCTGTTTTGTCAAATAGTAACCAAATAAATTTAACAAAATCAAACCCATACAAAATCTATGATATGCCTGTGCCGATCTACAACCGCCCGTTTCCAAGGGGTTGAGCCTTATGAGAAGAAAGGGCAAACAAACTCATGGCCACTCTTTTGCAATTCACAAGTAGATACAATGGCACTATTAAATATATCACAACATTGTTTTGATGTGTGCTAGTATGTCCGTTATTAAGGATTTAAAGGTGAAAAAACAACGAAGAGAAAACAAGATTAAGAAGAACAAACGAATACAAGAGAAAATGAAGTGAAACATAAAAAATAGAAAAAATAATAAAAAACATACTAGCCACACCACATTTTTACTTAAGAAAGAAATAGCCTGCGCTAATTAATCCCAAGCATTCTTGTCTTCCATGTAATCCACAATCGAGTAGTAGGCCCTCTGGCACAAGCCACGTTTTATTGCGGATTTAAATTTGTTAATACTTCGTTCCAAAATGTCGTGAGGGGTCTGTGGTCTCCCGGTAGGAACGAAGTTCCTCAGGCATTTTGCTATACAGTCATTATAATTTATACTAGAAAACATCAAGTTAATAGAGCTAAATTTAACAATTTATGATAAAATATATTCATTATGTATAAAATAAATTATTCCGACGACCGGTGCCGTACGAATGCTATGTACGAAAATGCTCAGCGCTGGGTTCTTCTGAAACGTCGTCGGAAAGCGGACAGTGTGACGCCGCCGACAACGTTTCTAAAAACCCGATGTACATAGAATACATTTAGTTCACTAGCGATCCGCCCCGGCTTCGCACGGGTGCAAAGTAGATATTACTAAAACTACTAATATGGGGACGTACGGCCCCACATTAGTAGTTTTTAAACCTCGCATTTTAACCTCTGATATCTTCTAAAATATTCATAATGATATGCTGTTAAGAGCAATTTTTATCTAAATGGAATGCACAACGTATCTAAAAACAAGCCAATTTTTTAATTGGATAAGGAATAATAATGTTTTGTTTAAAATAGCTTCGTAAATAAGCCATTATTTTTTTCTAATAGTTGAAAGATAAAAATGGTTACTGTGGTTTATCGTTAGGAGATAGATATACTATCACGGACTCATTTGTAGATCTTTTCAAGATATACAATTTCGTAGTACATTATGTTGGTCTATCTCGTAAGGTTTAGCCAGAGTTTACAATGTAAGCGCACAAAAACATGTTTTTTAAGACAAATCTTTGAACTTTGAACTTAATATTGGTGAAAATCAGATTAAAATCCGTTGCTTAGTTAAAAAGATCTAAACAAGTGCGTGCGTACTATAGCAATAAGGGTCGGCAAAAAGTCTTGTTAGTCTTTAAGTTCTTGTTTTTTCGGTCTAGCCCCCATACGCTCAGAGCGTGTTACACGCGATAACTAACTAACTTTGTAAAAAAATAACTTCATCCCAAAAATTTGGAAAAACGGGGAGTATTTATTCTTTTGAGAGACGCAAACAAAGAATACTCATCATAACGTACGTATAATCATCATTTGGAATATATGTGAAAACTTATAATTTGCCCTTACAAAGTTGTTCTTTTTTTATAGTGATGTACTAAAATTGTAAATTAAATAAATATCATAGGGAATAATCAAATTCTATGATTTTCGAGTTATTCCAAAACAAGAAAACTTTAGGGATTTAATGTAATGTAAATATTACATTAAATCTCTGAAGTAGCGTTATGTCGTTCCGAGTGACGTGTCGTCATGTAGCAATAATTTTGGTTCCTAAACGAACTGTCACTTGACTGTCTGTCAAATCCAGAATATTTACGTCAGCCACGTTGGAAGTGCCAAGTTGGTGTTTTTATGGTAAATATTGCATTCTTTAATTGAAACAAACGAATTTTAGCTAAAAAAATAAATTTTAAACTCCGTGTCACCATATATTTAAGTTTTAGTGCACGTTTTGTTTAAAAATAAGCAGTGGGAAGCGTTCCAAATCGGTGACATAATTTGGTAAATAAAGTGGGTTTACAGTGAATTTGAATAATATTTCGTATTTTTTGTAGTGATACAGTGCTTTGAAGATGAAAGTGAAAGAGTTGAAGAGGACGGTGAACGTGTGCTGGTCGCCGGCAGAACACTATCCCGTGACGATAGCGGCCGGCTCCGCCGCGCAGCAGGTTGATGCTTCCTTTAGCTCCAGTTCGAGCTTGGAGCTCTATACACTAAATTTGGATGAACCTGGACTCGATTTATCACTCAAAACCAGTTTTCAGACACAGCATAAGTAAGTTACAATTTGCAATAATAATTCCAAGTTATGATATTATAATATAATCCAATTAAATAAAGCTAATCATGAATGTGTATGTTACTGGCTTATTTTTAATGTGATTAATGTAAGAAATCTCCCCCATCAAAATGTTCCAAATTGGATTCTAATTGGAAAACTGCAAACTTAGTATTTGTATAAATATATTTATCTAACTAACCTTTCTTGGATTTATTTTCAAACTTATTATGAAACTAACTGTTGCCTATGGCTTTGTTGGAGTGTATCATCACATCACATCAACATCCTTTAATAGTCCACTGCTGGACATAAGGTTTTGGCCTACTAGGTTGGAGTGTATATAGACTGTCAATTGTTCCACTATCCCCCTAAACTTTATTTCTGGATTAAAATATCCTGTATCCTTTTTTACATCCTTGAAAAAGTATATCTGTAATTTCATGTTGATCAACCAATCAACTACCTATGTACCAATGTAGTCTGCCTAGGCATCAGTGTCAGTGCCCCAGTATATCTCTCAACGGTTGAAACTTCTGGATTTGTTGACATGGATTATACTGCAGGAGATGATGAGAGGAGAGATGCAGGAGATCAATGCTTTGGCACAAATCAGCCGGCTCGACCTTAGTGATGATACTTAAGGCTTACAGAAAACAGGTGCTAGCCATTTAATTCCCCAAAAACCTCATCCTCCTGTTTTTGGGGGGAGAGGGGAGTAGCAATGCCCTGGTGATTCTTGATTTGCAGGTGTCCGTGGGCAGCGGTGGGCATTTACCACCAGGCGACCCATTTGCTCACTTACCTCCCTATAAATTAAAAAAAAAAACAAAATACATAATATGTCCGATATTTTTATTTTCACATGTGCTTACCTTCTAAAACCAAAACATAGTTTAAACTTTATACGTTTAAACACTTCAAAACTTTAATTAGTTGGAACTACTGTTGAAAGATACAAAAAATACTAACAATACAAAAAAATATACTTTTGCAAACGGTGCAAATATTGTCTATTTAAATTGTAATCTAAGATATCAGAAAACTATTTTAACACAATACCAAAGTAATCCTACATAAAACTCATTTGAAGTAGAAATAGCATTCAATCATTTTGCTTACTTTGTAATAATAAAAAAAGTTGACTCATTAGTCACAGATTGTAATGTAGCTGTACATAATATATGTATGTTGAGATGATATTTACTTCACAATCACATGACATTACGGTGACAACACGGTATATGTTTTAATATTTCTAAATATAATATACAATTTTTTTTTAATAGAATATTTTTGCAGTGTTACTAGTTGGGATGATCTTATTATTGTGGCTTAATTAAATCATTTTTTTTATAACTTAAAGTATAAATGTAAGATTTTGATATTTTATATTGACATTTTTATTTGATTTGTTTATTGACAAATGTAATTTATTGTTTCTAAATCTATTGACAATTAATTTAACAAATTTTTGCATGCCATTAAGGTAGACCAAAGAGGACATGTATAAATAAGAATGTTAATACCGTTGTACACCTTTGATCAGCAAATAAATAAATTATGAATTACCCACGTGTATGTTGGTTATAGAGAAGCCCAAAATAGATCTATGCCCTATGTCCAGCAGTGGACTGCAATAGGCTGATGATGGTGATGTCGGTTATCACGGTACAAGGTACGCTTATAATGTAATTTTCCATTGGTAAAGAATTTTTAAAATCGGTTTAAAGGTTAATTCTGAAAGTGTTTATATTAGTATGGATTATATATTATCTATATACATATATTTATATACTTAGACATAATGCTATGTGTTGGGGCTGTTATTATATTTTTCCCAACATTTAATGTTGAAGTTTGTTTATAGTTGAAGTTAGGTAAAAAATACCAATGTTGCAGTTATGAGCGTTTATTGAACACAAAAATTCACTGTATAAATTAAAACCTTATAAACCACAATTTCGCTGACTTAGCTAAGTACGAGTTCGTACACTATGAAATTCATGAATTAATTTTCTTTTTCTATCTTTTCAGATTTCAGAAGTTAGTATGGTCTGGTGCTGGTGTTATTATAGGAGGTTGTGATGGTGGTTTACTGGAGTTCTACAGTGTTGACAAACTGCTCAGCAATTCCCCTGACCCTCTCCTTAGTAGCAGCACTAAACACAATGGTGTGTATTGTTCTATTTTTAATTGATAGATAGAACATTAGGCTAAAATATGTTAAGAGATTTTCTATAGAAACTAATTTTATAATAAAACTTGGCATTTGACTGAAAAATGCGAATTTTCGAAAAGACAACTGTATAAAGTTGCATTAGGAATATATCCTGTGTCACGGGGGACTTTTACAAACATACATGAAACGGACACAAAGAACACCACAGACTCAGAACAACAATTTGTGGACCATACAAAGTGTCCTCCAAAGTGGGGATCTAACCCACAACACTCAACTTAGTAGTAAGCAACCGCTTTAACCACTACGCCATCCGTACAGTCCAATAGTTAATTTTAACGTCAAGTTAATGTGATGTTGATATAAACTAAAATTTCACATTGTATGTCAAAGGGTGTTTCTAAAAAATGTACTAATTCGCAACTCTGTGTGAGTTTTGTAACTTTACCACTGTTTGTGAAGCTAACATGACCGAACTAAATGTAGTATATGAACTTGTTAAGCTTGAATGGAATTTAATGACCATTTTCTACCAGTTCGTGACACAGTTACCATATTGGCTGTTAATCTTGATACTGTGTACTTTTGCACATTAAATCTTGAACATATAAATTTTACATTTCAACGTTTTGTGCCGTTATCATAACGTTCCTAATTGTATTCCATTTTCATCCAAATGAATAAAGTTGAAGTGTCTGTTTGTAATGTCGAAATTATAGGTTTTTTTCATGTTCACTCGGTTATTTGCACGATACCTATGTCTAAAAACCAGTTTAAATCTTTTTTGTCTGTGTGTTTGTCCGGGGTAATATTCTAAACGGCTGGACCGATTTTTTTTTTTTTTTTTTTATTAGATTACTAGGTAGCTGTCTATATAAGGAGTACCTAACGTGGCTTTCCTCAGAAAAACCCAATATAAGGCCGAGGCCTCATGGAGTGTAGTCACGTACCGACCCGTACTACACCAGCTAGTTAAAAAAGCAGCTAGTTAAAAAATTAAATAGAAAATGCAATAAAAAAATAGCCAACAAAATAACATGAGAATGACACATTGAATACAACACAAAAAATATGATCAGTATGTGAACGAAAAAAACTCAGATTTCTACGTATATTATTATGGCATAATTTCACTTAAAAAAGAGTCATTGCTCTCACACAACGTTATCTAAATGTTCCTAACAAAGCTTTTAAAGCTGGTCTGATAATGCAGTTGTTATCTATTTCTACCATTCAAGCTGCTACATTTTGTTGAAATAAGTAATCATGTATTCTTCTATCTGTGAATTGCAAAAGAGTGGCCATGAGTTTGTTTGCCCTTTCTTCTCATAAGCCTCAACCCCTTGGAAACGGGCGGTTGTAGACCGGCACAGGCATATCATAGATTTTGTATGGGTTTGATTTTTGTTAAATTTATTTGCTTACTATTTGACAAAACAGAGATTGTTGCTTTTGTGTGTGTTGATCTATGACTTTAGAGTCTACATAAAAGACGATTTCAAACAATTTTGAAAATTTTGTGAAATGTGAAATTGTGTGTGAATTTTGTGAAATTGTGTTTGAGTTTGAGCTTATTTATATTTACTGTACAGAGCTTTATGTGACTCTGTTATGTGAGCCAATGAAGTCACCAACTCAACGTTTATTCAAGTAATTCATTTCAAGGGGCATTATATGTCACAATACTTGACTGCACGGATGGCGTAGTGGTTTAAGCGGTCGCTACGCTGCGTCCTACCACGCCGAGTGTTGTGGGTTCAAACCGCACATGGGACGACACTTTGTGTGATCCACAAATTGTTGTTCTGAGTCTGGGTGTTCTTTGTGTCCGTTTCATGTAAGTTTGTAAAGTCCACCGCGACACAGGATATACTCCTAATGCAGGAGATGTCTTTAAAAAAAAAAATAAGCAACTTACAGAAGAGCGTCATTCTTATTTATAATTTTGATTGTAGTTACAAAGTTTTAACCATCGATTTCCGTAACTTTTTATCCTACCTACAGATATCTGCCTTATTATACCGCGATCTCGTAATAGGTATTAAAGAGAAAGTGCGTGCAGTTAAAGCAAACTTTTTATGTTAATATATTATTTCAGGCCACGTATCATCACTGGACATCAACCCATACCAGAAGAACTTACTGTCTTCAGGAGCGTCAGAAAGTGAGATCTTTATCTGGGACCTGAACAACACTAGCCAACCAATGGCACTGGGCAACAGGAGCCAGCCATATGAACATGTTCAGGGCCTCGCGTGGAACCAACAGGTTGTTATTGTATATTTTAGAAGTAGTAAGTAACAGAATACCCGAGCATCATAAGATTGTAATCAAATCATGTGTGTGTAGACCAAGATTTCCAGCTTATGGCCACAGAAGCTGTTCAGAAGAGTTTTAACCATAAACAATTACAATGCAGTAGTTCTATTAGCTTAAATTAAATTATTATATTAGATGTAAAAGAAATGAAAAAGTAATTATATAAGTATACACATCTGGAGTGCCGAATGCCTGCTGATACATAGGAATCACATTTTATCTACCCATTTTGTTATTAACTAATCTAGTAAGTAGTGCAATTATGATCTTTATCTCTATTCAGGTACAACACATTCTTGGATCCAGTTTCGCTTCTAGATGCGTCGTTTGGGACTTGCGCAAGAATGAACCAATCATGAAATTAAGGTAAATATTTTATATAAGTTGTTCTATAGGAAGTTAGGAGGTCCGTGTTGTGACGGATTAAGAATACATATACCCCTATTCATCCCGTGGATGTCGTAAGAGCGGACTAAAGGAGCCAACTACGCAGAACAACAGCACTGCAAATAGAAGGAAAACTTGACACAGACCCTATACCAACCCGTCTGGCCAGCGTGGTATAGTAGGTCAAAACCTCCCTTCTAAGTCAAGCAGTGGACTATCAAAGGCTGTTGACGATGTTGATGATGAATATGTATCTCATTTGAAATTTTTCTTTGACATGCATTTATTAGATACTTTGATTTCAGTGACTCACAGTCCCGTACACGGTGGCGCTCGTTGTGTTGGCACCCCGATGTGGCCACGCAGCTGTGCATCGCCTCTGAGGACGACCAGGTGCCCGTCGTACAATTGTGGGACTTACGGTAACGTACACTTATACCTTTTACTAGCTGAGACCCGCGGTGTTACCCGCGTTTGTTGTTATAACCGTGGGCAACGCCACGGGGTGAAGCTAGTCTAAAAAAAGTAGCCTAAGTCCCGTCGAAATCGGTTCAGCCGTTCCAGAGATTACCCGGAACAAACAGACAGACAGACAGACAAAAATTGTAAAAAATGTTATTTTGGCATATGTACCGTGTAAACATACATATGCATTTAGTAAAAAGCGGTTATTTTAATATTACAAACAGACACTCCAATTTTATTTATTTGTTTAGATTTGAATAGAATTTATTATAGTACTGTCAACAAAAACATTAAAGTTATTTTGCACTTTTCATTACTTAAAATAAATTGTTTAACAGTCTTATTAACTTAAATACTCGAGAAAAAAGTGTAATGTGTATATATTCTCTTGTAGATTGGCATCATCCCCCCTAGTCACACTAGAAGGTCATCAGAAAGGCGTGATGTCATTATCGTGGTGTAAGCAAGACTCAGACTTACTGCTGTCGGCCGGCAAGGATGGAAGAGTGTTGTGTTGGAACCCTAACAATACGAAACCTGTAAGTTTATCTAATAATACCTTTAAACAAGCAAATCTTGTAAGGTTTATGTATTTATTTATACATTATGCATTTTTCGTGCATTGGTGGACTTAATGCCTAAGGCATTCTCTACCAGTCAATCTTTGGGTGATGCAGAGAGAACAGGAAGTTGGTACATTAAGTTTGATAGTAGTTATAATATCAAATACGCTTACATAAACCTGTCATACACTAGAACCCACACACATTACACATACGTACATATATATACCTAATTACATATAAACTTACATAAATACATACATACCTAAATAAATATCATTAATAATAGTAGATGACAATCATACGTTAGTTGATTCTGCCAGTTGTTTTACAAAATTCTGCTTCACTTTAGTTTTGAATGAGAAAGTGTTGCTGGCCATTCTGACCTCGAGAGGAAGGTCATTCCAGAGAAGAATGGACTGCACAATAAAGGATGACCCAACAAACTCAGTCGTGTGGGGGACAACAACGAAGAAGGTTATTAGAGGACCGAAGGTTTTTGTCATAAAAGTTGGAAGTAGGAGTTTAAATATGTTGGCGAAGATGGGTTGTTTAAGATAGAGTATAAGACAGTGAGAGTTCTTAGTTGTCGGCGTACACGAATTGGTAGCCAATTGAGCTGCGTACGGAAAGCGGATACATGATCAAATTTACGGAGATTGTGAGCAAATCGAATGCAGTTGTTAAGAAGACGGTCTAATTTATCTAGAAGATTTGGTGGATGATCTTGGTATTTGCGAAAATGGTAGTCCCGTTAAAAATAATGGCCGGAAGAGTCTTAATGTCTACTCTGCTCATCAATCGGTGACTTTCAACTATAATGCCTTGACTTTTGGTGGGGTTTACTGTTAAACCAAACCGTTTAGACCACGCATTAATTGTTTCGAGGTCTCTGTTGACCATGTCTATGACCATCGAAATATCCTCAACCTTGCTCTGCGAATAGAGTTGGTCATCGGCATACGGATGATACGCACAATGAAGTTCCAGGGTTAGGAGGTTAAAATACACAGAAAATAAAAAAGGGGACCGAATACCGCCTTGAGGGATATCAGAGCCGAGATCACACCAGCTCGAAGAAGATTCAACACACTGCTGGCGTCCCTGAAGACAAGATGAGAGCTTCAGGCGAGACCACAAGATTTGAATGGATAGATAAGACAAATAGCGTGATTGAAGGCATTTGAGAAGTCGATCAGGACCAAAACAACCTTTGTGTCCTCTATACCCGCCCTGGTATCGCCAATCACTGTAAAAGAGAGCGGAAGTAGTGCTATGACCAGGCCTGAAGCCAGATTGCAACGGGTTCAACAGGTTGTTTTTATAGATGAATTCAAAAAACTGTTTGAGCACACAGCATTCTAGGAGGGGAGGGGAGAATTGATATTGGTCTGAAATAGGTGGGGAGTGTGGGGTTTGCAATTTTAGACAAGCTTTGCGCCAAAATGTTGGGTAAATTTCGGAATCCAATGAGTAGTTGACGATGTGGGTGATTACTGGTAAGATGTGGTCAAGGATTGTTGTGATCATGCGTCCACTGACTTGATCGAGTGATTTGATAGAGAGTATTATCTTCTTGATCTCACTCGACGCAACCGGAGAAGATTGGAAAGGATTTATTAACACTCGCCAGGTAGTCAAGAGTACGCTGTTTGGTCTGGGGATCCAAATTGAACAGAGGAAGAGAAATGACCGTTTATTTCATCTAAACAAACTATCCCCTACAATCCACCCGATCGCTGCTTACTGATACCTAGAGTTCTGAGAAACTTCCAGATAACTTCCAGATATTGGCGGTTAATGAACGGGAGATGTTATCAAAATTGTGTCGGCATTTGGCGTTACGTATCATTAATTATTCGATCTAGCTAGGTTTCATTAATAAAAAAATTACAGAAAAAAATATCGAGCAAAGCGGCACCCTACCCCAGTGTTGTGGTTCAGTAGTGTCGTTTACAATACACGTTCTTTGTGATCTTAGCAACGGTCGAAGAATATCCTACGTCAAATTTACTGTCGGTCTAAGCCTAAAATAATAAAAAGTACTTAAATTTTTATGCACATACTTTTTGTTTTGTCCATAGGGTGGGGAACTTCTTTCAGAAATCAGTCAACAGCAACAGTGGGTGTTCGACGTGGCCTGGTGCGGACGAGACCCTGGCTTATTCGTCACCGCCTCCTTCGACCAACAGGTCGCGGTGCATTCCCTGCTGGCGACCGAACAGACCGTTAGCGTAAGTATATAACTTTATAAAGTGGAGTCGTTTAGTTGTAAAGGATATATTAACGTGTACCTGGTATTTCAGAACGTGCACACTCAGAACAACATGATGGATTCGTTCGGGGGCGTGGACTCGTTCAGCGCGCTGCCCAGCGTGAGCCGCCCCGCTCGCCCCGCGCCCCCCGCCCCGCAGCTGCCGCGCCCGCCGCGCTGGCTCAAGAGGCCCGCCGCTGCCAAGTTCTCTGTAAGTGGACGCTGCCACTTATGTATTACTTGCTCACTTACATCTATTTTTATAATTGGTTGACAGACTTAGATATTGTCTAAGATACTTGAAATATTTTCATAACTTGTTTCCAATGTTTTTCCCCATGGTCCTTGAGGCCAATCGATTATTGTATTCCTCCAAGAAATGATGCCACACTTGACTATTTTTATTTATGTACTAAAATATTTGTTTGTTTCTAGTTTGGCGGCAAGCTGGTGACGTTTGAAAAATGCCCACAGGAAGCTGGTAATCAGAAGCTTATCTACATAAGCCAGGTATAAATACATCGCAGGTAGTAGTAAAAAAAACTCGTATTAGTCTATACAACACAGTCCCGGAGTTGTCAGTGATCAAATCTTGTAAAAATTCTAAATTTCATTGATTTATTTAGATTTTTTAAAATTTCAACTCAAATATAGTCGTTAGTCTGACCAAATGATTTCCAAACTTTTGTGCAGGTTGTCAGCGAACCAGAAATAGTAGAGAGAGCAACAGAGTTAGACACAGTGTTGGGCTCCAGCCTTAGCCAAGAGCCTAGCGCCACAGAGCGACTGGCCGAGTGAGTATTCGCAACAACTTCTTCTTTTATGTTTGTTAATTTACGGGCCAACGACTGTACCTGGTGCCGCGGTCAGTATTTTCATGTTGTATAACCATCATTATTCAGTTACCTTTAACAATCATATCATGTACTCATAAGCATTAATCATATCATTTAGGTTTTCATTGATGGGATATTTCATTGTGGATGAATCAATTAAATTGTTTACAAGAAAAATATCTATAATTTCTATCATCTATCAAGCGGTGTACGTAATATTTTGGTCCTTCGAGCCGGAGTAAGATTAAATCTTGATTACAGTTTTTTTTGTGTGTTAATATTTTTAAAGGAATAGCGCTTTATTATATTTATAGATGTCAGTTTTTTTTTGCGCCGATTGAAATTAAAATACTTTCATGCAAATTGAACTAAATTCTAATGTAAGCACACATTTTGTATGATTATTGTGTTGTAATATATTGTAAATAACAGGTTAATATAAGGAATGTTGTGGTGTGCAGGTACTGTCGGGCGAAGGGCGACGCGTCGTCGGACCAGAACGCTCGCTTCACCTGGTTCTTCCTGCGCGCCAACTTCCTCCCCAACTTCCGGAGCGAAGTACTCAATCTATTAGGCATGTGTCTATGATATATTTGCTAAAGAAGTTTATTAGTAAATGTGTGGAAAGAGTTAATAAAAAAAAAATTATTTTAAGGGGTACGGGGTAAACAAGCAGGTGGGTCACGTGATGGTAAGTGACCACCGCCGCCCATGGACACCTGTAACTCAAAGAGTCACAGCCGTCGTTTGATTGCGTCTTCCCCCTAGAATTAGAGGAGGACGCACGGAGGGATGGGGTTGGGCTCCGGCAACCTGACTCACTAAGGCAAAGCGTGAACAGGGCCTCTACAAGGTGGTCCGACGACCTGGTTAAGGTCGCGGGAAGCCGTTGGGTGCGGACAGCACAGAACCGGTTGTTGTGGAAAGCCTTGGGGAAGGCCTATGTCCAACAGTTTACGTCTTTTGGCTGAGGGGATGAGCACATGCTGAACCTTGACTCTCCCGACTCTCCCACGGTATCCGGTATATACAAATATAAAAAAAAAACAATGAATTTAATGGTGAATAAATTGTGTGCAGGTTTTAAGCAAGATGACATCCCCAATAAGTTCAAAGGTCTGAATATATCCGGAGGAGAAGGCTCACAACCGGATGCAGCTGCTTTGAGTAGAGTGAGTTATATAACAGTCTTTCGTATTATGTAATGTATGTGTCGCTTGCAACTTTCTCTCGTAATTATCCTTTGCTCTTCAATTGTGAACCTTATAACGATACCACTATAATCTATTGTTCTTTGGTCTAACCTAAAATATATATAATCATCATACATTGAAATGAAATAATTAGTTTTAAAATAGATGATGAGCAAATAGAAAAAGTGAATTTGCATAAAATTATGAAATGACGTCGGTAATTTCTAAGAATTGCGATAGATGGCGTCTTATGTACTTTATTAATGTTATAAATGTGAAGTAAGTCTATTTCTTTGTGACGTTACAGCACGTACACATTGGCACTCAAAAGGAAATATTGCCATCCAAAATAATTAATATTAACAAGTAATTGCAACAATCTTAAAATATAAAGAAAACCCGACAAGGTTCAGGTAGATTAGTGGCATGTAGAGGCAGGTTTTGACTCAGCCAGTTTAGTTTAGCACACTAATTAAAACAGTTTTATAAGAAAACTGTCAATTTCATGTTTAATTATTAGAATAATGATATTATTTCAATCTTTTTTACTTTTTATCTTATTGACAGCAATAATAAAAAAAATAACAAATACACAAAACCTTCGAGATCCGGCTCGAAGGACCAAGAAATGATTTCCGGAATAACGACATAAAAACTACAATTATAATAGTATTAAAACATTACGATGAATGTGTATTGTACTTTTGTATTAAAATAACTAAAAAATGGCGTAGGATAATAAGAATATTTATTGGACACAGTATGCCATAAAATAACTACTAACTACGTAAATAACAACTGTTTGTTTCAAATAAGATTTAAAAAAAGAAAAAGTTTGTTGAGTTTTAGACGTGGTTATCATAAAAAAGAATTAGTATAAATTATGTGGAATGCTAATTGCTATTTTTAATAATGTGATATTAAAATAGCAAAACTTGTAAGCGAAATAAAAAAAAAATGTTTTATGCCCACTATATCTCACATCAAAACATTTACTATGAGCTAAAACTTCTTCACAGAAAATAATACTGTTATTTTTAACATACCTTTAAGTCAACTTATATTGGTGAATATATGTATGTACGAAATTGTTACCGAGTGAATTTGTATTGGTTTACTTATTCCTTTTAAACCGCTCTTGTTCAATGGATCATACTAAAGATTGCACATTTTTTTTGTTTCAAATTGATTTTCCTACTTTATTACTATAACAGGTATATTTTGTCCTTTAAATGATAAATGCCTATTAAAATTCAGCCCGTGTAATATCTTATTTGAGGATCCATTAAATTGACCCATTTAACTAAATAAAAAGACTAAAAGTAATAAAATCTAACCTTTATTTCTTGAGTCAAATGGCTTAATTTTAAACGTGGACTGTCACAACTTTCGTAAGAAGTTGTTTTAGCAAATTCTTATCATCATCGCCAATATAAGAAGTTTTATAATAAAGCATTATTAGCAAAACATATATCTTATTTCCTAACTATGTATATAACACATAGTCCAAGAGCCCGTGACTGCCAGACCTTCCTTTTACAATATAAGCTGAAAGTTTTTCTATGTATACCTTTAGTAAAGGTAAGAACGATCCCCACCCATTATACCTGGGTAGTGGTGGCTTTGGCAGGTAACAGGTAATAAAGGTGTATAAAATTCCATCTTAAATTTATTAATTTATAAAACTTATTTTTTATATATATCTGTTTGTAACAATATCACAACTTACGTCATTCATTACCAGACGCTTAATACGGTTCCAACCCTTCGCCAGACACCCCTAAACTATAATATTTTGTAATTTTACTTACGTTATTTTTTAAAAGCTGAATTTTATATATGTTTTTTGGGGAACTATAAAAAGATGTTTCTTTAGTAGCCAGACACATTCGAGGGTTCTATCATCCTGCCAGACGCATTGGAGTGCATAGAAAATGTGAGAGCGCGGTGCTTATGTACTAACTGGTGCGAGTGAGACAGGCTGTTCGGTTTATTGCGATCTTGTACTGAAAATTAGCTATCCTTTATCAAGAAATTCAATTTAATAAATTTATTATAAATTTCTAAAACAATTTGCATTAAAGTATAATTTTATAAGAAAATATAATCCGAAAAAATCACTAAATTTAGATTTTCATACGTCTTATGAAGTTTATTATATTTATTCCTTATGAAGTTTATTATATAGATTCCGTCACGAACTGTCACTACGGGTTGGTTGTTATCTAAAAGCTCCACTAGAGTATATTACTTAACTGTGGTAAATGTTGATCTACAGTGCAGTGTTATAGTGCGAACTTTAATTAATCTGAGTAACTATCTTTTACTGGTTAGAACATGGTGAGTGTATTGTGATTTTAAGTAAAATAAGCTTACCGAACTGATTAACGCAAAACTTATAGTAGCTTTACCCGCACTTAACATTATAATAGGGCATCAAGTGTGAACGCGTAAGCGACGCCGTATACAGCGCTCTTACGACCTTTCGGTCGCGACGTTGCGTTGCTGCGCTGCGACCCGTGGGCCTTTATTGGTGTGCCACTACAATAATTTAAGTTATGCTAGTGACTATCTTGGACGTGAGTCTTTCTTAGTGTGCACTTTTGTAGCTTGTTTGTGTCTGTTTTGAGTTGGTGTCGTCGTGTTGTTGTTCGGACGCTGCGCTTCATTGTTTTGTGTACTGCATAGGCTTTTGTGGGCAGTGTCTGGCGATAGCTAATTGCGGCATTACTCAGCATACTTTTGCAAGAGTGATTGTTAAAACGTAATAAGCGCCACATTATAAGCTTGTAAATAAAAATGACAGAGCGTACACCACCCAATAAGGGAATAAATTCTTCTTTTACTATGCCTCATCACAGCTCCGAGCCTGACTTGTCGACACCGAATTCTGAACTAGCTATGGACCGTATCACTCTCCGACAAAAACGCAAACATGACTTGGAACAAACGGTCGATTTGAACTTACTCCGCGATGATCTGCTATCTTCATTTGCAACTTTGAGACAGGAACAGAATGAAAAATTTTGCAAACTGCAAACAAATATGGAGCATATCAAAGCACAAAATGTCGAACTGCAGGCTGCCGTCGAATTCATGGGGCACCGATACGATGAAATGGTGGAAAAATTGGCTCGCTTTGAGCTTGAAAGGAAGAACAGTTTAGAGTACATTAAATCGCTAGAGGATAAAGTCGACAACCTTGAACGAAATTCGAAATCTGCAAGCCTTGAGATACGCAATGTTCCCAAAAAACCAGGAGAGTCTAAAGAAGATCTCCTCCACATTGTGAAAACCATCGGAATAACCATGAACACTCAAATTTCAGCGCAGGAAGTTCGGGATGTTTACCGCACTAGGAACAACAAAAGCTCTGAAGCTGCGGGAACTGTTTCAGTAGAATTCACGAGCGTCATTTTAAAAGAAAAATTACTTTCAAATGTAAAAAAATTCAACAGAGAGAACAGGTCGAACAGACTTAATAGCTCACACATTAATTTGGGAGGGAATACCCCCATTTATATTTCGGAGAGTCTCACCTCAAAAGCGAAGAAACTATATTATCAGGCGCGGGAGTTTACTAAGACAAATAATTATGCCTACCGCTGGACTTCTCACGGAAGAGTTTTTATCAGGAAAAAAGAGGGGGAACCGGCCATGAGAATAGACCAGCAATCAGATCTTGAAGGACTGACATCCTGCATGAAATGACTATCTGGTGAATTCAATAAACAGAAACAAATCCCTTTATATATAATATATCTAATCTACCTCACATTTATTGAACTGGAAACTACTTCTACAATGTATGTTTTACCCGTTACGAGGTTCTTGTTCTCCATTTTTTGTTGTTACCTGTGCACATGTACGTGTGTAAATGGACAAAAATATACATACAGTAAGATTACCCTGCAACAAAAAAAAAATACTATTTATTGTAATTTATAACTTACCAAACTTAATATTTATTGTAATGTATAACTTACCAAACTTGCAGATTACACACGCCCGTACTTTTTACAGATACTGCAATTATGCATCTATTCACACTAACATACACATTCATTACACTATGCGTTTTGCAATAACAATATTGTGCGAGTACTACATTGCAGTTAACAGAAACGTTTTGATTATATATGTGTTATCATCTCACATCCAGAAACAATTATTACATATCTTAACGAACATAAAATCCACAGAGTATTTCATAGAACAAGAAGCACGCTATAGCTACTTAAGAAATTATAATGTAAAATATATTGATTTAATTTTATCTGTGGCCCAAGCAAATTTTAATACTAAAACGAACAAAAAGGTATTTCTAAACTTTAAAGCCTACAGTATATCTAATTTTTCTATTAGCTTTCTAAACAAAATGGATACTCGTATTGATCTAATAATAATAAACACGTCTAAATTATTAATGTTTCTGACACTGCTCATAACTCCCAATCGACTTTATATTTGTATTCTGATGTTCATAATCACCCAAAAGTGTCACCATTTTACTAATAAAATTCGATCTCCAAATCATTAAAGAGGTTGATGAAAGGGAACATGTAGACTGTAGGTCTGTTATGGTCAACAGTACGTGTTCACAACTACTGAACCATAATACGAGTACAGGAACAAATAGATCGATGACAATAATTAGCTTCAACATTAGAAGTATAAACTGCAATTTGGACCACTTTCTGGCATTTGTTACCTCATTAAAGATTCCTATAGATATATTTGTATTTTCGGAGTGCTGGACAGATATAGAACATCCACCTCCCAACATTCCTGATTACAACAAGCATTGGACACAATCTAGTCTTAACCAAAATGACGGCGTTGTTGTGTACATTCGCAGTGAAATTATGAGCAGTGCTTATGAGCCAGGTGTACAAGAGGGCAATTGCCTCATTATCACAGTAAAACCTGACTATACATTAGTTTGCTCCTATCGCCCACCGTGCTTTTCAGATACTAAA